CCCCTTGAGTCCGGCCCTTCCGGGGCCGTTCTAGTCCCTCTCGACGGACAGCGCCACATGCACACCCGCTGTCGCGGCCCCACACTTGAGTCGCCCAGATGGGGCTTTTTCTCGATCCCAACCAGTCAACGCCTCGTTTTGCCACATTGTCCGCGTCTAGACGGCGTTACGTTCCCCTCCGGCGCATTCCCGTGCTAGTTTGGTGTTTGAAGTTGGGCAATCAAGCTTTCTTCTTCGTTTTCAAATACCCTTCTGCCTCTTGCCGAATCCCATTCACAATGGCCCACTCGCGGCTCCTGAGTCCCGGTGGCAGATTAGGGTTCATGTTTGATACAAAAGCTATCATCCCTCTTTCCCATTCAGCGGGCAAACTTTTTCTTGCTCCGTATCACGTTGGGGTTGAATCCGTCGGGACCAGACAGGGCATTATTCGCGCTCTTCCCACTCGTTTTGCATATCTGTGCTGTCCGGCGCATCCGGGATTATCGTATCCAGATGAGTAAAAGGCTCCGGCCCGACTGGCGAGTTGATATCGAGCCAATAGTTGAACCCCTAAATCCAAGCGGGCCAACAGGGGAAGGAGGGAGAAAAAATAAGTAGCGCAATGGCGTAGAAAATCCAGAAGGGGGTGGAAAATGCCGCCACGTTGAGTTCGAATTGCGCTGCGTTGCTAGCTGGAACCGCCTTCCCGAACTCCTCCGAAGCCTCCTCCCCCTCCCAAAGATGGCTAGCACACGACCCAATTCCAATCTCCAGCGAGGCCGGATCACCCAAGCCCCACAAAATATGCCGGAGAACCGCTTGACCGCCCTTGGTGGAGCTCTTGGGTTTTTCTTCCCCTTCTTTTCTTTTCTTGCTCACTCACCGAACCCCCACTGTTCGGGGTTAGGGCCAAAAGTGATGTCTCGTCATGCTCGCAACGCGGGTAGGGCGGGTAACAAAGCGGCGAACGGCCCTCGGCGTAGAAAGAGCCAGGAAGCCCTCGCCTTCCGGTTGGACCACCAGATGCGCCAGAGCCGGCGGAGGTGTTGAAGGCAATGCGCGGGAATGCCTGTGCGAAGTTGAGAGTGGGGGCATGTTGAAGGCCTTTGCATCCGGGCGTGCATGTCCGGTGGGGGTGTTTAGCTGCTGGCCTGCGCTGGTAGAATTAGCGATACCACATCGTACATGAGTAGCCCCGTCGACATTGGTCTGAGTGAATGAGGATTGACACGTCCAGGCTCTAGGACGGCATCGAGCAACCGGGGCCCACCACCTAGCGCGAGAAGCGCGAGTCGCGAGCTTTGAGGGCATCCGGCAACCCTTCGGAGTTTCTCTCGGAGCTCTCATCAGAGAGGCTGTCTCCAGAGCAATAGGCCGCCGCTTTTCCTTTCAGGTCCGTGATAGCACCTAGGCGTTGGCTACGCTCCGACCCCGACGCCGAGCGGATGTCAAGTGTGCCTCGCTGAATCGGCACGGGCACAAGCGGGTACGCGGAGGAGGTTGTGGCACTGGAGGTCTGACGTGTGTTTGAGCCGAAAAGTCTAGGCCCCAAAGTGTTTCCGCTGAATCCCCAGGTCCTCCTCCGTGCAGCAAGCGGGCGCACAGCCACCACGCACGCAAGGGGAGCGGTCCGCTCATGCTTATTCTTCACTTGGTAACCGTAACCGAGCTCAGCGCGTCAGTGGCATCAGTCGATGCCCCTCCCTTCGACGTCATCCGCGAAAAGAGAGGAGGCGGGACAGACAAGTGTCACTACGTTATCCGCGCGGGCACCCGCCTCCCTAGTGGACCGACCCTCAGATCGCGTCTTCGTTTGCATGGCGTCCGTCGCCCGGCAGCAAGGCTTGATGTACGACTAGTCGTTGGGCTGCAGCGAAGACTCTTGGATTTAAGTTCTAGGGCCGTCGTCTTCGGCCCACAGAGTGCTGCAGGTATCCCGAGGGAGGGAGAGAGGGAGAGACGTGACTGGCCTCGTTGCTACTTGAGTGTGAAAGATGCTTAAGTTTGCTGAAGTCGGGCCCTAGCCCGCCTCCTCTTCCACTCCTCCTGCGCACCTCCGCATTTGTGACTTCCCCTCAACGCTCCTTCCCCTCCACTCCCTTCCCCGCACATCTCTCGAGGCGCAGTAGTCCAGCATCATGCCGATTTTAAGCACCTGTATTGAGACAACTCTTGCGTTTTTGGAATGGCTTCTTCTATTGGGGCGAGAGCGGACGGGTCCTTAGCTATGGGTCCCCGCTCGAAGGTACTGCTCTGCACCATCTGACTCTTATTCAAATCACTACACAGAGCCCTGCGCATGCCAAGAGGGAAAGAGCAAACCCGGATGCGCATTACCACTTTTCCAAGCGTTCCACACACTAGATATAGATACTCTAATGATCGCATCCTTGTCACATTCTTAACCCGTTTCCTCGTCTGTATGCCAAGAGCCACAGCTTCCTCTAGAACCACGGCAGTGCTGTCTCAAGGCAACTCTCGCAAGAAGCTAGCAACTCAAAACTCGCAGAGCAGGGGCTAGGCAAAGGAGGAGGAGGAGTCTTGGAGTGGTGTCGTATCAAGGCACCACTACTTCTACAAGATAGAACCTGGCTACACTAAGAATACAAGCTCTCGGCTGAGTTGTGGTGACCACTTCGGATGGGACTGTACCGCATGAGTGTAGGTAGGGTAGGGTACGGTGGTTGATGTAGGGTCTCTCAGCTTTTGAGGGATGTAAGTTGGGCACGTCGAGAAGCTTGGGCGCGAATATCCCTTTACACCGAAGGAGTAGGTCGCTAACTACAAGACTCTTCCCATCACACATGAGTCCGTGAATTTTATGGTGTTGGACGAGCTTGGAGCCTCGGAAGTGTCGCCTGGAGTTATGAACGGACTGATTTCTAGCCCTCTTTTCTTGTCTTCTCTTACCCTGGTAGCTGGATGTGAAATTGAAAGTCGATATGCACTGAGGACAGTCACGCACAGGGTAGTATATGGTCAACAGAAGCCAGTCTTCTCCCTCGTAGCCTCCCTGTATCGCTTGGAGGCTTCTGTGCGTACCGTAGGCCCCGGGGAGAGATATAAATATATGCGAGGCGTTGGCATCCTGGCCTGACCGACACTAGGAACCTTCGCAAGCCACCGGGACATGGTGGTCTCTACTAAATGAATAGCAGGACCAGATCTCTAGATATGACGGCGCGGACTAAGATCTTGGCCATGTCCTACGAATGAGGCAGAGATAGTAGTCAATATCCGAGGGTGAGCTTGTTTCCGAACCCAGAGCTTTTATTCTAGGTTAAATAGTAAAATATATCGAGATAGCTACTGGGCATTCTTAAACACACCTGTAGCAGTGATGGCTTTATAGCATCTATCGATTTAGCGCATCCTTTTGTTGCCTCTAGTAAATTCTCTGCTCCATCATGATTGTGTCTATTCTGCGCCCCCAAGGCCGGCCTTCCTATGAATGAGAGGATGCCCATAAAGTACCGTTGAAGCAGAACCCCACGCGATTGGTATGTCGTATGGTGTTGAAAATACCTGCTAACCTTCTGATGAAACTGGCGATCTTTCGTATTCTTTCCGCAGTTGGAGTATAGCTTCTCAGATCAAGCACACCGTAGCCTCCTTCTTAACACATTTATGTTCTCCCATCCCCCAAAGCAACGGAAAGCCGCGTCTGCACGCATCTGTCGCATTCGATTTAGAGCGCCGGGGATGACGCGAGCATTCTAGGCAAAGCTTGCAAAGTTCTCTCGCCTCTTAACCCAGGCGGAGAGGCCATCTTCGTCTCATTTCGCGCCGTTGACCCTTGGTCTTTTCCTCGTTGATAGCTCGCTAGATTGTCTCACACTTCCATTTATGAGAGTCAATTCCGCTGCGAAAATCTCATCAGAACTACTCGCTGAAAGCGAGCAGGCAAGGGCCGATGGTCTAGTGGTATGATTCTCGCTTAGGGTAACACCCTGTGCTAAGTTGCGAGAGGTCCCGGGTTCAATCCCCGGTTGGCCCCCATCTTTTTTCTCTCTCAAGTTTCTTTTTCTTATTTTTTTCTTTTTATAATAGATTGAAATTTCTGTTCTATTCCAATTTTCCGGGACGATGTCGACCGGAAATGGTTCGGGTGAATGAGGGTTCTTGTTATGTTGCTTTCCTTGTTTGCTGTGGGTGTTGCCCTGATGGGTGTATAACGCCAACTTTGGATCTCAAAGCGCAACGGACACCCATGCGCGTGTATCTCATATTAGCTAGGAGGAATGTTTTTGGAAGGGCATGTAGGCTACATATGTAGGTATCGGATCCCTCCGGTGGTCACAAAGAGCTCGTGCTCTGCATGTATGAGCTAGTCAATGGCCCGTCCCGTGCGGCCGGGTTCGCATGGCTAGCCCGGGATCCGTTGAACTTGAAATCAAACATCCTTCAGCTGGCGGAACCTGCCCTCTCTTTCCTCGGCAATATGAGCTTAGCGAATCGACATTCGTCCTGGGAAGCGTCACGCAAGAGATCTGATGCTATATCTAGGGAGGGCGATAGCAACTGGGGTTGAGTCGGGACATATCCTAACTGTGAGTGCATGAGGCATGTTGTAAGCATCGCAACTCTATGAACAGGATCTTCCCCGCTTGGTCTACTCCTCTTGTTATACGGCATCTTAGACCTTGGTATATAGCCGTGTTACTGTCTGCCAATGCATGAACGAGCTGCAGCACGATTCTCACACCACAAGGTAGATGAAGCTAGATGGCGCGACTGTGCGCGTATTGCCACCCAAGGCGGACATGCTCAATCGCGTACGGCCGACATCTACAGATGATGGAGATTTGGACGCATGCAGAGGAGTTGGAACGGGGAAAATACAAAGCTGTACGGGCCGAGCATCACATGGGAGTTGTGTAATAACAAAATCGAGTTGTTATTAAATGGCACTGCCTTTCCTGGACATATTACGTCCTACATAGAATAAACCCTCTATGATATTTCTGTCAAACAAAAGGTGAATGACCAAGTTGCCCTCTAGTAAAACGCCGTTTCCCTTAATGCTTAGCCGTGACCTTCTCGCCGGTCAATCCCTCTATGTAGCTCTTGGCCCTGTTGGAATGGAAAATCGATTAGAAAAACTGGCTGCTTCGATGCGAGACGATTGCTCGAATGGGGAAGAAAAAAAGGTTCAACTCACATGTCACCCATGGCAACCATGCATACGGTCTGCCAGATGCCGAGTCCGATGCGGGGGTAACGCCGCGGTACAGACCCTTGATACCGTTGTTCTGATAAATATACCTGAAAGTGTTGCCCACAGTCATCTTCTTGGGGCGGTTGGGGTCGTCGGTCTTGCTCTGCATCTCGACGCGAATGACCTCGATGGGCTGGTTCCAGGTGCTCAGACCACCACCGACGGTGGAGGCGGCAATCTTCTCCCAGGCGGCCAGCTTCTCCTTGTCGTCCTTGCCGGTCAGGTTGCGAATGCCCTGCTCGGCGAGACGGGAGAAACCGAAGCGGGAGCCCCAGTTGGTCATCTGACGGATAGCAACGGCGTTGACACCCTTGTTGATACCCCGAATACCCTCGGCGCGCCAGATGCCCATAAAGGTCTGGAAGGTGGAGGGGGCTTCGCGCCGGTGGCGGCGAGCTTGTGCTTGGTGATCTCGACCGTCTTCATGCAGGTGCAGAAGCCCATGGTGGCGTAGGCCTGAGCGACACCTCCGGTGACACCACCGACGATGCCACCCCCGAACTCCGAGGCACCGAAGGATCGGGCATAGTATTCAGCTTCGGAGGCGACGAAAAGGAGCACTGCTCCCTTGGTCGAGGCTTCGATCCAGGCCCAAGGAATGAGACCTTGGTAGACTATAGTGGGGGAAAGAGAAGGGATTAAGTTAGTTTATCCATCTCGGTCTCGCATAATTATCATCAAACCATTGTTTGAAGCCCGTTTGTCAAGTGATAGGGAGATGGCGGAGATGAATTGAGGGAATAGGGGAGCGCGAGGGAGAGCAGCACGGAATGGAGCTCAAGTGCGTCGCAGAAGGCGATGCGTCATGCTCGACGGCAAGATAGGGCACCATGTGTGTGTGTGCCGAGGCAGAGGAATAAAAAATAAAAAACTTACATCCCAGAACGCCGCCTCGGGCCCAGATGCGCCCAAGAGCAGTCATGAATCCATCGCCACGGTGGGCAGCCATGGTAGTCTTGACGACCTCGAGGGGCTGACCCAAGGTGGTGACCTCGAACATGTTGAGACCGGCGCCCAAGAGCAAGTTGGAAAACTTGATGGGCTTCTTCTCGAGCGGCTGAGGAGCCGAGCCGGACGCGGCGGCGGAGACGGAGTTGGCGACCATGACTGTTTGGCGATTTTCGTGATGGGGGCCCTGACCAAGGGAATAGGGTGCTTCTTCGCAAAAGGGTGTGAGGAAGGGCGTGGGGTAAGGTTGACAAAAGGGTTGATGGAGCGTGTGGGTTTAGTTTGACAGGTGAACGGGGGATTTCTTTGGCGCGGACAGCCGAGGGAAAGGAGCTGGTTTTATTACCTCGGGACTGCACGGGCGAGAGGCTGATATGGGTTGTACCTCGTCCAAGGACCCGTGAAAGGGAAAAAAGGGAAAAAGAAACGAGAAAAAACTTGGAAGGGCCCTTGGCCAGGTTCAGGCACTGGTCCAGGGGGAGGGGAGGATTGGCGCAGTTGGGGGACGCCTTTTCGGGGCTTGGGGCAGTGGTACGGCGGCCGATGACAGTGGCCAAGCACCAGGACGGGTGGATAGCGGCAGCATTGGGGATGGATTTGAGGTCTTGGCTGGGCCGATCCCCTCAAACGTTCAATGTTGCCTGGTGCTTGGTGCTGTGCATGTGGCTGAAGCTAATATTTTTGGTCCGAGTTCTGATTGAGTGACTAACTGTGACAATCATCTATCACAATCGAGTTAAATCTAAAGTTGCGCCTAGATGTGGCTAAAAAAGTTGGTGACCAGTGCTTTCATTCATCAAGTTGAACAAAGCTCCTCAGGTCAATGGGCGCGATTTCATTGAGGTCTTGTCAATCAAATTGTTCGCTACTGAATTTTTGGTTGAGCTCAAGGCAATTGATACCTCCACTTGTCTAGTACACTACACTACACACTCACTGCACCTTGAGCTATGATCCGTGACAACCGCCCCTCCCCTGAGCTAGCGGGAAGCAAAAATTGGGGTTGCAGGCTGGTGGAAAGGCTGAATGTCTTGGAGATTTTGCCCATCTTGCCGACGATGATGGAGGATTCTGGCCTTTGGACGAAAGGCTGCTCGTCTTGGTTATGCCTGGCCGGACTCATCCGTCACATCGTATACCCTCTCAAGCTCCCCACGTGTGCGATGCTCGGCGTTCCTCTGGATATCAACAAGAGATTGCCTTTAGCGGAGCTGAGCTCTCAGCGCAAGAGCCAGATGTACACTACACTACTCTCTGCCTGCTGGTTCATGGTCCCGAAAAGCGCCTGGGGGCGGGAAGCTATCATTGATGCTTATCTTCGACGCTCCACCTCACCCCTTTCCCTTTGGGGTACATGTACAAAGGGAATTTGAGAGGAGCCCTCTTGGTATTAGCTCGAAGCTACGGTTAAACCTTTTGATCGAGTTGATTCTGAAGCACTCAGGGTGCTGAACGGAGCCGTTTTTCTGGGTTCAGGTGACAGAGGTCTGGGAGGGATCTCCTCGAATGATGGAACCCGGCTATGATGAAGGGTCTTCCAGACCAGCTAATAAGCCAAGCTAACCTGGTCCCTTCAAAATTTGCCCTGCCCAGCTAGGCTGAAAGGGACCAATTCGTATTGCCATTAATTGATTCATATACTATCACGGTGGAGAGGCACTCCACACAGGTACTCCCGCTGGACACCATCGAGCACTGGAAATTTCCCGTTGGAGGATGTTGAGAACTGTCGCGGCATTGTTGGGACCCTGGTTCCATATCAGGAGAGACAAAGTTGCCAGCCACAAACCTCCCTCATCAACAAAAAAAACGGGCAAGGAGAACGAGGGCAACAACAACAAGGTCAACAAGTGATGATTATTGACCTCCAACTTGAGACTGGAGAGTTTGGCTTCTTTCTCAAAATCTCATAATGGACTCCACAACCAACATAAGCATTGCTTCCGAGCTGGATCACGAGTTGGACCTGTAAGCTGATGGACCCATCCTTGCCATCCTCAATCGTCAAGAGTACTGGCGAGGCGCTCGTACCCCGTGGTATCAATGTTTGTACTACTATCATCGAGCGGTTGTCCCAAAGGTAAGACATAAAAAATATTTAATCAACCCTGAGGAGGGACATGGAAAAGAAAAGAAAATTCTGATGAGCCTTGTACTCGTAACATTTGGGAGACAGGGAATAATTATTATTATGAGGCCACGAGTGTCTTCCTCATTCTCGCACCTCCTCAACGAATCAGAGGGTACAGTGAGCTACATGCAGCGGCCGGCAGAGATCTGCTGCTCGGCGGAGTACCGGTACCTCGGCCCCTCGCCTGCATTGGCGCTAGCCATCCCATGCGGCTTCCAGGATCGCGACTGGTCTTTTTACAGGGGGCAAGAACGCGTACAAGTAAATTCTTGCGAAGAGGGTTGAAATTTTCTTTTCAATGGGCAAAAGAAGCTGGCTGGTTAAATTACAAAGGTGTCATTCTCCTTGGGGAAGGTGTTCGCTGGGGGAGATCAATGAGATGGGAGAGGGTACATGTAATCTACTGAGGACGAAGAAGCTGACGGATGTTCCTATCCTGGGCTGAATATCAGGGCTACATCGATTCTCGTATCAATTGGTCCGTCCAGCACGTACCCGTGTAACCCCGACGCCAGCGACACCACTATCGTGGGATCACTGCTGCGGCCATGCACCTATGAACCTCAAGACCGCAGTGGTTATCGGTTTAAGGCGGGATTCTCACCAATGATATCACCTTGTAGTTGTCGGAAAAGGCAGCGGGCGCAAACGATAAGTGCGATGCGCCAGGTCGATGTCGTCTTCGATGCACCTGGCATTGGAGGGATCAGTTACATGTAGATAGCGAAATCACTTGGGATGACGAGGCTTTGGAAAATACACACTCATTGGCGCAGTCTAAATAGGACATGAAAAACAAAATAGAATCCCAACGAGTGCGCTCTGCGCCCATGCCATCAAATGTATTGTACAAACGCAGTATATCGTAGGGTCATCATCCACCAAACCCGTACTCTAAAAATCAACTTTTTCTCGTCCCTCTTTCTCTCAAAACCCCGGGATATCTAGCCCTCACGCATAGCCTGACACCACGGTAGTATCGTCTATGTTTAATCCTAAGGCCATCCGATAAGCCTCCTCTAGAAGAAATGTGGTGTATATGGTGTTATTCACTTCATGGCCAGGAGGCAAGCGTGGTCGGCAGCCGACGAGCTAAAAACCTCCCACCCAATCGCCATCGTCGCAAACTGTGCAGTCGGTATGATGTACAGTCTAAGTTGTCAGATTTAGAGCTTCTTGGCAATCTCAACCCACTTCTCGGTGGAGAAAGACTTGGGTCTAAGAGAGAGAAAAATTCACGTTAGCAATTATCACTTGTTAAAAAGGGAACAAGGGGAGGGGATCTGGCATACCGCTCAATGGGGGCACCGACGGCGCGGTCAATGATGAGCTGGGGAAGGACACCGATAGCCCTGGAAACACCGAAGAGAACGGTGTAGTAGTTGGCCTCGGTAAGACCGTAGTGCTGGAGGAGGACACCGGAGTGGGCATCGACGTTGGGGTAGGGTTCTTGGTCTTGCCGTGCTCGGTGAGGACACCGGGGGCGATCTTGTAGACCTGGCTGACGAGCTTGAACATGGGGTCCTCGGGCATCTTGGCCTGGGCGAAAGTGCGCTGGGCGCTGTAGCGGGGTCGGTCTTGCGGAGAACAGCGTGGCCGTAACCGGGAACAACGCGGCCGGCGTTGAGGGTAGACCAGAGGTAGTCGGTGATGGCCTTGTCGCTAAGGTCATCGCCAACGGCGCTCTTCATCTCGGTGAGCCAGTTGAGGACCTCCTGGTTGGCGAGGCCGTGCAGGGGACCGGCAAGACCGTTGAGACCGGCGGCAAGAGAGAGGAAGGGGGAGCTAAGGGCAGAGCCGACCAAGTGAGTGGTGTGGGCGCTGACGTTGCCACCCTCGTGGTCGGTGTGGATGGTGAGGTAGAGACGGAGGAGCTCGATGAAGTCGGCGTTCTCGCCGAAGCCGAGCTGGTTGGCGAAGTTGAACGAGTAATCCTTGTCCTTCTGGACGGCGGCGACCTTGCCACCGCGGAAGACATTCTGGTAGATGCGGGCGGCGATGGTGGGGAGCTTGGCAATCAAGTCCATGGAGTCCTCAAAGGTGTACTGCCAGTACTCCTTCTTGTTGATGCCCCTGGCGTAGGCCTTGGCGAACTGAGAGGTCTGCTCAAGCGCGGTGACGGCAAGAGAGAACTGGGCCATGGGGTGGAGGTCGTTGGGGCAGTTGTCAATCAAGTCCTCAACGAACTTGGGGACATCGGAGCGAGCGGCCCAGTCGGCAGAGAGGTCGCGAACCTGCTGCTCGGTGGGGACCTCGCCGGTGAGGAGGAGCCAGAAGAGACCTAACGGAGAGCGCAACAGTTTGTCAGCACCGATTCATGGGCCACGCCAGGCAAAGAGCTGGATGGGATGGGATTTGATTTGTCTTACCTTCAGGAAGGGGCTCCTTGCCACCGGGAGCCTTGGGGAGGAGCTCCTGGCACTCGGGGATGGTCTTGCCGCGGAAGCGGATACCCTCCTCGGAGTCGAGGACGGAACCCTCCCAGACCAAGCACTTGATGCCACGGGCACCACCGTATACCTGGTCAAGAGTGACCTTATCTACGACCTTCGAGCCATGCTCCCTAAAAGTTTGCTTTGATTAGCATGCTGAACTTGTGCTCGCGTACGATGGCAACGGATTCCGACGTGAAAGGAGAAGAAGAGATGCTGGAAAAGCAACTCGACAAACCCCCACGTCCTTTAGGAAAAGAAAAACTTACTTGCGGAGGGTCTTGATCTCCTCGATCTTCTCGGGGAGGAGCTCGCCGAAGCGCTCCTTGAGGGTCTAGAGCAAGCAAGAAAAGAAAAGATAAGCATCCAGTACGAGAGCGTCCCCATCAGTGATGGTTGTAGGAGAGATCACGATATAAAGCTCAAGACACGTACCTGGGACTTGGAGGAGTAGCACCTGGCAGCCTGGAAGGCGGCAAGCCTGGCGTTGACGGTGGGCGCCCTGACGGTGGCTCGGAGAGCCGAAGAGCTGAGTCGCGAAACGACTGCCATTGTGAAGATGTGATGTGTAAAAGGGGGTGGAGGGCTTGATCAATTGCCAGCAAAAGACGGAATGACTGCCCGTGGATAGAAGGAGCGGTCTTGGAGAGGACAAGATTTGGATTGCGCAAGGAAAAAATACCGTGATGTGGTTGAAGGGAGGTTTGAGCCGAGGGGGAGGAAAAGAAAAAGAAGAGAAGAAAAAAGATTATTATTAAACCGCACCGAGACTCCGTAGGTCCGTTAACGGACAACACACTCTGATAGGTAGGTGCGGTAGGGGGTATTGCCGGGTACTGGTACGGCCACAGCTGACTCGGCGTAGAGCTCAACAAGCCACGGACAACAGTTTTTTTCTCGAAGCTAACAAACCAGGGCGAATTGCCTGCCCTCCTGCAGAGAATTCCTCGTTTGCTGAGCGCTCCCCTGGCAAAGCGCAAAGACGTCACCTCGCCTACACGCAGCACACTGGGTTCATGCGCGCCGACCACACCCATTCCCACGCTCGGGAGGACAGCTCGCACACAGAAGCAGCCTAGAGGGAGCGAAGCCAGTTTACTGGGCGCCAGTGCCCCTTGATGGATTTGGGGCCTTGGCGAGGTGGACCCCTATAATTTGTACGAACATGTCGGCACGTTAGGGACACGTTAGGGGATCGTTGAAGGGCACGGCGTCCCGTTGACAGGTCCCATGTAGACTACCGAAAAGTACATGCCGGCCTACCAACCCTCTGCTCCGCGAACCTCGCCAATTCTCATCACCATTATCCTCGGCTAACAGTCCGGAAAACAGCGCTTGAGGCGCCTTGCCCAAAGTCCCTCCAGCACACAAAAGGGACATTCAAGATGGATTGAACCTCTTTCCCAAGGCTCCTTTCCTGACATCCGGTAGTGGAATTCGGCTGTCCTCCACCTAGCCGTTGTGATGGCAACGCGCGCGAGGACGGATAGGGGGCGCTAGCACTCAACATGTCTTCACTTCAAGCGCAGGGGTCTTTTTGTTCTTTTTCTTTTTTTGGCAGACTCTCTGTATTTCATGTCGTGGACCACCAGTGACAGCATGTTTGTAGCATTTGATGATCACAGGCAAACTGAGTTGATGATGCAAGAGGGTCGATTGGCGCATGCGATTCAAGGTATCAACTACGGCGTTCCAGAGCCGGCGATCAAGTGTTGCTCAAGTACCCGGCCCTTTGAGCCGGGGCAAAAAAGAAAAGAAAAAAGGGAGAAAAGAAAAAGAAAAGAAAAGGGTGGGCGGAATGAACCATGCCAACACCTTCTCCTACAAGTGGATGGATGGAAGGAAAATCCCGCGGCATCTCTGTGCAATCACGGCTCGAGCTGTGCGACGGGACGAATGCAACTCCGATATATCCTTGGTTCCATTTCATCACAAGGAGGGATTGAAGTCCAAGATTCGGAGATGTGCAACTGTCGACCGCATGCTCTCTATTTCAGCCTCTTCCTTGACTGGTCAATCACTCCATCTGCCTTCCTCTTCACCAAGCAATAATTTCGGCCAGTCATGAACGGGTAGGAAAGCGAAAGAAAAAGACTTGTTGCGTCCGGGAACCGGAAATCCTCCGAGCTTTGCCTAGTCTTCTCGCAAAGCTCCGAAGCCAGTCTCGTTGTGAGATCCATCTTTTTTTCCCCTTGCCTCCAGCTTGATCCCTGTGCTTCCGAAAGTCATTCTGAGTGATAGCACAGTGTTTTCAACACATATCTCGAAATAGCACTGTCCTTGGCCTTTCGGAGATGAAAATTGACAACGGCTATATTTCGGATCTACTCTGACGTGATGATGACCCATTTTGACAATTTTTCTTTATGCCTTGGATGAAGAATCAGGCATAAATTCCTAGCCAGCAGCCTGTCCCAGCCACACAAAGGGCACTGAAAATCCCTGAGCCCTTTCTTCCCCGTTCTTCTCACACACTTCTTCTCCATCTTCTCCCTTTCATGCAACTCCATCGCCATCCTCATCATCACGAGAGTGATTTCATCTTCCTTTCCCTCCCACTCTCTGTTGACGTTAACCCATCAGCTAAAATATCAGCACATGCGATCCCAGCAAATAAATGCATCGGAAATTTTGTAAGACCTGTAATCGATTAGAACTCGTCTTTCCCTTGCCCATCAATCAATCCGCCCTCGATCAGCACACCTTGGACAGCCCACTGGACCTCACACCAGCACATCCTCAACCTAGTTTCATGAGGCTGCCCTTGTAGACTCAACCGAGATACTTGTCACCTAATTCATCTAGGATACAGCCTGTCGCCTTGGTAAAAGAGGAGAAAGGGAATCATAGAATTTCCATCCTTTGAGTAGAGGTCGTGAGATCACACCAGACAGACCACTTGGATCATCCGGGCTGTGGTGCCTCGCCCACAATTCTTAAGCTCTGAATATCGGCCGTGGAGAGGACGAGATTGCTTCTATCAAACACGTGACTAGAAGAGACCCAGACCCAGAGCTTCAACGTATCTATCACGACTCATCACAAGACGTGAGAGTGATTTGAGGATTTTGCAATTCAAGAATCGCGCTCCCTCTAGGCACTCAGTACTCTATACTCTAACAAACCCCTTGTATTGTGAGCGACCTAAGAGAGAAAGAAGTGACTAGAGAAGCTTCGACTTGTCTGCATCCAAGTCTCGCTCGTCACAGCCAACATCGTACTTGCTTAGGCGTCCTAAACACTACATAACCTACCACTACTGCGTACGGTACTCTTAGATCGACTGAAGAATCTTGAGCTTGGAGCTAGCTGGAAAACAAAGAACCAAACAGGCGGATAAAATATATCTTGCCGCATAGAACGAATCGTGGGAGCTAGTTGAGGTCACATCTTGGAGACTCCGCGAAATTCCAATAGACGGATTTCGGGGATCTTGAGAAACCCTCTGGCTGCTCGTTATTCGTTATTATCAACTATTTTTAAAGAGAAAAAGCCTCCGACTTCTCGTTAAATCCCTATAAACGCGCTTAGGGCGTTTTTTTGCGACAGCCTTGCTGAGGGACCGCATTGCCGTATCAAGCAATCTAGGAGCGAGCGGCACCTATTCTATTCCACTAGGACTCTAGGTGGCCTGGATCGATTTTTCCACCTCTACGTATAATTCGCTTCACCGACACAATGTCTGCAATTGCGGAGCTAGAAGCAGGTCTTACTGCCATGCTGCAGTTTAAGCCCCCAGGCGTGTCAACCTCGAGGATAAAAGCTTTGACTGATCTTTGCCAAAAGAACATCAAGGTACTTGCATTCCCTTCTTCCTCCCCTCGAGATGGGGCTCGGAATCGATATTGTAGCTAACCAAGCAAACTGTAGGACGAATCATTGATTGTACAAAAGTTTTACACGCATTTCAAGAAGGCGCCCGGAACCCACAAGCTCGGCGTCCTTTACCTGATTGACTCCGTTGTAAGAAAATGGGTCGAGCAGGCTAAACATAACAGCCAGGAGATTTCTAGTTCAGCCCAGGACGGCACGTTTGCGGCCGGTGTATTTCGAGTAACTGAAATTGTCCCAGCTTTGATGGATAACATTGTCCAAACTGCCCCAGTCGACCAAAAGGTATGTCTAGAACGTTTGCTTCGAGCAGCGGCCGGCCAAACCCCGTAGTCATCCGTATCGTGGTTGTGTAGACCATGTCTTTGCTCCCGGTTCCTCTGCCTCACTCGCACGACGGACGCATCTTGCTTTGCCTGCTTGTCGAGAGGGCCCCAGACTCCTTTCGGAGTCCAATCTCCCCTCTCCCATGAAGACCTCGCATTCTGCCTGGGCTGTGCCGCATCGCGGTTATGATGGCCATGTTGATTTGACCCGCCGCTGGCTCTTGCCGCCATCCTTCCCTAAACATTGCTCTCGTGCTTACTGGGTTCTTTTTCACCCGCCGTAGGATAGAGTTAAGAAACTCGTCGATATCTGGGAACGGGCTCAGACTTTCCCTCCCAACTACATAACAAAGTTTAGGAAGCAGCTCACTCAGGGCGCGGCAAGTACGTTTTCCTCCTGGACCTGTCCGCGGCTATGAATCCCGGGACCTAACATATATTGTAGACCAATCCACCACCCTCCAGGAAGCCCACCTGCCAATCTGCCCGGCTCGGAGCTTGTCGCCCGGTACCGCGCCCCACCGCCTCCCCAGGCCGCCAGCTCAGCGCCACCACCCAGCAGCGGTACGAACATCATGGAGGTCCTCGCCAATATCGCGAAGCAAAGCGCAGCCGCCCCCAGCCCTCTAGCACTCCGCCGATCATCCCAAACACAAACACCCTCCTGTGCAACCTTCAGCCTATAACATGTCGGCTTCTATCCCCCGGGAACAGCGCCTACTCTCAAATACCCCAGCAGCCGTTCGCTACCAACCATGCGGCGGCTCACACGTCGAGCGCGTCCAACTATGCCAGCCAGTTCCTTGCCAGCCTGAACCCAACTCAAAACCTAGGGGCACCGCCACTCTCCGCCCCAGCCTATCCTGCTGCCATGAACTCGGTCCCCACGCCCACCCCGCCTCAGGCATCAGCTCCCGGTGCCGGCGCCCCTAGCATAGACCAAGTCATGTTTATCAAGACACTCGTTGACCAAGGTCTCAAGCCTGAACAAATCTCCGTTATTCTTCAGGCCATGTCGGCGGCTCCTGCCGCTGCGGCGCCCGCGGCCGTACCCACCATGCCAGCCTTCAACCAGCCCCAAAATGCAGGGTGGGGGCTTGGTGCGCACGCAAGCCACGACTATGATGCTAGTGGCCGCAGGGGTTATGGCGATCGCTCCCGCTCTAAATCGCCTGACCGTTGGGGCAGTGGCCGTGATTCTCGTGGCGGTCAAGACAGACATGCTAGCCGCCGCTCCACGAGTCGCGATCGGGGCAGTAGGGATCGGGGTGATTACAGACAGCGTAGCCCCATGGGCCGTCGCGGCAGCCCTCCTGGCCACAACACCGAGGTACGCAAGAAGTGGGTCGAGATCGACTCCTCTATGCGGCCTGGTCATATCAAGGTTCTAAGCCGAACCCTCTTCGTCGGAGGTGTCACGTAAGTCACTAATCTATCCCCATATGTTGAGGTTTGGGAGACCTTTCGACTCATGTACCTTTGCTAACCTGATCTGTAGTTGCACCCAATCTGAGCTTCAAGATCTTTTCGGAAGAGTGGGCAAAGTTCAATCTGTAATCATCAACAAGGAGAAGCGTCATGCCTTTGTCAAGATGCTTACCCGCGAAGGCGCCGTTGTAGCGAAAGAAACAATGGGCGAATACAAGTCGGGAGGATTGGCCCTTCGAGTAAGTCTACACACCACAATCCTCAGAGGCTGCAGTCCTCGTCGTAAATTATCATCAACAACTAACCCGATGCGCCTCTCTAGACTCGATGGGGTGTAGGCTTTGGACCCCGGGATTGCTGTGATTATGAAACTGGAATTAGTCTCATCCCAATCGCCCGCCTAACTGAGGCTGACCGAAAATGGCTTCTTACTGCCGAGTACGGGGTTCGGCCGGGACTCCCATTGAGACTGGCCTTTCAGTTGAGGAGCCAGATATCGAGATTGGTGCTGGAGTGTCCTCCAAAGCTATCAGCCGTCGCGTACAGACCGACAAGGGCGGTGCCCACGGCCCCAAGTCCTCGCGTCCTCGCGAGGATGAATTTCAAGGTCAGAACAGTCCGGGCCAGGGCCACGGTCATGGCCGGGGAGATCGTAATCGGCATAGGGATACCCGCCGCGACGATAACGCCAACGCATCCAACCGGGACGGGCAGTTCCAGAACCCCTTGAACCCCAACCTCATCCCCCAGGTTATGCCTACGGCATGCAATCCATGCCAACCTACCCCGGTTATCCTTACTCTCAAGACAATTCTAACGGTGCCTAAACCCAAAAATCGTCTGGTCCGTCCCCGCCGGCCTTAGACTGATACTTGATTGGGTCTTGTACGAGTTGTGGCTGTTTACACCTATCCGGAGGCCGTACTGTATCTGCAGCTTGTTTTTCTTTTTTTCTTTTGTTGGTGGCATTCTTCATATTGGGTGGTGGTGGAGGTGGCGGCATTTTGTTTACCATCTCCCGCACTTGCGGTTATATCCTCGGAAGCGATTCCTGTTCTTGTTTGAAACAGTTCTTGGTTTTGCATTAGGGTGTATTATTGCTTTGCCCATCGATAGACGAGGGTCTATCCTTGTTGATTTTCACGGAGTATGGAGGCATAAAAGTTGGAAGATTAGCGAAAGGGTTCGGTTTTTTGTCAGGAAGGCACCCCTTGTTTCTGTTTAATGTTGTCGGCCTCGTAATCTTCGTCGGTGTTGCTCGACGTCAACATTCCTTTTCGGAGGGACTGGCGGAGCAGGCGCTTGCGGTTCTGAATACAATTGTGAACCCTTACCTGAATTTAATCTTTTGAAGTCTTAAACCTATATCTGTGCATCGCCACTTGCCTTGGCTTGACATATTCCCTCACCTCTTCCGCCATTGTAGGACCACACTTTGTAAGGATGATGGATATATTGATCTCTATATTATATCCTGTTTCCGATAGTTCCGGGCAGAAAATCATAGTGATGAAATGGTATGAACAGAATGAGAATGGAAGCAGTGGTATCGAGCATTTAAACGTAGCTAATGACTAAGAAGCCCCCATCCTAACGGGGCTGGGCATCAAATATACGGGTGAATCTAATAAGGGAAAAAGGAAAACGAAGGAGGAACAAAGGGGGTGACGGTGCCGATAGCATGATATACCTTGAACGTCTTCTGCTTGAGTTCTTTCAAGTCCTACATTGCCTAACCGCCGCGTGGCCACTAGCTCGGCTCGTTACGGAGGCTTGGCTTCCTTCCTCTAGAAAATCAGAAGCTCAGTATTCTACAAGTGTTGAAGAGGGAAATAGAGGATGAGTGTGCCGAGTATCTCATCATGCCCTCCCTCTCCTCCTTCTTATCCCTCGCTAGGATCTTCGTCCCCCAACCCATCTTCAGCCTCGTACTCGAGGGCATAGTCTAGTTCTTCCATCATCCAGACATCCACCCCCGAGGCCACGAGCTCAGATCTCGCCCCGGGCTCGAGCGCGTGCCAGTCTAGCTCGCAGGCGAGGTTCTGCCTATGCTGCCTCACCGCGTCGAACTTGGGCTGCGTGGGCTGGGCGTAGAGGCGCTTCGCGCGCATGTTTAGCCAGCCGGTGCCGTCGGACGGGTACGAGCTCTCCTGCTGATTTCGCTGCAGGAAGCCGACGAGCGGGGCGGTTGGGTCGTCGTCCTCGTGCGCCTCGCGGCAGTACAAGTTGAGCGACGCATATTGGGGACCCTGGAACACGCCCAGGACCGGGTTGGGGTGCTTGACGAGCTGGCCCTCGGCGAGATATCTCTGGGCGCGGAGAACGCCTAGGCTCGAGCGGTCGGGAATCTGCGCGCCGTTCGGGGGTGGGGGCTCTGGGTGGGGGATGAAAGGCGTGGGGCGGCGGATGGAGCGTGGCGGGCCGCCATCGATGCCGGGGAGTTTGATAAAGGACCCAGGTTTGTCGTCTCCCTTGCTCACGGAGAGCAGGTAGACCCTCCCGCTCGCGTCTCCGATCGCGAGCTTTGTAAAATCTGGAGAAAACGCCCCTGCCGAGACTGGGCCAGGCACTTCGAGGAGGTCTCTGACGAGGGGGTCTTTGTGGCGCACGTTCCATATCTTGACCACGCCATCGGAACCACCCGTGTATAAACGGTCGACGGTGCTGCCCCAGGCGGTGAATTTTACGCCCACGTCCTCCCTTTCCCTGTCACCCCTATACTCCTCCACGGGCTCTCCGTGACAGAGGATATGCACCGGTCTGTTACCCTGGGCGGTATCCCACACGTAGACTTTGCCGTCCGTCGCCGCGGCGGTGACGTAGAAGCACTCGGGGCTATTCGGCTTAATCGTCAGCTCGTTGATGTCGAGCGAGTAGCAATCCAGGATCTGGATGAAACCGTAGAACTCGGCAGAGGAGCTCATGGTGGCGGCATTGTTCTCTGGCCGAAGGGCGGAGATCGCGCTCCCGGCCCTGTCTGACAGGGCAAAGACGCGAACTTGGGTGCGGACGTTGTGTTCGGCCTTGTTCATGCCCACCGACGTAGCAACGACGAAGATGGGCTGCGTCGGATGCCACATCACTTCAAACACATTTTGGGCCATGGGAATGCCAAGAGAAACCTCGTTGCCCGTCATGAAATTGAACATTCTCATGACGCCCGTATTCCTCTTATCCTCGGGGATGTCGTTATCATCTGCGCTATCGGCACGTGGGGAGTAACCCACGAGCAAGTGGTGGGCGCTTTCCTTGATTTCCCAAACTGAATAGTAGCAGGATAGTACGCCCAGCCATCCGACTCCCCGGCTGTCCTTCGGGGCCGCCAATTCTACCGCCGAATACCCGATAGCGGCTCGAGGAGACGTCTGCCAGATTCACTTGATAAACACGAACGGCATGGCTCTGGGTATCGGCCGCCGTGGCTACGAATAGGGGTTTGTGGTGCACACGACAACAAAGTTGACTTTTGCGCCGTGTTGCCACGTTCCTAGCGCCGTCATAGAGCTGCCCGACTCGTCGACCTTCCACACCTTGACGGTATGGTCAAAGCTCGAGGTGTAGCCGAGATCGTAATGCCTATCGTAGTCGGACGAGACCACGGAGGCGTAGAGCCATGGGTCTTGGCTCTGGCGCATTTCCTCTGTCGAGTTCTCCCCGCTGGCCACGTTGGGCCTCGGAATACGGTGATCCGGAAACGCCCGAAGCGTCCCAGCGGCGGTGGAACAGAGGAGTAAGTTCCCGGCTTATTGTACTGCTGATTATGGGAGTCGGAATGTTCCGTCGTGCCGCAGATGAAATTGGTGTCGGAGACCCATGAGATGGTGATAATATCGCCCGCGCAGTCTGTCCATTCTTGTCGCAACTCCATGCCGTCCTCGCGCACCCTATTGAGCTCATCCTTAATGGTCCCAATATTCCCTCTCCGGCCAAACAGCGACCGCCCCTCAAGCTCCCGCTTGAATAGGAGAGAGGAGGCCCTCGAAGCATGCGCCGTGGGCCTCGCCGAGTCAAAGGTGTTGCGCCGGAGGGTATATATCCTCGGCCTCGAGGCGACGCTGCGCTGGTTGACATCCGCCAAGAACCAGTACAGATCTCTCTCATCTCGCCCGCTTACCGGGCCCTGCAACTCGATTTCTTTTGGCAACAGTTTGACAATCTCGGGCATCCGCCTCAGAATCTTTGCCAGTTCGCGTACCGGGTTCTTAGGCGGCCGCGGAAGGGTGACAAAGGCCCGAGCCTGCTGCCGTACATACTCGATTTCCTCATCACTAAAGTCGACGTGATACGTGTAGGGCTCTTTGAGCGTGCCCCTCGCGAGAGAAGCAGCCTTGTTACTGTAAAGGCCGGCGGCGATGGCCTTCCTTTCCGAAGGGGAAGGTAGGGCCTTTCATCACGGAGCTTGAACCAACGATTTAGGGGCCTGGTTACACCTGCTTCGTCGACGAGAGCGTGGTCGAGACCAGCGTCACCTGCGTTTTGAGACCGCCATTCCAAGGCCCTCGCCTTGGCCCTGTAGTTGGCGGGTGATGCATCTGCAAGAGCGGTCCTTCGGAAACGCTCGCCTAACGGCCGAGGCGTTGTGGGGGCCACGCGCTCGACGGGCCGAGGCTCTGACGCGCGGGGTGGCGTCGCCTCCTGGCTGGCTTCAAGGTGAAGCTGAGCCGTGGGGAGGAGGGGACCTAGAAGTATCAAGTGAGTTAGGATATGGTCGTTCTCATCCTTTAATCTTTCGAACCGCCAGAGGAGAGGCCCTCGGCTTACTTGTTCTAGTCCTCTGACGGAGTCATCATCTGGGGTTCTCAGCCCGGACTCTACGAGACCCTCGGCGCCTGCTCGCCGCTGTCTTTTCCTTGGCGGCTCAGGGTCAATTTTAATGACTGCAGGCGAGGATATAGAGTGCGAAACCACGGCCGAGGCTCCATAGGGGTGCAGGGGAGCCGGGTCATCGTCTCCCGTTAGGTCGATCGGGAATTCGCGACTGCTAGCCCATTAGTCCTCAAATTTCCGGAATCTACGCGCGTTGGATCAAGAGTAACACAACCTACCTCATCGCGCTCTTCGATACATGACTGGAGGGTGGGGGTTTATTTTAGAACTAAGTCCATCCAAGCTATATTCAGCTTGAAAATGTTGAAACGTGGCTATGCTGAGTCATAGCATCCTCTGTTCCATGATTTATGATCTTATATAATCACGTATTTCTATTTATAGTTTTATATAGTATAAAACTTATATTAATAAGCTTTTTATATATAATTATTATATAATATAATTTATAGTTTTTAAAAAGCGATAGCTTAGATAAGTATAAACTAGTACTAGTATTATGATTATAACTATAAATTAAAAACGCGATTAGCTCAAGTAAGCTTCTTAGAATTTCATTAGAGATTAAAAGCGATTTATTTCTATTCTTACTTATATAGTTTTATTCTGCTCTCTCTTCTTACTTGGTCTCTCAGCTTGAATTAAGCACTATAATTAAACTTTGTAGGGTAATGTTATAAAATGAATCTGGAAATGTGAAAGATAGAAAAAGTAGCTATACTACGAAGTATATAAACTGACATCTGTGAGATAAACTGTTAAGATCATTTTGCGAATGAAAATTTCCAATATCATCTCATAGTTACCTTCAAAGTTTCTTACTATAATTAGTTTCATGCTCATGTGTGAAAGTACTCAGATATCCATTCATGAATTGCAGTTCCATATCGGCAATATTAACGAGGAAGTGCCAACATATATAAAAGCCATAGACTTATTAGTCATTTGTTTACATGTTTCTTAGTTTTATAGGGAAAGAGATGACAAGAGCGATGATCAGTGGGTTTGATGACATTTATCTCAAGTAACTTAAAGGTGGAAGTTGTAACTTGTTTCAGCGTGCTTCCCACCGCAACTGATAGCACAACATTAAAAACTTTAAGAGCCTATACTCTAAAAGCCTGATAATAAGAGTGCTATCACCATCTAATTTTCAGATCACGTGACTTGCATTTCCGTTCTTTTATCCTCAGCTACTTTTATAACCAACCCACTCTCTTAGTAGCTTTTTCTTAGATTTTTAATAATTATTAATTTCATTTTTACTTATAATCAAGAACTCCTAATTAAAATATAAATAGATTAGAAGCCTTGACACCTTATATTATGCCGAGGTAACTTGTTCTCGACCACTCAAGTTTTCCCTATATCAGTAAGACCTAATTAGATAAACTGTCACACCCCACGCTATATCTATTCCTGCCGGCGATATGACCCCGATGCACTTTCGTTGTGTAAGCGCGAGCCTTGCCTCGGCACCCGAGTTTTTGGACCCCATCACAAGCGGAAATTAGAGCCAGCTCCAGCGCACCCGTGGTAGCGTCACAGCCCGAGCAATCACAAGGTGACGGAATTTTCCGTTGAGTAAAGAACTGCGAATCGTTCTGATATGTAAATGAGACACGTCTAGATATGCTGATCCATACTCCAAGCTGCGTCATCAAGAGGGCCCCACACAAGATGACCATCTTTTCTACACTAACTGAATAACGTACAAATGACCCCGGAGCGGCCGGAGTGTTTGTGACAAAAGAAAATAAAACTTGATATCTTGTTTACAGCTTCGCCTTGGCCGTCGAGGCAGGGTCAGCCTCAATTTCCTGGTACATGCGGGCAATCTCGGCCTTGAAGGCCTTGGCAGCCGGCGCTCTCTTGAGTTTGAGACTAAAAGGAAGGAAAAACAAAGACACAAATTAGCACTGGTTCGTCGGATGGCTCGGTTGATTATCTAGGAGAAGGTGTGGGGGTTCTGGGGCAAAGGTGGAGGTAAAAATCACTTACGTAGGTGTCAAGAGCTCGTTTTCGACAGTGAAGGGGTCGACAAGAAGCAAGCAGCCGCGAACCTTTTCGAAGCTGTTAAACTTGTGGCGCTTGCCTATGTCGTCAAGAATCTTGAGGAACGCCTTCCTCACGGCAGGCTCGGCACCGGCGGCCTTCAAGCCCTCGGCGTTTGTGGGATCGACGGGCTTCTTGAGAATGTTGCTCGCCCAGGGGGCGAAAGCGACGGGGTCAACACCAAAGATGGCGACGAGGCTAGACTCCTTGGGGTCGCCGTGCACGTAGCCAGAGGCAATCAAAGTAGTGCTGCCGGCGTACACATTCTCGATCCTCTCGGGGAGATGTACTCGCCCTGGGAAAGCTTGAGAACGTTCTTCTTGCGGTCAATGATCTTGATACGGCCGAGGCTATCAATCTCGGCAATGTCACCGGTGTGGAACCAGCCGTCAGCCTCGAGAGCCTTCTTGGTCTCCTCCTCGTTCTTGTGGTATTCGCGGAAGATGCAAGGGCCCCTGAGGAGAAGCTCGCCACGGGGCAAGGCTTATCGTGTACCGAGTACTCGAGATCGGGAACCGACTCCAAGCAAACCTCGACACCGGGGCCGGGGGTCCTACAGATCCGAGACTGAAGTCCTGGCGGAGCTGGAAAGTCGCAACGGCGTAGGATTCGGTGAGACCATAGCCTTGGCCAAACGAGTTTCCGAACGCGGCACGTAGGAACTCGTGCACGTCGGGGTCCAGCATGGCGCTGCCGCTGAGCATGGTGTGGCACCTCTGGAGGCCGAGCGCAGCACGGACCTTGGGGGTCCAGATGCGGTCGTAGAGAATGTGGGTGTTGGAGGCGGCGCCCGCAGGCTTCTTCATGTTCGCCTTCTTGGTCTCGATCACGTGGCGGGAGAGAGCACCCTTGACGCCCTCGGCCTCGATTGTGGCAGTTCGCAAAGCAGAGTTGAACTTGTTGAACAGGCGAGGCACGGACATGAGGGCGGTGGGGTTGAGGAGCTTCATGTCGTCGACAAGCCCGGCAATATCTCCGTGGAAGTAACCAACGCGGGCGCCGACAGCGAGGGCAGTCATATCGACCAATCTGCCGTAGATGTGGGCGAGGGGAGGTATGAAATGTGGACATCGTTGTAACCGACGGTTCCTCCGGATCGAGCGCTGGTGATAGCGGCGACCGCAGAGCCGTGGGTGAGAACGACACCCTTGGGCATGCCGGTGGTACCGGAGGTGTAGTTGATGGTGGTGATGTCCTCGCGGCGAGGAGGCACGGGCTGACGCCCGGAGCTAACGCCGATAGCCTCAACCTGGGCCATGGAGTAGATCTTGATGCCATTCTGGGCAGCAATGGCGTTCAGTACCTCGAGCTTGGTGTAGCCAGATTCCTCACCGGCATCCAGGGGTCGAGGCAGATGATGGCCTTGAGCGTAGGGAGACGGGGGCGAGTTTGAGGAGAGTAGGGACGTGAGGCAGGAACAGAATACGGAAGCAAGCTCGGCGTGGTTCACGATGTACTCGGTAGTATCGGGTCCGAGGGTCTCGTAGAGCGAAACCGTGAATAGAGATTGCGAGACAATAGCGAGATCTAAGCGCATTGGCCAAGGTTAGAAGGATGAGATTGAGCAAGGAAATCGAGGTTCGGGGGAGAAGGGAGAAGGAAAAGAAAAACGGGAGAGAGGGAGGGGATGGATGTATGCAGTTCGACTACGTACCAGCGATTTGCCATTCGGCGCGGTTCTGGGCCCACAGACCAACACCGCACTTTTCTGCGGTGATACCGGCCTGCTTGTGGACCTCGACGAGACCAGCGCCGAGGGCCTTGTACCGCTTCGAGACCTCGCCATAGGTTTGCCAGACATATTTGTTCTCCCACGTCTTGGTCTGGGCGTTCCAGGGCCGGGTACCAAGACACTTTGAGTTGGTGAACTTCTTGGCAGCCTGCTCGAAGAGGTCGTAGGTGCTCTGGACCGCAGGGTCGAAGGTGGTCAGAAGGCCATCGCGGAAGCGGAAGTTTCTGTAGATGGCAGTACGATTTTCCGTCTCGGTACCGGGGACGGGGACACCCTGAGGGGTGTTGGGAGCAGGTGGCACGGCGAGGTCGCGAATGGCCTGCTCGGAATAGGCTCGAGGGGCGGTCATGATGGCGGTTTTAGGGGAGGGTTGCGCTCCTTGGAAAGGATGGCACGGTCGAGTCTAGAGGCGCAGCGTCGGGTTTACTAAGGAACTCTCTTCCTGATGTTGAACCGCTGCAGTGGTTTAAAGATCAGTCTCCATAGGCTTCTCCAACGGAAGGAACGGAATGCAAGGGCAAAAAAAAAAAAAAGGTAGGTCGGGAACGACGGTCGCAGATTTGGTAGCTAGAGGAATAGCAGGAATAGCACTTGACGTACCTTGCGCAAGATCGTCGTAATGGTGGGCTGGGACGAGATGGGGAGAGAAAGGATCATACAAGACTTGCGACAGGGAGGGAGGGCGAAAAAGGACCCAAGGTTAATAGGGGACGTCAGCACCCATTTGGGCATTTCGATGGATGGGCATTTGAGAAAGGCATGCTGGTATCGCCGTCAGCATGCCTCGGCACAGGTCGTCGGTGCGGCTGGGGAAGGAAGGTACTCCGAGTTTTCGTTGGCTGCATTACGGGGCATCTTGCTCGAAGTGGAGGCCCACATCCAAGCAACGGAGTTAGCAACTGGATCCTCTGACGCCTCCGTTCCCCAGTACTAGCGCCACTTCCATGTGAATCTGGGTCCAGAAAAACACCACCCGACGCTGCCAGGACTGGCACACCCGCACCAGCGTCGCTCAAAACACCCTCGCCTTGCCCCCAGAAATGCGGAGCCGAGGAACCCGTCGCGCACAGGATTTTTAGTTCCGCACACGCTATTTAGCCACACTCTCTTTTCTCCCCCTTTTCGCCGCTGTCCTCTCTTTTCTTGCCCCTCGTCCTTAGTAAATTGATGAAGACGAAAGTGGAATTGAATTCGTCGAGACGGGGTGCCGGGTCTCTCCGAATTACCGCCCCGAGCGAAGACGGCATGCATCGGCGCAGACTCGGCTCTGCCTTGAAGATTACTCAGATGCAGATTGGCCCTGGGAACATGTAACACTGCATGCTAATCCTGTTGGTCTCTCGGGAACTGAAGGTTAAAACCAAATTAACCCGTGGCGCTGAAGGACGAGGGACGACCGTCGCTTTGTTCTTATTAAATGATCAACGATCAATGATCAGCGTGAAATCTCCTTGCCCCGTGTATCTTGGCCCTAGGCCTCGTCCATGTTAGCGGCTCTGTGGCCCAGCAAGGCAAGGCAAGGGTGTCGACCACATGCAAACGAGAGCCCTCAGCTTCATGTTATCGTGGGAAACAACCTGTTCTCGCCGACTTGTACCACTAGTGTACGCCACGTTTCCTTGTTGTACGAAGTGTTGGGGGCGCCCAGAGAGAGTAGAGGGTGAGACAAGGCAAAGTAAGAAAAGAAAAAGCAACTGAGGAATTGCTCCTGGTGAAACTGCCCCCACCTTCCACGAGGAGCCTTCGTTGTCTCTCATGCAGGTGCGACACCCCAAGAGCAGCAGACCCAGAACAGTGCCAATTGCAATTATCGATGATGGATCTCCACTGGCAGAACCCTGCGATTCACGTGAGAGCGCGTCACCCCGGGCACCCTCCGCAATGGTGGAAACGCGAAGCTGGTGATTGAGACCTCGCTCCATCCCTTTTATTCTCCCCAAGCTCCGAGTCTCCACATGGATGACTTTGACACAAACATCACCGATCCGAACGCTTCACCATTGACACCTAGGAGCTATTGCATGAGACTCACGTTTTTTTCATCTAACCTCTTTTCTCTTTTTTAGGTCAACAACGGCAGAGAGATGGACGCGGCTGATGACGAGGTTCCTTCACACACCGATCGTGTCCCATAACGCACCACGCCTCCCCACAGTTCTCCGACCTCACACCCTTCCTAGAACAATCACCCGCTTCGGGGGATGTTCTGAGTGGCCGTGCCTCCTATTGATATAGCGCCCTAGAGCCCGCATCGGGACCTCTTTGTTGCGGAATTTTGTCTGCTTGGTGGCATGGTCCAGCGAGGGGGTGTGTTATCGGAACTTAACCCTAAGATCTCACCTTGGTTACATCTCAAGTCTTGCATCCTTCGTCTGCTCGACGCTTCTGTTAATCTCACCCGGGCGCCCCGGGCGCGCCGCCGCTGAAAAGCGGACCCGTGTCCCGCCACCTCGGGGACGACCAGCGGCTGAAGGCAACCCAGTCGCTTTACCTAGCGAGTAAGAGAACAAGGTCCCTGAGTCACAAACTGGTAAGACCCTCTGGCCCGAGGGCGCTCACGGCCTTGTTCCGCTGGGATCTGGACGTTTAGCCACCCAAAGGATTGTGTTAGCGACGTGAGATATCCCGGCTAGGCAAGATGTGCTGGAGATTGTGCATCCGTCCGAGGTCCAAACTCACCCGCAGGCCAATGAGGTCTTGCTTGGGCTCCTGTTAAGGAAAAGAAAATGAGAGTTTGGCGTGCGAGCGGAGTGGAAGGGAAGGGCACAGGTAGGCTACATGCAGTCAGGAGTCGCTCTTTCAACACCTGGGTGCCGGGCCTCGCCCCGTCCGAATCGCTCTCCTCGTACCGTCTCTAGACTGGATCGAGGTCTGTGAACGGGGATCCCTTGGCTACATACCGAAAGAGCAACCTCCTCCTGACTTTGTAGCTACGCTACTACTCCCTCTGCCTACACTTGTGCCCTCCGACCCCTGAACCTTCCGACACAGCCTTGGAACCCTGGAAATGGGGGATGCATGTCTCCTACACGGACCGCTTAGCTTGGACGATCACTCCTAGCGCCCGGCATACGCTTAAACGCGCGGCCGCGTCACGCTCACCCGTGTGGTCCGGCTAGATGCATCAACCTCTTGTTTCACTGGCACTTGGTCCCGTGAATCAGAGGGCGCCAAAATAGGACCCTTCGGGGACAACTTCCTCTATCTGGTCTCGCGCAAAGCGGGATGAGTAGGGATGAAAGCACGATTTTTCTTGACGTTTTTGTTCGTGCGGAACCTGCCTACAGTCCATTTCCTCTCTGGATCTGGTTCTGAGGAAACATGGAAACGTCTCGGCTGGCACTGCGAACATACAGAAGGAGCCTCGGTCAACCTGCGAAATCTCTCAATGTCCGCGTTGATACTATAGGGTTGGGTGAGCGTGAAGCAATGAGTGCTTTTGCTCATCTATGGTGTCTCTGTCAGCCTCGGTCAGGGCTTGCTTGATGGCTTTTTTCTGTTGCGAGTCCGCCTGGTGCCCTGAGTTGCAAGAGGCTCGCTATGGGGACGGGGGACTGAAGCGGCATCCCGGAACCCGATCAAGAATTGGCGTTTACAAGCCTTGTGCTTTGCTGGGATTTGCGGACGTCTCCGCCGTTACACCCTTCGAACCGGCTTGGGTCGCTTTGGCTGTCTTGCGCAGAAGACCATCTATAACTTTGGATAAGGGCAGGCCAAGAGGTTGGTAGCCCTGGTCGCGCTTTTCCCAGCAATGGCAAGAGCGCGGCCCTCCGCGGTCTCGGGGATAAGTCTCGTCCCGTCTTCAATCGGATCCAATATCCCAACGCTAACAGGGCTGATAGGTCCCTATTTCTCCTCGTCACCACTCTCGTTCAAACAACCGCGGAACCTGACTTGTGCTGCTAACAACATGTTTTCATCCTGACAGCTATTGCACTAGGGCGAGGCAGGCCGGGTTCCACGACTCCCTTTTATTCAATGTTAATATGGGGCAGCCTGGAGAGGTCCCCCTCCCCTCCTTTTCAGCTTGCATTTTGCTATTAAAATAAATGAATCACACGGCATGCATCTCGTATCCTCACAGGCAAGCCTCAAGGAAACCTGCTCTTGACTAGCTCCACCCCATATTCTATCGGAGACTTGCGCCATCCAAGAAAGGGCCGTTCATTGGATTTGAGCACACAGCAAGATAAAACGGATGGGAACGCACATTTGCACCAGACTGGCGAAGCCAATGCCGATACCGAAATGCGAGGCGTGCTGGGTTGCTGCTGCCGGTAGCGAGGCTCCAATTCTTGGGACTGGTTGTTTTCCTCGCGTTCCCGATACCCCACACTCATCTCATCCTTTGGTGGACCAAATGTGATGTGGGCGCGAGGGATTCGGAGTTGATGGTGCAGCTTGTCATGTGATCCTGTTGGTCAAGGTGATCTATCACTTCTCTCTTCGGCCCACTGAGCTCCTTTGAGCAGGCGACCTTCGGCGACCTTTTATCCGGGGAATGCCGGCTTGAGCGGCCCATCGTGCGATTAATTGAGTGAGCTTGCAGGAGTCGGAGGGCGTCGAAATGCGATATATCGATTAAGCCATGGTGTGTCCAGGGCTCGGTCCTTATTGTCCTATCTGGCTGCAATGCTACGCTATATCCAACCCCCTTCCACAACTGCCTCTAGCGCCCATGGGTGAACAAGCCCCGGCGCAAGGGTGAAAGAAAGTCCTTGCTGTATTTGTCTCTTTTAATTTCCCTCAATTGGGCTTGATACTAAAAACCGGTGGACGCTCGAGACCCACGGTCGAGATGCACCGCACCGCCACTTGTTGGGGGAAATCGAGCAGAGTGTTGGTAGGTTTTTTGTCTGGCGTGGGAAAACTTGCAGGCCATACGTCCGTCTATATAAATCTTACATGAAGGGACATGGGCCATCGACACCTTCGGGCCGGGTCCACTGGCTCATGTCTTCGGACTTGGTTGACTTGTAACACCCGCTACTACCTCCCGTGCTCGATATTACCGATTCTTCTTGTTTCTTTTCTTTTCCTATTTTGCAAAGTTGATCAACGCACGGAGTCAAGTGCACAAAATGATATCAAAAAGGACAAACGTAGAAAAAGACGTGGAAAAGAGGTGATGGAAGGACTGAGCGTTAAGCAGACGTTAACATAAGGCTGCTGTAGCACATGTTGTGCTTGCTTTTTATTCTCTTACCCTGCCGAGCAAGGTATAGCTACCGAGGTACACTAAGAAAGAAAGAAAGATAAAGATTAATAAGAAAAGAGTTAGGATGAGAAAACGGATAATTGGGGGAAAAGCAAGTAATCGTCAAACGCCCGTTCGAGGCGCCATGCCAGCGGCGTGGAAATGTGAGAAGGAATTGTGACAGGGCGGAGCGAGGACCCGAGGTGCGCCACAACCCCGCGGGTTCGACCCCCACGCTTCCCCAGTATCGTCGTGTTCGCGCAGGTTCAACCTGTCAGATCCTGATCCGTTCTGGTCGGTTCTAGAGGAAGTCTATTCCCCTCTTCACCCCTCTCCCTGGCTCCCTGTCCCGTTGCTCCCCGCGCCCCTCCGTGAGTCAAATAACGGCCCGTGTAGTCGTAATCTTGCTCGCCCGCTTTTCCCACGCAAGGCTCGGCCCCCATGGATTGCCGGCTTGACCTCATGCGTGCTTCCCCTGTGCGCCCTAACCTGTCGAAGAAGAGAAAGAAGGGAGGTAATAGAGGAGGAGACGGACAAAGAAGAGGAGTGAGGGGGAAAGGAGTGAAAGATAGTGTTGAAGAGACGCCTGGCAGAGCTAGGGGACCGGAGCCGGCATCCTTCCAACACATGAACCTCTTTTGATCCCCCTCTCCCCTCCCCTGCCAACTCTCTCTCCTAACCCATCCGGGTTATCCTAGCCTTTCGTATCGTTATCATGATTTGTTCTTTCGTGATTTCATATCAAATTTCGTCCATTACCCTTTGCAGCATCGTCCTTGGGTCCTAGCGCAGTAGTCTCGTTCTGCAAAAGAATCCTCCAAACACGCCATTCATCCATTTCCGAAGCGCCACACGCATATGACAGAGGAATTAGAGCAAAAAAGATGGAAAGCAAATAAAAACCGAAGATTGGGAAACGAGGGGAGGGGCGTCTGGTGCTCGGCGACATCATACCCTCCCCCATTCCCCGTTCCTTCCCTCCCTACCCCCTCCCCTCCCTTCCCTTTCCAGTCTAGATATTGGCCACTTAGGAATCCAAGCAAAGAGGTGGTCCGGCAGGTGAAGGTGTGTCGCCGTCGACTTCCCCGAAATAGGGAGCTTTTCGGTCGAGTGGCCGCAGTCGTCTGCAATGACATGGTGCTCTTGGGCGTCGCATCCGTCGGCCTGGCGATACCAGATACAACAAAGGTTAGCAGGTCCAGGTATATGGCCAAGAGGGGCCTAGCAATGAACCCGCCAAAAAGAAACAAAAGAAGAAGGGAGATGGACGGTGAAGCCCAACGCTGGGAAACTTTCCACATCCCCAAGAAGAACTTACAAGGCACTGCATGCAGGCTTCGCCGTTGACGTAAACCCAATTCTGGCAAGACTTGGAGTAAAAGTACTTGCACCTATACTTGTAGAATCCACCGCCGCCGCTGCTGAGATTGGTGACCATGATGGCGGGATGTGGAAGGAAAGGAGGGGGGCGAAGGGGAGGCGGAAGAATGATAAGGGTGGCGAGCTTCGCAGCGAGGTTTTAGGACGGAGGATATGTCTAAAGATCGGAGAGATGAAAGGGGCCACTACCCGCTGGCAGTGAAGCGGCTTGGGGTGCTCGAAAGCGAGTTGGTCCCAGAGGAACCTGTGGTGATGCACAACTTGGGTAACGATTTAATCGTCCACGCCTCGGGGAAGGCCGAGGGGGTAAGCACCGGGTCGTGCCAGGCGAGGACCGAGGTGTAAGTGGGAGCTGTTTCTGTTGACAACTTGGGTTAATTGGTGCAGCTGAACGGGGAAGAGAGATCGTGACTGTCAAGGGGTACGAGAGAGGTATTAGGACAGGTCGAATGTCAGGCCGGGAAGGGAAGCAAGAGTCAACGCGATTCGATCTAGGCGGACTCTTGGGGAAGTTATATCTTTGACCTCGGTGGTTATCAACACCCAAGTGGGGAAGGATCTCGTTCCGTCAAGAGTGGATTGGGTGGTCAGCACTACGCCGTCTAAAGGCTTACGCGGGAAACAGAAAGATCATGTTGCCCGCAGTCCATCCTGCTTCTAGAGTCTGTCTTTTTTCCTTTTCTTTCTGGTGAGTGGGGTGAGTTAACTCCCGATGCAGGCGCGCGCCTTGCGTCTCTATAAATGGGATGTGTTACATCTGACCTTGGCCTCTCCATGGCTCTGGAGGGGCAGGATGGTGTGCACAAGTATCGATGCATCCATGCTGGTGTGTGCGTGTGCGTATGCGTGTGTGTGTGTGTGTGTGTGTGTGTGTGTCCATATCTGCGTCCCTGTCTGTGGGTGCGAGTGCGTGTGTGGGAGCTGCCTCCCGCTAACTGGAGTTTGACGGGGAGGGGGGTGGAGAGGTGACAGACTGGGATAAACCCAGTGGTGTCACCATGGCAGGCCACACGGAGATGAGCAAAGAACGTGGGCCAATGTTGTGCTCTCTTTTTTAGACCAGTGGCCCACGAGCGAGAAAATCCTCTTCATAGAACACTAATATGTCTTTGGTGTAAGCAGCTACTACTGCAAAGGGGGCCGGGAAGGGGGGGGATACCAGGCCACCAGGGCCCCCAGACACCCCAACCCTTAGCACGGAGCGCCGAATGGGGATCGATTGATGTGTTCTGGGCCTGGGTAACGGCGGGTCAGTCCATGGGAATCCGCATTATGCACCGCGAACCCGATATCTGTTTTGGGCCGCTCGCTTGGCGGAATGCGCGGAGCGCTCAATGTGTGCGTACATACCGGCCCGGGCACCGGAATCGGGTTTCTAGTGTAGGTTGTTTGCATGCCTGCCAGAGATTAATTGGAGCTCAATGGCTGTGGGAGCCCAGGTATTGTGCTCGCCCCCGGCCGCCTGCTTGGCCGAGTGTGCTGGGACGGCATCGTAGGGGGTCGTCGGCGCCATGCTTCTGCTTCCCGCGAGTAGGCAGAAGCCTAGACGTAGAAGGCCCCGTTGAGTGCATGGGATTCGCATGGGATTCTCTATTATTATTTTTTTGCCTCCCCAAGCCCACCGTCCCTACCCAGAAAGCGTCAATTCGGACGCAGAGAGAAGGCAGCCGTCCAAGTGCGGGCGGGTCGCATGCAGGTGGGAGGTACCGTCAGGTAAGAGAAAACCAATTCATGTGGTCCGAGACGGAAAGGGAATATTTTGACAATGGTATGATAAGATGTTCGCTGTTGAGTAACTACATATCATGAGTCGTCGCCCACTTCACCCCCTCCCTTCCACCTCCTCCTTCCCCCACACACACCCACTGGCCTGTTTTGGCCGACAGGAGGAGCCTGTGTGCGCCATGGACAAGGTTCCGTCCGCCACTTCTGGGATTGGCAGGGGCGACGTCCAGGGCTTAGCAAGTAATAGGAGGGTCTGGTGTATCCGCCTTCGGCGACACTCCTCAAGCAGTCATCGAACACTAGCCCGCAAGAAATGGGGAGGAGGGTGCGCCAGTCGGGAGCCGGAGTGTGGGCTCTCGGGACATCGGGGCAAGCACGGCATGTAAAGCTACCTATGGACGATCCACTTCCATCCTATCTACCTTCCGTTTCGCCGTTGACTCTTGCAAAAAGACGAAAAGCCCGACACGTTGTCAAAGGGCCAGGCTCGTATATGTGCAGCTCATGTGCAAACGCCCGTCCCCGCCATCTTGCCCAAGATGCCAGCGATGTGGAACCTTTGCAGTTGCGCCTTCCCTCGAGACGCAGCGCGACAAGAGGGGCAATCCCAAGGCCCGAAGAGGCAGCGAATTCCTAGCCAAGCTGACCCCAATGATGCACAACGGCAGGCAACTGTGAGCCCACTACTAGAGATGGCTAAGCTGGTTCGCTGATCTGCCAGCTCCTCGGCTGGCCGAATCTGTCATAATTCTTCGAGCCATTAACGAGGCGCGCTAATAAGTATGCCAAGAGCGATCGTTGCCCACTGCAAACAAACGCAGGCTTGCGGTTCTACCATGCCCATGTGCAAATGCCGATGAAAAGGTCGCAAAAAGCTAGATGAGTCTGGCGTTTGTGTAATATGTGTGTGTGTGTGTGTGCCTGTGTTGTGAGGTGTATGTATGTGCCTGGTGGGGGCCGCGCTGGAAGTGGACCAGCGTGTGTGTGGGTGCGTGGATCAGAGTGGAGCTTGAGAGAGATTCCAAGGCCTTAGGTTTTTTGTTACCATCTTCATGTCATGTAATGGCGAGTATTGGGGAGGTTGTAGGTGTGGGCCGTGGCTGGGGTTTGGGGGTCGCGCAGATGCCATATGTTACGTGAAGAGAGCTCAGGGATCAATTTCAAATTGAGATCGAGTCGGCCGGACGAGGAGATTGAGCAATAACAGCCAGTGTTATGGGCTCTTGGGCCTTCTATATTGGGAACATCACATTGAGCACTTCACGCTACCCCTTGACCTTTTCGAGACTCAGGAGGGGAAAAAGCTCGGCCTTTGATACATACACATGTCTCGATGAGCGCCATGGGATGCTTCGTGGGGCATTAGGGCAAACCTTGCCGGTCCGACAAGATTTTTATGCCCGAGAAGATGCAGCCCGAGCTTTAGATGTGGGAGGTATTAGTGAGACCGACTCTTGCTGGTTCAGTGTCATAAATGGTACTAGGCACCCTCATTCACTAGATTGGCCCTCGACTGGAATTGGAGTGGGCTGTCAGTGCAGTGTCAACGTGAGAAGAACCTGGGCGCTGACCACGGTTTCCTTTTTCGTCTGCTCTCCCCTGCCTGGCTCCTCGCTTGGGAAGGGACGACGTCGAGTGCTGGTTCGAGACGCTTTAGACCCAGTTGGGATGGGAAAGGGAAACCCTTTCAGATGACCCTTTTTGCACAAACCTCTTATTTTGCCGCCGTCCATTTCTGAGACGGACCAGCCGATAGACTATTGTCCGCATATCATGCGTTAGGGAGGAGTTCCCGTAATGGACCCAGGTCCCCAATCCTTGCGTTCCCGGATTCCTGAAAATACATATGATTCGACGAAACTCCCAATGCCGCCGGCCGGCAAGCTCAACCTGCAGTGGGCAATGACGGCGGTGGGCCACTGGGTGGCCCTTCCAAATGTACCTCACTGGGTCCAAGGGGTGGATGGCGGGTGGTCGAAGGTCCCCTTGCCTTGATTCTCCGACAGCTTCCGTCCGTCCCCGCGCGTGTTGTAGGGCACCCTTTGGGTATCATGGCCCCACAGAGAGAAACTTCGAAGTCGAGGAAGGATCGATCCCAGGATGCAAATGCAGCAAGACCAGGATCGGACTCCAGATTTGCCTCCACCCTTGTTCCCTGGCACCTCGCGACGTCGACTTCGCGGGAGGTCTGCGCTGAAAGATCAGCAGCACCGACCGCCCTCTTCGAGATCGCCTTCATACTTGCTCTCTTACATCTACTGAATTGATATGATTAGTGCATCAGGATGATCAAATTGGGAGGGGCCCCTGCCTTGCCGGTGAAGCTGCAATGCCGTCGTCCAGATCTCGACCCAGCTAGAGGCTCGCCAGTCCGAATTAAGACTCGAGTGCTACTCGTGCTTTTCTCTGCCCTCGAATGCGACGCGAGATCCTTCGGCTTGAGATGGCTACCCCTACTTCTACTACTAATACTGCTGCCACCATCACTATTTCGAAGCCCCCTAAAGAAATCGCATCACTACGTGGCAGTGATCTCCGCCTTTGCTGCAGCCGGCGATGCCGGGACCAGTGATCTCTTGGTTGGCATGTGTGATGAGATGTAGGTGGGTGGTTTCCGCTTACGAGGTTCCACCAAGGCGTGGTGGCACCTCGGAAGGGGCAAAAGCTCCAAATTAAGACGTCCCTTCTTCCCCTTCTTTTCGCCGGTGTGGGAAGAGGTGCCTTTTCTCATCAAAATTCGACTGTCGAGATATGCGAGAACGGGCTCATCGGGATCCTCTCTGTACCCGAAACCTGTTATTCACGGCCTCGAACTTGATAACAGCCCAGCTTCTTGTGGGTAACGTCGCCGACGCCCTGCACTTAGAGCTGAGAAAGGAGCAGCCCCGATGTTTCCAGCACCTTTTTTCTTTTCATCTGACCGGTCATGTGGCTAAAACCCTTTCTCTTCTCCCAGGTGCCTAGTTGTCCTACGGTTGCATTTCTCACGGCCTTTTGAATGTGTTTGAGCAAGGCCTCGTGCCCAGTTTCCAGGACTCGCGCCACCTACGTACATATCACCCTTCGTTAGTGTGGGTGAGGAATCTTGATGATACCCCGGACGTGGCCTAGTCATCATGGAATGAGGCAGAGAAGGGAGGGGGAAAGTGTGACAGGGCAGGCCGGTTTCACGCATCGACAAATTGCTAATTTTCGAGACGGACCAACTGACTTCGGCGGAATAATAGGTGGAGTCCTGAGGGAAGAAAGAGCCCGGCCGCGGCAACGCTTGATGCGTCCGGCCAGAATAGGCAATCCTCACTGCGCCTAGCTCTGAGGAAACCCTGGCATCAACCTTTCCCCTCTCCCCGTTTCCCACAACAATGGTTGTTGAAGCCATTCCGAGCAGCAATACCGAGGGACTGGACAACGGCGACATGGCCTTCCTTGTTAATGCAAGGCATCATACGATTCCTGTTGGCGCATCTCTGGTGTCCTGTTTTTGGCGAGGAGAAGGCCCTTTCCCTCCCTCCTCTCCCTCTAGCGACTCGGCTGGTGTCGCCAAGGGTCCGGTTGGTCATGGTGGGCGCCAAAGGGGGATTTTCTCCCGGCAGGCTTCGACACTTTGAGAAGGGATGCTACAAGGGAGGAGGGGGATCTGAGTCCCCTACCCTTCCAATTTCTTCCTCCTCCGCCCTCCCTGTTGTCATCGGGATAACTCGTCTCGCCGACAACGGTGTTCGCCACACCTGGCGCGCTCTGCACGAGGCAACTCCAAAACGGCATTTCAGCCGACTTGTCATTTTCTTGCGAGATCGATCCACGTTGCATCTCGATCTCGATAGTGCATTTGGCCGAACCGGAGGTTAGATTCGGTTTGGCGGATTTTGGCTGGGGAAAAAGGTCGAGAGGAAGAGATCTACTTCGTACATGTTAAGGCTGAGACCCCCAAGCATTGGGCCGTGAAAGTGGTCTCCTGCCAAGAGAGATGGGTTTTAGTCTGCCATGGCCAGTTGTTCCCATGCTTCGACGATTCTTCTCCCACGTTGTCCCATGTGGCGTTTTGTGTTTGCTTTTTCCAGACCCTTCCTCTACCAGGCTCTCCCACCCCTCGTGCTATTGAGGTGGGTGGGGTCGTCCTCAAAAATGGCAGCACCACCAAGATCGTGCTTTGGTGCAGACTGAAATAGCTAACGTATGGAACAACCTCCTCGCCCGAGAAAATCCGTCCTTGTCCAATAGGGGTTTAGGGCCTTTATCGGGGTGTCACTCCCGGGTTCCGAGACGAGCAATTCTGGGGAGCATTACTTTCGTGCCGCCGAACAGCACAGACACTTTGTAGCCGATCGGTTCTGACAATAATATTAATACCCTGCAGCGAGACTTTGGCCCAGAAGGGCTCGGTTATGGGCGGGTTACCATCCCTCTCAGCCCGTGATGGATGGTAGCCTGTGTAACTATACTAAAGGCTTTACAACTCAACTTGTTCCCCAAATGTGTTGATCACCACTAGTCGTTTTGGTGGGGCAACGGGCGCGACTACGCCGTGCAACCCGAGGTCATCATTTTTTTGCGAGAGGAAGATTTTCAGTTTGGGGAGGTAGGGGGAGGCATACACGGATGAATCTTGTACGAGATTTCAGGGAGTTGCTATCTGCTTGCTTTGCCGTCTAGTTCACACTTGGTATAATGATCCCTTTGGAAAAAAAAAAAGAAAAAAAAAGACAGGTCACTTCTTCCTTCAGCCCCCAGCCTAGCCTTTCTCAACAGAGCAGACGCGATTGCCGGCGATTGTAGGCCCACATTTGAGTGTCCTTAGAGATTGCGATATCAACATAGTGCCTTGGACCTTGCTTCTCCACCGCCCCCACCCAGTCACGATTGAGCAGACTGATGTGCAGATACTCAGCGAGGTTGACGCCTGAGGTCCTCGCGACGCTTCTTTTTAGTTGCAGCCCTCACAAGCGCCGAGCGTACCTCACCGGGTTCAAAACTATCTAAATCATAATAGACTGGTGCAATTTCCTATTTTGAAACGAAGCCAACATCATTAGTCTCGGACGGGATACACGAATCAGGTCAAGATGAAGGGAGGTGTGGGCCACGAGTCGGGCACGGGCACGAGACTTGGATGCAATGCGGGAGCATGGCACGAGGAGGAAAAAAGGAAAAAACGACAAGAAGGGATGGGTGGGAGAGGGTGACCGACGGGGGTGGAGAGAGGGGGTGGGGGCGCGTGGTTCGCGGAGAGCTAAATCAAGTAAGAAACTTACTAGTAGCCATTCGGGCTTGATGTAGGTACAAGTACGAATATACTGCTGTGAGGTAAGGACGAACTCGTGGTACAGGACCCAATCGTGATCGACCTTTAGCACAGTTGACGGGTGGAGCCTGACGGCTTGATTGTCCTTGACAGTGTAATAAACCTTTGCGGAAGGGTTCCGCAGGGCCACTTGCATGAAAAATCCAGTGAGGAGACAGCGGCGGATGTTGGTGTAGTAGTTCTTGTCCTCAAAGGGCGTGGACATGAGCTCGAGGTTGTGCGTCTCCATGATGCGCTTGAGCTGGGCGCGCACGCTGTCGGCGCTGGAGAGGTGGCGGAAGTTGAGAAAGTGCTGGTGGCACCAAGCCCTCGCGTCGCTGTCCGAGTCGTTAGCTTGGCCCTTGAAGGCGTGGTAGGCGTTGAGCAGGGTCAGGTGGTCGCCGTCCGGGTGGGCGAACTGGGCCTTCATCTCGTCGGCGCGCTTGCGGGCGTTGGCGGGCCGCATGAAGATCTGGGGCACGGAGAGCAAGGAGGTGATGGACAGAATCTCGTTGGAGCAGTAGAACTCGGGCGACGAGATGAGCATGACGGCGAGGGCGGGGTCGAGGGGAACTCGGAGGCCATACTCCCGAGGGCCGTGAGCTCGCCCTCATCGTCAAGACAGGCTAGGTAGTTGAGCTCCTCGAGCGCGCGCATCATGGTCTCGGGGGCCGGGGGTCCATGAGATCAAAGTGCACGAGATCCTCGACGCCGAGCTTCTTGAGCTCTAGCACGGTGTTGGCAAGGTTAGATCGGAGAATCTCGGGGTACGTCTGCTCGATGAGTTCCTTCTTGAAGGCGTTTTCCGTGTAGAGGCGGAAGCACTTTCCGGGTTTCGTACGACCCGCACGACCGGCCCGCTGCTGCGCCGAGGCCTTGGAGATGGGGAGACGAGCAGCGACTCGACTCGGCTGCGAGGGTTGTAGATCTTTTGCTTGCTAAAGCCGGGGTCCACCACGTACACGATGCCGTCAATCGTCAAACTGGTTTCGGCGATGTTGGTAGCCACGATGACCTTGCGGCCGGGTTTGCCACCCTTTCGGAGAGGCGGGGAGGGCTGTCAAAGATCTTTTGCTGCTGGTACGGCGGCAAGGAACCGTACAGGGGATAGATGGCGAGGGGGCCGCTATCCATCTCGCGTACCATCTCGTCGGCCTCGGCAGATATCTTTTTGCAAACATCTTCAATTTCTTCTTCACCGGTCAGGAAAAGCAGCACGTCGCCCTCGGGCTCGGATCCGTGGATCTGCAAAACGGTTCGGATGGATGCCTCGACATAGTCGCGCTCGGGCTCGGGTGTGTAAAGATCTCTACAGGGTGAGTTCTACCTGGAACGGCGAGGAGCGGCGCATCGTTGAAGTACTTCTGGAACTTTTGGGCGTCGAGAGTGGCAGACATGATGATGATCTTGAGGTCGGAGCGCCTGGCGGCGATTTGCTTCAAGAGCGCCATCAGGATATCGGTGGCGAGAGTACGCTCGTGGGCCTCGTCGAGAATAATGCAGCTGTACCTCGACATCTCGTGGTCGTGCATGGCCTCTCGGAGGAGCATACCGTCGGTCATGTACTTGAGGATGGTCTGGGGCGACGTCATATCCTCGAAACGGATACTGTAACCAACCTCCTCGCCCAACACAACGTCCATCTCGTCCGCTACACGGGTTGCGACTGACATGGCAGCGACTCGACGGGGCTGGGTACACGCGACAAGCTTCTTGTTGAGATGGGGGAGCTCATCGTAAACGACATACTGAGGGATCTGAGTCGTCTTGCCGGAACCGGTTTCACCAACGAATACAAGGATCTGGCTCGAGTGATACTTGTCAAGAAATTCTTGTCTATGTGAATGCTGTTAGCTCGACGCCCGCTCGGAGGGTGGGGGAGAATGGCGGAAAAAAAAGCGAAGTGGAGAGCTCATGGCAGGAGGGACGATTGCTTACCTCTGCTTGTGAACGGGAAGGTCGCGCCGTGACTGGAGGATGCTAAAGTACTGGCTGGTGTGTGGTCGGCCGGTGAAGGGATTCTCGTCCAAGTCCTCCACCTTCTCGGCTTGTTTGGCCGTGGTCGAGCGTCGGGTGAAGCCTGCGAACGGGGAGTTTGCGAATACCTCGTCGCCATTCGCATCGGTGTCGTCGTACGTGTGGGCAAGGTACGGGTTGTACTTTTGGGCGCCCTCGGCGTTTAGCGAAACACCGCCCATCTTTGCCTTTTTCCTAGAGTCGTCCGAGTCTTCGGAGCTACGGCGCTTGGTGCCTTTGGAATCCCAGCCCTCTCCCATCGTAGTCGCGACCAGTTTGAGGGGTGATTCACTTGCGGCTGGGCGCGTCGAGCGGGGCTTCGCACCTGTTGGGAAGGTAGAGCTGAGGATATGCAAGTCGGGTACCGCGAGGTTCCAATTGGAGACGCAGTAGCCTCAGAGGTGGGCGATTGGGAGGGGGAAGGAGGGAAGGAGGGGGAGGGAGGGGGCGGAGAATACGCAAGAAGGCTCCTGACGAGATATGTAGTATTCTGATTTGATGCGATTCAGGCACGTCTCTAAGTGGGAAGGGGGTTTAGGAAATTTTTTGAAAGAGCGCTGAGGAAAATGGGGCGGGCCACATCCACCCGCCAAAAGTTTCTTATCGTTATCGATAAGATAACGACTCTGACAGTGAGTTTCTGTCCTAGCACGGTACTGGTTTTTTTCTTGCCGAAGCTGCTCAGGGTCCAAACCCGGGATTTCGCCCACCAAGATAATGGAGCCCAGTGGTGCTGGTCTTGATTATGTCGCTGGCTGGGGAACTTGGTGAACATTGAAGCTCCTCGTTTAAGAGTTCGAGGGGGTGTATGAAGCGTCATTTTAGCGACTCTTTTCTGACACGGGACATCAACATGAATATATAGACCTCCGCTGAGAGGTAGCTAGGGCCTCCATCACTTGCAATAGATGTCCATCGATATCTGAGCTAGTCGATGGCATTGGGCAACTTCGAATATCCTCAAGGCTCTAAGCTGGTCAATCACAGAGAGCTTCCAAAGGCGCGGCACCTATGATTTAATTAAATAGAGAACAAAATCAAAAAAGGAATATTTCGATTTTAAAAATTCAAGCCCCAATAACTGTTGCTTGCCACCTCTCCTGATTATCCTTTAGGGAGTGTTAAGGGTGATTATAGGCTCATTCGATCTCAATGTTGTATCATAGTGAAAAATGCACGCTTGGGGCTCTGCTAAATGGTGGGCGGGCAACGAAATTTTGGACCCCTCCACCCTTACTATGAGAAGGGACGGCCCCTCCTTCACACCTTTTTTCCTTGACTGCATATTCACAGTTCCTAATGTGAACTGGAGCACCACCTATCACTATTTATACGACAATATTGAGGTGGAGAGGGTGTATTTGGCTTCCTGGTAAACCCCCTTGTTCTTCATCAGGTTCGATATTATCCTCCACTTGGCTTTCACTCTGCCCTACCTCACCTGCTTAGACTAGCCCGGACTGACATACACACGAACCATCGCCCTTTGACAGGTGAAACTTCAAAGCCTTGGGTTTTGACCTACCATGGCTTCCAGCATTGAAGATGCCTCTAGTAGGAATGATGATAACTACAACATTCCTATCTTCTACATCAGCCAGCATGACTCTACCCGCGACCAGCCTCTAGATGAGCTGGCTTACGGCAGTCTGCTAAATCTCGGAGTACGTCCAGCGCGAAAAGAGGCGCTCTCTATGTTCTTATTGCTATGCAACCGCTATTACTTGTGCCTGAGGCTGACCCCGCGATAGTTCACCTTTGTGACTGCGCCCATTTCCAACCGCAAGTTCTACAACAGAGTTTTGGAGTTGACCCGGACGCACCTTGCGGCCCTCGAGCAGCAAAAGGCCTCGGTCAACACCACCCACACACCAAACTTTCCCGATCCTGTGGTGCCTCCTCTGACGGCCGAGGATACCGGCTTGTACCCAAGCCCGACCTCCAAAAGCTTTACAGCGTACTGCAGCCCTTGGATCGACATCTGCTCTCCCAGTCCCGTCATTTCAAGCGTGTCCAGGCAGGTCCTCAACCAAGAGGTGAACTATGCCAACTTTTGCGGTGTAAGGACAGTCATCATCCCTGGCCCCCGGCAGGACGCCACGACGCCAGAGGGTAGCGATGGGCTGGCTCGGTATGCTCGCGCGGTAAAGGAGGTGCTCGGCGCCGCTCCCAGGCTCAGCTTTGTCATCCACGTTCCCATGTACCGAGAGCCCGGCCTAGAGGAGCCCGTGGACTCTTTGACTACGGTGCTATCCTCGTCGCTCACCGTTGGCTCTAGGGAGTTGATGAAGCCTGAATCGATTGACCTCTTCAGTGCCTGGGACAGCTGGGACTTTGTTCGCACAATTTGCGAGTACAATCTTAGATTGTTTGTCGGTAAGAGCCCCTTCCCCCTTTTACCGCTAGTCCTTTTATCCTGTGCCATCGACAGAGGCTAATATTGTGTTCCAAGGCGTACGCTTCCCCAAGAAACTGGCCGAAAGGGAACTGCAAACGCGCTGGTTTTCTGAGCCGGTGCACCTGATCTCCATCCACAAGGATGTTTTCCAACTTAACCAGAAGAAGTGCCCCTGCCTGAGCAAAGCTCACCAGGACCTGATTCGCGAGTTCCACACTCTTAAAAACACTCCCTGGATCATGCTCTGCGACGTCGGGCCGGACGGCACCGGTTTGGCGGCAGCCACTACCCAGGTTCCTGACAGCGCAGCCTTCCCCAGCCTCTCTGACGCGCATAGTCAGCAGGTGGCTAAACTAGGGGACAAAACCGAACTGCAAGCGACTATATACAATACCTGAGATGGATCGAAGCTACCCAGGATTCTCTATCCGATCTCGAATATAATACCCTCTCGGGCTTCCAAGACTGGCTCCAATCACCTCTTCAGCCCCTATCGGACAATCTCGAGTCAACCACCTACGAAGTATTCGAGGGCGACCCTGTCAAGTACAATCAGTACGAGGCGGCAACAATTGAAGCGTTGCGCTGGTGGAAGAAGACGAGCCGCAAGACGTCATCGGGATCTGGCGCCGTCGTGGTTGCCGTTGTTGGTTCGGGCAGGGGCCCTTTGGTACATCGGGCACTGAAGGCTAGCCAAGTTACAGGTGTGCCCGTAGAGGTTTGGGCGATTGAGAAGAACCCCAACGCGTATGTCTACCTCTTGCAGCGCAACGCCATCGAATGGGGAGGCCGGGTACATGTGGTCAGGACAGACATGAGAAGCTGGAAGGGACCTCTCCTCGGCACGTCGGACGAGTCATCTACAAAGTACGGACAGGTGGACATTCTGATCTCGGAGCTCTTGGGTTCCTTTGCGGACAACGAGCTATCTCCCGAGTGCCTCGATGGAGTTCAGCACGTCCTCGCGCCCGAGGGCATCTCGATCCCGAGCTCGTACACCGCCCACCTCAGCCCCATTGCGACCCCGCGCATCCATGCGGATCTCGTGAGCCGCGCCGCCACGGACAAGACGACCTTTGATACCCCCTGGGTCGTTCGCCTCTTCCAACTCGACTTTGCCGCTGCCCGCGGGGTTCCCGGGCACCCCCTCTTCCAGGAGATGTGGGAGTTTAGCCACCCGTTGCCCAAGGCTACTTGGGACCAGATGACGGCGAGGGGACAGAGCGGTCTTATCGGAGGCGTTGGCGGTAGCATGGAGGGCTCGGTCGGTGCCAACGAGCACAACGCCCGCTTCAGCCGGGTGAAATTTGTGTGCCTCAACCGAGGCGTGATCCACGGTCTCGCGGGATACTTTGAGTCGACCTTGTTCGAATGCCAAGACTCAGCCGGTGAGGTCAAGGTCGAGATTAGCACCCACCCTGAGAGGATTGATCAAAGAGCAAGGACATGATCTCGTGGTTTCCCATATTCTTCCCGCTAAAGGCAAGTCCCCTCCCTCGCATGTCTTTTTTTTTTTTCTTATTCGTTTTCTTTTCACAAACACCCCTAAACTGGACTAATACGCTAACTTTCCCTTTCTCAGCGACCCCTTCACTACCCCGACGATTCAGAACTCGAGATCAGTATGTGGCGACAGACGGACGACAAGAGCGTCTGGTACGAGTGGTTGGTGGAAGCGTACTGCTGGGCTGGAGAGAAGAAGCGCCTAAAGTTAGCTACGTCGGACCTCTGCAGTAGCCGTAGTGTGGCTTGCAAGATGCTCTGAGCAGGACATGATGGATATATATCTACGCGAAGCTCCATGGGCACTCAGCGAAAATGGCTCGGGCTAGTATCACTTGGTGTTGGAACGGTTTCGTCACCTAAGTAGCGCTCAAAATAAAAAACGAATAAAATAATCAAAGATCGTGCCGAAAGTATTTTCTCCCTTTCTACTAAAAACCCCCAAAAAATAAGAAACCAAGATTTCCTCGTAAAGCCAGCTCTCCTGACCCCTTCTATCCACCATCTTTAGACGGTTGATGAAAGGCCGGGCTAGGTTAGTCGCTTGTCACTCAAGGGCAAGTATTCGCCGTTTTTGTGGTGACAGACTTTAGGCAGGTGCTGACTCACTCACCGACCTCTGCGCTACCAGTGTCTCCTCATGTAGTGGCTAACTACGGTTGACATTTCTATTAATGGGAAATCGCCGATATTCTTAGTAGAGCAGGTCAGCAACGAGCAACCGACAACAAACTGCATATTTGGGGTTTCCCTCTCTTTTCTTTCCATTTCTTTCTTCCTGTATATTCATGACTTATGAATTTTCGGGTCGATCTGCCATTTTGCTCCCAACTTTGAAATAATTCAACATTTTGAGCCCGTCCTCCCAAGAATTGTAGCTTTCTAGCACCCAAGATCGATCTCTGCACCACAGACATCATAGCTTCTTTCCTGGCACTCTTGGCTATTTTTTCCCGCCTCACATCTCATGACAACCAAACTTGTAGACAGTCAAGGTGTTCGGGTCGCCATTGAAGGTTGTGTAAGAAGTACCCCTCTCTAACCCTAAGTGCTCGCAACACAGGGAAAAAAAAAAAAGGATGCATTTGCAGTCTGGCGTCCCTTTCGTTTTCCTTTCTCTTGCTGACTTTCGCCATCTAGGGCCATGGCGCGCTCCACGCCATCTACGCATCCGTCGACGAGTCGTGCAAGGCGCGCGGCTGGGACGGCGTAGACGTCGTGCTCATCGGCGGCGACTTCCAAGCCGTCCGCAACGCCGCGGACCTCAACTCCATGGCCGTGCCGCTCAAGTACCGGCACCTGGGCGATTTCCCGAGTACTACAGCGGGCGCAGCCAGGCGCCGTACCTGACGCTCTTCGTGGGCGGCAACCACGAGGCCTCGTCGCACCTGTGGGAGCTGTACTACGGCGGGTGGGTCGCGCCCAACATCTACTACCTGGGCGCCGCCAACGTCGTGCGCGTGGGCCCGCTGCGCATCTCGGGCATGTCGGGCATCTGGAAGGGCTTCGACTACCGCAAGCCGCACCACGAGAGGCTGCCGTTTAGCGGGGACGACGTGCGCTCCTTTACCACGTGCGCGAGCTCGACGTGCGCAAGCTGCTGCAGGTCAAGACGCAGGTCGACGTCGGCATGAGCCACGACTGGCCGAGGCTGATTGAGCGGCACGGGGACGAGAAGAGGTTGTTTTCTATGAAGAGGGCGTTTGAGAAGGAGTCGTACGATGGCACGCTCGGGAACCCTGCTGCGACGTATGTCATGGATCGTTTGAGGCCGCCGTATTGGTTCTCGGCGCACATGCACTGCAAGTTCTCGGCGCTCAAGACGTATCCCCGGCGACGGGAGGAGTAGGGGATGCAGGGGAGAAGGGGAAGAGGAGCAGCCCCAAGAGGTTGCCTCACAACGGGAACAGTCCGCACCGGCCACGGAGCCCGAGCCGGCAGCAGCACCGGGACCCACGCTAGAAGCCCAGGCAAACCCAGACGAGATTGACCTCGACATGGACGACGATCCCCCACCTCTCCCGTCAGCCCCAGCGCCCACAAAAGCCAACGCTGCGCCACCATCGGCGACAACGACGACGACAACGACGACGACGTCATCCGTCGCCGATGATATCCGCGCCCAGCTCCCCGCCTCCTTCAGCAAACCCCCACCTCAACCGGAGAGGAAGAAAAAGACCGGCACCCCCGGCCAGCCCGTGCCCCCGGCATCACGAACCGCGAGTCCCGCTTCCTCGCCCTCGACAAGTGCCTTCCCGGCCGCCACTTCCTCCAGCTCTGCGAGATCCACCCCACGATCCCCTCGTGGCCGCCGAGCACCCGCCCGCGTCGCCCGACCCGGACGCCCCGGCCGCCGCCCCCACTACAGATTCCAGTACGACCCAGAGTGGCTAGCCATCACCCGCGTCTTCGCCAAGGAGCTCGTCATCGGCGACCCTCCGCGACACCCACCGGCGAGGACCCGGGCGAGGCCCATTACGCCCCGCTCATCGAGGCCGAGCTCGCGTGGGTGAGGGACAACGTGGTGGCTAAAGGTCGGCTGGACGTGCCCCGCAACTTTGCCCTTACCGCGCCCGTGCACGAGCCGGGGTTCCCGAGTCGGTGCACGAGCAGCCGGTCGAGTACACGAACCCGCAGACGGCCGAGTTTTGCCAGCTCATCCAGGTGCCTAACTTGTGGGATGCTACCGAGGTCGAGAGGAGCAGCGGCGGATGGACGGTCCTGCCCAGACGCAGTCGAGGGTGGGCGAGGTGGTCGGGGCGGTGGAGGAGGAGGAGGAGGAAGGGGTGGTGGTAGAGGTGGGAGACGGGGTGGAGGTGGATGGGGTCGTGGGAGAGGTGGCAGAGGCGGTGGAGGTGGTGGTGGTGGTGGTGGTTGGGGTCACTGAGCGTGGTTACAACCAGAACCTTTTGTCTCTCGCGAGGGACGGTAGCTAGCGAGGGAAGCAGTCATTCACGATGGGCAATGTAGTGTTTGAAAAAAGTGAAAACGGCAGGTAATGAAATTATGTACTTTTTTTCTATCTTTCGTTTTCTTATTCTTCCGCCACGTGCTACACAGAATGGGATAATAGATCTCTACAATGCGATAAAAACTGTCACCCTACAAAAAAGCTAAGTATCCAAGGGAGCATGTGGATCCAAGCAGAGTGAGAGGGATAGGCAAAGAGTTTCTCTTCCATCGCTAATAGACGTTCGACCCACGGAAGAGTAATCGAGCAGAACGTATATGCTTGGATGGGGTCAATACACAAGTGGTCACGTTGTTTTCAAAAGGTGCGTGTGAGAGGGGACTGGTGGAAAGGTGCTGGCATTGGGCTTGCCACATGGCTGCCAAGCTACTGTACAGTACGTGGAAGGACAGAACAGCCACGATGCCTCGCGACACTCTCCTGTTCTCTCGGCAGCCGTTCATTATTTTGTATAGATGATACGGCGCACTTGACAGAATAATGGTTCCCGATGAGAGGAATCATGAGTGTACTCAAATACAATTAAGCTGGGCTGAGTTAGCGAGGAGCGCGATGACGGTCAAGTCAGCGGATCGCTGGCCGGGGTGGCGTCACATACCATCGAGTCCAAGGAAATCCGCAACGACGAGAAGCTCAAGGCATAGCTCGACGGGGATATCCATATCCGGGACATCACTCCTGTCTCGGTAACGGTAGTAATAGTGGAAGTACTCCACTACCTTCTCCATAGCAACTCCACTAGACAAAGGGTAAAGCCAGAAATGTTAGCAAAAACCGGCTCTCCCATTGCAATTTTGCAGAGTCTAGAAAATCGAAAAGAGAAGAAAAAACAAGGAAGCTGTCATCAGATCAAGTGTAGTTTAATTTCAAGCAGACGCGTCTCATGGACTGTCTGTCAATAGTCGTCCTAATAAGTGTGTTCATCATATAGACAGGGTGATTTGGAGCAAAGCAGGGCACCAGAGGGGTGGTGAGGGCGGTGGATGAGCGGAAACATGACGAGAGGAGATTTGTTGCCTTACCTGATCTCTTGGAAGCGACAGACGCCAGTTATGGCTTCTTTGAATCTGCCTAGAGAAAAGAGACGGATCGTTTAGCCACATGACCCGGAGCATCTCGCAAGGTGCGAAAAGGCTGAGAGTTAGCTCGCTTACTTCGGGTGTCAAGCATGCTCTTGATCACGGTGCTTTTCAGCGCCGCCTCACGGAGAACGATGAACTCGAAACCATCACTCGAGACGAGCGTGATATACTTGGAGGGTTGCTTCGGCCATGGTGTTCTATAACGATGGCCCCAGCGAAGATGGTTGTTGCTTCTGGATGGATGCGTTGAGGGTGAGGAGAAGAATAAAAATGCTGTGCGAGGATGGAATGAGGAGCACGATGAGAGGAGCCGGCTCAGTTCATCCTACGTATTCCAGTCCTACATGGTACGTGGATACGGAGTCCAGTTTCCTCGGCCTCTAAAAATGGAGACCGCTTGGACTCGTTGGACTCTGGGATGGTTCCCGAAAGAGTGGTTCGGACAGAGAATGTGTTCACGATGTGAGTTGTGAAAGGGAGGTAAGAGTAAAAATTCACGTTTGGGTTTTTGTCGAAGGCGCGAGGTTTGTTCTGGTGGGGGGATTGGGTTTTCAGGATTGACAAATCAGAACTTGGAGCTGGACCCGTCATCAATCATCTGTGGCGTTGCGTGCGCCCCAGCAAGCAGCGCCACGGGCTGTCAATCACTAGTCAAAAGTTTTGCGTGGGCGTCTGGAAGCGATCCGTCAAGAATAGATTGTTTTGCATCAGACCGACTTTGGCCGGTGTTGTTTGGTGGGTCAGGTTCTGGAAGCGACGACCCCCTAATAATTCCTTGCGCAGCGAAGTGAGCCACTGCGCGGGTTGTCTTGGTGCCAGGCCAGGCCATCCAGCAACGCAACTGATGGGGAGCCGTGCTTGGTCTGTCAGCAGCTGTCCTTCCCAATTCCCCATCAATTGGCTGGCCGACCAATTTAAGTGGTGCTTGCGCGTGCGCTAGTGCATGCTGTGTGTGAGTGTGTGGTGTGTGGTGTGTGTCTGTCCGTATTCCCTCCCCGGTTCCCGCCTAAAAATACATCATCTTCAGCGAGTTCCTGATGACGGCTGGTTGCCCCGCCGACTTGTTTACACCCCATGTCCACATGCCCTCCAAGACCCTCTCTCCGCTATCTGTATCCCACTTCTTCACCCATCCGTCCTTTCTCAACATCCCTCGATTCCTCGAATCCTACTCTCAGGACTCTTTGACTCTCGCTTCCCAAAATCAACGATCAACGTCGGAAGATCTTCCCACGCAAAAAAACACAGAGGCAACAGAGACCAGGATCATCGACTTCGCCCGGTGTCCTCCGTTTTCGTGTATTTTCTATCCTCAGAGATTTGTCCTGTCTTTAATCCTGGGATTTCATGAACTAGACAACCAAATCGAAGTGGCCTAGTTCTTTTGCACCCACCTACAACACACAAACACACACGTAGATGACCACGTCAAATCGCGCTTGCTGAGAAAACGGCTTCAACATCCACGAACAAACACCACGCCGCTACGAACTTCATCTCCTGACTGCCTCCGCCAGTCTAGTTGTCTCCCCCATACAAACCCCTGTCCGAAACCTCGGAGAAGACAGCAGATTCGCCTGGGCGGGCCGAACCATGGCTTCTTCCTACAACAACTATCAGTCCTCCTACTACTCCCCCAGCCCTTGAACGAGAAGTACGACAACCACCGTGAAAGCTCTGGCCGCCGGGAGCAGCGATACAGGACCAGTGAGGGAACCATCAGCACCACCATGAGTTCCTCAACCGGCCGCGAGTCCTCGGGCACCCATATGACCGAGGCGCCCACTTATTCCAAGAAGATTGTCGTTGTCGGTGACGGTGGCTGCGGAAAGACGTGCCTTCTCATTAGCTACAGCCAAGGATACTTCCCCGAGGTGAGTTGCCCCAGGATGGCCCAACGTGGACGTTGAACCCATCATCCAGAAACCCTCAAAGGGCTTCTTTTTCCCCATCACGCTAGAAACAAAGACCCCTCTATTCACACTTTTTTGACCTTCTTTCCCTATTTGTGCTAACCCTGGCTCTAGAAATACGTCCCCACGGTGTTCGAAAACTACATTACGTACCCCATCCACCCACCCACAGGCAAGATCGTCGAGCTCGCCCTCTGGGATACCGCCGGCCAAGAGGAATACGATCGCCTGCGGCCCCTCTCCTACCCTGAGACGGATCTCATCTTTGTCTGCTTCGCCATTGACTGCCCCAACTCCCTAGACAATGTTTTGGACAAGGTATGCCGATACTTGCCCGCGCCACCCCGAAATGCCCTGAATGATCCGTGAGCCGGTCACTAACTTGTATTCCAGTGGTACCCCGAAGTCCTACACTTCTGCCCCTACACGCCACTTATCCTCGTCGGTCTCAAGTCGGACCTGCGATACAAGAAGACGTGCATCGACATGCTCAAGACCCAGGGCCTGACCCCGTGACGACGGAGCAGGGTCTCGCCGTAAGCAAAAAGATGGGCGCCCAGTACATGGAGTGCAGCAGCAAAGAGATGCGCGGCGTCGACGAGATTTTCGAAAAGGCCATAATGACCGTTGTCGCCAACGACCGCAGGAATCTCGAGGCTCAGATGGCCTCGGCTGGTCCCTCGTCGGGTGCGGGCGGCAACATTGGCGGCGTCCCCATTAAGCGTAAGAAGCGGAGTTGCAAGATTCTCTAAACGGGAGTGGTCCTCCAGAGTCTTTCCCATGCGCGCACACGCACCATGGGGAAAAAAAGAAAAAAAGAGGAACCGGAAGGAGAAGGGAAAGAGAAGAATAATGCAAAGAGGAGTCCGGTGTGGCGGCGAAGAGTGGTAGCGGGAGATGGGCGGGGATGAGCAGAGGGAACTTGCTTCTGCTGCACCGACGGATTTTTTCGTATGCTTTTTGACTTTATGCTCATGAAGGAAACCTCTCACGCAACCACGCACAACAAACACATTATACACAACAAACACACACACCTAGGGGAAAGGAAAGATGTGTTTGTCGAATAGACATGGGACACGGCGGATGCATAATGACCCTTTACTAACTGAAACGAAACTGACATCCTTATGACCCTTGGTATTCTCAACCCTTGTCTTTCCCATCTCATGCAAAAACACAAAGTGGCTATCTGCTTTCCCCTTGCCCTTCTTCATTTTCTCTTTTTCTTGTCTTGTTACACCTACGAAATGCTCTCCTTTTCCGTCTTGCCTATCTCTTCACGGGGCCTTCGGGTCTGTCGTTGGGAGAAGGAGGGCGGGAGAAGAGAGTGGGGAGAGTTAGAAGGCCTAGGGGCAAACCAGCGTCGGTTCAGATGGGGAGAGGAAAGCAACCCTGATACCCGTTCTCAGTTAATCGGTTGCAGGCGTTGTTGTGGCTGACTGGATTTGTTTTTTTCCTTTTCCTTTTTCTTCAGTCCTGAGTATCCGCTTGCCGGGCCTTATCCCCTCCCTGATTCCTTCGCAGGGCTATCCTGCCCGCCTCTCCTTGTTTTCCGAGGAGAGAGTGGAGGGTGGAGAGGGCTTTTCATGCAGTCCAGGGAGGTTGAGCGGTGCGAGACGAGGGTGAAGCACGAGGTGGAGAGGGACGCGTTGTTGGAGGCTCTCCTGACGACTACGATTTCCACCAGTGACCCTCGCGCTCTTGTCTTCAAATAACACTTATCATGCTGGGTGAGGGATAGTGTGAACGGCTCGGCTGTCTTTCATGTCGATAAAGGCCATGCCGGGATTTCTATCTGATTCGCCCTGTCCTTTGGGAGAAGGAAACCCGAGATTCCTTCTCCTGAATTACAATTTTTTTATTTTCCTTTTCTTCTTTCCCTTTCTATTTGTGTTTTTCTTTTTGCGGTTCCTTTTCTGTCCCGGTTCTCAAATCATCTGTATAATGGGTTGTCTTCTTCTCTGTCCGTTCCGCGCGTTGTTATCTTTCTTTTACCGGGGGTCCTTTGCGAAAGAACAAAAGGGTCCCCCGGTGCAGGTTCAGAAAATACAACCCAACCATTGAAAAATCAATGTCTCTCGAACCTCTTCCCATCGTGATATCGTGACCATGTAACGCTTTCCGTAGACGAAGCATGTGTGTTAGGCCTTTGTGTGATTAAATGAGCGAGCATCGGTCCTTTCCGCAGCCGGTGCGAGTTTTGTTTTCGTCTCGTATATCCTACGCCAAAGCGTCCGTCATCCCCCTTTCACCTCGCGCCAATCTCCGTCTCGTCCTCGTCCTCGTCCTCGTCCTCCTCACTCTTCACCGTCACCTCCGTTTCACCCTCCGTCACACCCGAGGCATCGGCCCCCGTCCTTCCGCGGCCGTCGTGTCCTCCGCAGGACCCCCGCTCTCCTCCCCATCCCTGGGCGCGCCCATGACGCCTTCAAACTGCGACCACAGCGCCTCGACGGACGAGAACTCGTTGCCCACGGTGATGACGGCCTCCAGCGACCGGTTCAGCTTATTGATATTGGCGAGGACTTGCTCGAAACTCTATACGAAAAAAGAGAGAACAACCGAATGAGCGGAGTGGGCCAAGATGGATGGTGAGGGCAAGTGGGGGAGGGATATAGTACCAGAGCTATTTCGCCCATGAGAAGCTCGCGCTGCTGCTCAAAGTACGTCTTGCCGTCCGCGGCGGACGTGGGCCGTTGCGAAGCCATTCGAGGGCAAGTGTGAAGAGGGAGGAGGACAAGCTTCCCCGGTGCGTGCAAGAAGACTTGTTCTTTCTGACTAAATTGGCGGTTCTAGGCGATAGGGAAGAGAGATGGCCGCCCTTGATGAGAAAATCGCGTGGGGGAGGAGTTTGGCGCAAGGTGGGGAAAGCCGCGTGAGAAGACGCGTAAATTGGTTCGCCAGCCTTGACAACGTTCAGTGCGGGGCACGCAGCCAGCATCGCGGATCAATGGCGGGGACCTTGGACACATCCACTATTCCACACTCCTTTCCCCCACAACTTGCACTGAGCACTGTTCCATCCGCCCTGACGAATGGCAAAACCTGCGTCAAACATCACGAGGAGGAACATCGCTAGTCAAATGGGAGGGATCAAGATGATACATCTAATATAGGGAAATATCGATATCGAGACTTTTTGTATTCAATTATTGAGGACTTTTTGACAGCCACGCGCAAACGAGCACCATCACAATCATTAACCTGTAATCTGGGCTAAGCAAGCGCGCGGGTAACAGAGACAAGTGTTGCGAGACAGTTGCAGAAGACGGAAGCAAGACAAAAAGGTGGAGGAGAGCGAGAGAACCAACGCATTTAGTATTATTTCGGTCCAAAAAAGTCAAAAACTTGGATCAAACACGCTCATGCGTTTAAACCTTGGGGGATTCCAAAACATCTCAAATCGCGCCTCTTCCTTCCCGTTGAGAGGAAAATGCCAGAACAGCTATATGTCCCATGCCACCATCGTCTGCTAGACATCCTAGCTCCGAGGGAACAGGGCCCCAAGGTCTATATATATATAGATAGTGAGGCCGACTTGTGCGCACAGAACTAACCAGGCCACAAGCAAGCGGGCGAGATTAGCTACCGGCGGAGGGTGGTTCTTAGCCGCTTGGCCACACGGCACGGGGAAGACGCGGACGGGGGTTTCCTCCCACCAGCTCCTTGCCACCATGTTCTCCGTCTCTAGAGGGCATCCGTGGATGCCTCTGTCATAGCTAGGCGTATACTAGCCGACTCTTTGTTCGAAAGCACGCCCTGCCCTGTCCTGTCCATTGTAACGTAACGCCGGGACCCCAGATTTCCCAGCCCATCAAGAGTATAACAGCAAAAGACAACGCCCGAATGCCCGTACATTTCCGGATCAAAGAAAAAAAACAAGCCACAAAGCTGGCATACAAGAAAATGGACAAAACCAATGACACACAAGCCCCAGGCGAGAATAGTCCGGTCCCTAACCTGTCATAGAGAACCGGCAAGCGCCCATATAGGTCGGAGTAGAACAAGGGCTGCGGGAATCCACAAAGATGGCAACGAGAGGTCGTGGCTTCTGCAGATCGAGTTGGCCGTCCCGAAGTACGTCGGAACCTGCTCTTTTATTATTTCATCTCTTCATAGCAACTCATCGCTGCCACTGGCAACACTGCTCTCGATGGCCTCGTTGATGGCACGCTCCGAAAAGACCGGGCCCTGGCCGTCGCACTTGGCCTGGTTCTTCAAACGCTCGCTCACGTCACCAATATCCACAAGGCCGCGCTTGTAGAGATCGTGAGAGATGATGAGGTCCCAGGTGGCGCCAGCCGCGAGAAGTCGTTCACCGTCGTCTGATGTGACAATCCTGTGGCTGGGCGTCTTGTTGGCATGGTTGGAGAGGACATTGGAGTAGAAATCGGTAGGGTTATACTGCATGGGCCCAGTGGTGGTGGGCTCAGGCGAGAGCGAGCTATTGCCGCCGCCCTGGAGACCGCTGGTGGCCCTGAGAATTTCGTTTTCGGTGCTGATTTTCTGGAGGTCTTGCTTCAAACGCTCATTCTCTGCCACAGCCATCTGTTGGGATGATTCAAGGTTGGCGAGGCGCTGCTCGAGATCTTTGACATGTCGTTCCTTGCGTTCACGGAAGGCCCGTTGGCTGGAATCAAGGTATGCGACGTTAGTACATGATTCGATTTGTTTCATGCTCAAATGAATAAAGTAGAGAAAAAGAGGCAGAGACCGAGGGCCGCAGACTCCAAACGTCTTGAAGCTCAAGATCTAAATCGAGTCTCCATTTAGGGTGGGGAACATCGGCAATACGCATTAGGATAACCTGCAGGAGTTTTTGGCCAAAAGCCCAAAACGCAGCATCCCCGGAAAGCGCTATGGATCAATGTGGGAAAGAGAGGGCAAAGGCAAGAGAAAAAAGGGAGAGCGAGTGCTGAAAGGGGCAGGGAGGGACAGCAAGGGATCAGGTAATACGTTGGAAATTCGAGAGTAGAAAGTGATTGAACGAAAGAAGGTAGGAGAGAAAAAAATTAGTAACATACGCTGCGCGATTCTGGGCCTTTCTCCTCGACTGCGCCGGTGTCAGATCCTCATCGTCCGAGTTAGACTGTCCCCTGCGGCTCTGCGCAAACGCCTGCGCTTTCAGCGACTCGTCCGCGTTGGCGTCCGCGTTCACGGCGAGCGCATCGAGGCTGTGGGGCTTGATCTGGCTGGAGACGCCGTTGAGCAGTGTCTGAGAGGTCGACTGCTGATTCGGAGGGGTTGGGGGCCCGGGGAAGGCAGTCGGGGGAACTGAGCAGTGAAGGTCCCGTCAAAGGCGGGCTGGAAAGACTGCTGGTCGTTGGAAAAGTGCTCAAAGGCCTCCTATATAGCCAACAAGGGTGGATGGTTAGTACCCGAGGATTTCAATGGCGGGTTGAAACAAGGCAGCAAGAGAGAAGATGCATGCGTCCGAATAGCACAACGAGGTGGAGTCCATACCGGAGGCGAAGTTGTGTTGAAATCCTCAGACGCCGCAGAATGAGAGTTGGACGGGGTGAGCGGGGGCATGGCCATGAACTGGTAGGGTTGAGGCCCCCAAAGAACTGCTGCTGGGTGTAGTCCATGATGAATGTCAATCACGAGTTGTAGAATCGACCGTTGCTCACGACGGATTCGGGGTTCGGGTTCGAAGAGGCGCTGGCGGGCGGAAGAGGACAAGGTTGGTATCAAAACGAAGGAACAGGGACGGAAGGAACGTCGCTGGCGTTGTGAAAGTCGGCGGTGGGCTTTCCTCGATCAGTTGCGGAGGGAGGAAAGGTGGCGGTGGATATCGATCAGCGTAAGGTCGAAAGGGAGGTCTCGCGAACACGTTCTCGATCTTTCGTTCCGTCTTTTCGTCTTGTTTTTTTTTTCCCCTCTCACTCGTAAATACTCACGCCCTTGTCAATTTCGGTATTGGCGTTGTTAAGCTGGCTATAGAATAGAAACTAAGCCGTTGTTTGGAAGGGGTATATTATAGCCGTTGTTCGAAGCGTCGAGTCGGGTTTATCCCCTTTGAGCCGGGGAGGAAAGTTGATGGGAAGGAGGGTGGAAGGTGGATGTGGTCTGGAAGAAAAATGTAAATGTCTCGCACCCTCTCCGAGTGGAACAGGATCGCTCTTTGGGCTCGGTGAGGAATAGTCAGATCGGGGGGGATGGGGTTCGAGTGGGCGCCTAGCCGAGTTTAAACTCTGTAGCCAAAGGGCTCATTCGGGGGGGGGGAGGCAAGGGGGCAAACCTTGGGAGGGGAGGGGACTTTGAGGGGAAGGAGGACAGGGGAGTCCAGAAATCGTTCCAATGTGCAATGTTCTCAAAGCTCGACACTACACTCGGTTGGACAATGGGGAAGTAACGCACCAAAACACCGCCTGCGCCCGCACGCAGAACGACAATCAATTGGTGCTGGGAGTCTTGGAGTGGAGAGCCAGGACAGGTCAAGCCTGGGCTGGGCTGCTGAAGAAATGGCGGAATGCGGAGGAGGGGGAAGGAGAACAGACCACGGGGTCGCAGCTTGAAGGGGCTTGACTGGGGACGAGAGGGGAGGCGAATGGTACCTCGACCAACTTCAAGGCACCAAGATGGAACATCCAGGGATTGGTTCTAGTATCAATCCTCTTGCCCACCTATTGGTCTGTGATTTGGGGGGGCGGCGACAGGCGACAGACAGACGACGGCACCAACGCCGCGCAAGTCGCTCATTCTCGAAGGCTGCCGTCATCAATAAAACAAAGATCAAATGTAGTGTACGTACACTCCATGCCATGCACCGGGAGGAAGTGATACAGGATCAATCAAATGGATACCGTCGAGATTAATGGGATTCCACCGTCTGCCCTTGTACGGGCCTCTCCCGCGCGGTTGAATCCCACGCCGTGCATAAGGCGGATGAGCAGGACAGCCGACTCTGACAGTTACTCAGCGTGTCTTTCTTCCACAATCCCCTTCTTTCCCTTTGTCCCTCTGTCTCTTCCTCCTTCTCCCCGTCTCTTCCTCGCGCTCTGCGGTCGATGTGAGTGCACGGCGCCTGCGCCTGGGGAGAAGTGTAGCATGGGGGATTCGACTTGGAAGAGAGAAAGGAGAGAGAGGAGAGAGAGAGAGAGAAAGAGAGGAAAACAAAATCGGGTCTAGAACGTTTGATATCCAAGGACCACATGGACACTGAGGTGTAGGTTTCGACCCAAGCCCCAGCTAGGGAGACGCAAACCACGCTGATGGACGCCCCTTACGTTGGTGCGCCGTTGATCACGATACCAGCTGGTCAAATCCCCGAAGAGAGGTATTATCCCCAGGGCCTCCCAGTATTACAACTAGCCAGCGAAGGATCCATCAAATCGTTTGAAACCCTTTCCCACTTTGCCACTTTGGGTGTTCTGGGCTCATGTGGAGGCTCGAATTCAGTTTAATGTTGCTGGTCAACGGTGCTGGTGTGCTAGCAACCTAGTAAAGGAAGGAGCACACAGTAATACTGAACTTGACCTTGACCCCTCGTGTTGGGGTGCTACAAGGGTTGCACAAGGTCTTGGGAGGTGGCAAGGGCCACACCAGCAGAGCTGCTCAGGTCCGACAGAGGTTGTCATTGAGGCAAGTCGGGCAAAAGCAACCCCAAGACCAGGCCATTTCCGGAATTAACCCAAAAGGTTGTGATGGAGACGGAGTACACCAGATGTATCAAATTGGCGTGGGCGATGTAGTGTACTTGTGTATCAATCCCTCCAGGGCTCCTTCCCATTCCCAATTCCCAGGCACCTCAAGATTCTCTTCTAGCGCTTCACCAATCGATGCATTGGCCATGTTTTAGCCCCCGCACCCATCTCATGATGCTGGCCTACAAGTAGATTTGCTCGCTGGCCTGGGAATCCCTGCTCGGGGTTCTCGATCGATGTCACCGCTGCGGGGCCCTTCATCTGCGCCATCTCGCATTGAGAGGTGTAGCGGTATGATATTCAGACCTTTGCCAGTTGCTCAGTTGAGGGACTTCGACGCTAGATCAAGCGTTTACTTCGTAGTTTTCCTGACCCTTTGAACTGTCGCCAGTACCCGGCGTAGTGGATAGGAGGGAAAAGTGGCCCGGGGATCGGCCCTACTGACATCTCCGGTCAAACATAGTGCAGAAGCATAAACTGGCACACACACACACACAGTCTCCCACGCCCACGCATCCACACATTAAGACCTGATCCTCACCCACACATGAGCGGCACAATAAGGCCGCCTGCATGCACTTAACGGATCCATCCATGGATGTGTGTCCAGAGAGGCCCTTTTTACTTTGCCCTTTTTCTTCCTCTTTTCTTTCTATGGGCATTGTCTCGACACACACACTTTTCTACCCGCTTTGGCTCATCTCTCGCTGTTTGGCTCCTACTTCCAACCTTGCCTCTCGGCGGAGTGGGACCGCCACTCAGCGTACACGACATGTAGTCAGCAGGGCCATCTAGTCATCAACGTCTGCCCAGGGCCTTTCCTCTCTCTCTCCCCCTCCCCCTTCCCCCAATATGTGGACGTGTCCCGCCTTCCGTGCCCCCTCTTCCGAGCACCCAAACGGAAAGATACCGAGTCTACCCAGATGCGCATGTGCATGTAGCGGCGAATGCAGCTCAGAGTGCTAAAACTACAAAACTGCCATGATTGTTCCATCAATCCAATGCCCCAAGGTTTCAGTGCGCGCTCACAAGTACCTCACCCGCGACCCCTCCACACTTGGATTGGATCGCCACAGCCACAACATACGAACTACTTTATAGTGTAGTGCCGCGACCAACAAGGCTCCTGCTCCCGAGGGTTGGACACAGCCCGGGGTCGTAGCGTGGGCCGTCTGAGGTTACGGCGTTAGAAGCTGGCTGCAACGCACACTTTAAGCCAGACCCAGAGAAGAAAAAAATGGGAGAACGAAAGAGAAGAGAGACAGATATGCAAAAGGTAAGAGAGACTAAAAGCCGATGCATGGGGTTGGGTTGATATACAAGAGAGATGCGTTCCGAGCACGTTTCGCTCCTGGGGGATGCGTGCGTGACCTTCTTTCCGTCCCCAGCGCTCTCTTTTTTATTTTTCTTCTTTCGCTGGCCGTCAAAGAGCAGATAAAGGCTTAATCTAATATCAGCTCGCGGGGAAGGCGGTTAATTGATGCTCTAAGCCTTTCCAGATGAGACGAACATCAAAGATCGCCCATATCCCCTTTTGTGCATGAAAACAATCATCTGTACTTTTGGTCGCCTTCCCTCCTCCGGCCCAAGCCAAGAAAAGATAAAAAGGCGGACCCTCGAAACACAAGGAAAACAAGGTCCACTCACACGAGTTCGACGCCTCCCCTATGCACTTGGCTCGCCCAGGGAAAAGGATGCATGGATCTTCCTACTACTTCGTACTCCGTATAGCCACCCTGGAGAGGCATGTCAAGGCGGGAAGATGCACGACGGGGTTCGACGTTGCATTGTCGAGGCGAGCTAAACGAATCAGCGGGAGGAATGGCTTAAGGCTCCCGGGTCAAGTTGGCGCGAGGACTTTCTTTAACGACGACGGTGGGTTGAGAAGCGAGGCTTGCGCAACCTAAACTGGGAGACGACTTCCATCATGGCCTTTGATCTTCTTGTCTGCGGGAGAGGCGGGTGCTTGATGATTTTAAACGATCAAGCCTGTCCGGTTTGACTGATAAGAGAAATCGACGATAAACCACGAATTTACAGGGTTGGTGACCATTGCCTACTTTACTTGGAGAAAGACCCTTGTTTCTCTTCCCCCTTGAGCGAACAGACAAGCAGTCGTCTCCCAAAAAGCTGAATGTGTGCGCTTGGTGAGAAAGGGAGAGGGCGGAGAGATTGCTCTTGCCGAGACCCGGGTACAGTGCAGCGCAGCGAGGAGCACGCCGCCCGATTCTGAATAATTCAACGCATCAACCATCAATCGAATCGAGTGGCCGGTTGGCTGCAAGACGGAGCACAGTGCCTCTTGCAAAGCCAAAGCTCCATTTCCCGGAAAGTCTCGAGAGCAACGATCCTATCATGGTCCTTGGTTCGTCCATTGTCCACAGTGCCTATTATCTCTCGAAGCTGGCTCCTGGCAAGCCAAGACCGAGCTTCCCAGGGGTTTTCCATTCCACACACGCCTGTCATGCAGAGACTATACACGCACCCAAGGGAGGCAGACAGGTGAAGGAAGGGGGGTTAAAACCGGTCTCGGGAGGTGATGGGGCTCCGGGAGCTTCTAGAGATACTTCGTACGCGTAGGCTAAAGTCGAGCCGCAGCGCAGGCCCTTGTTATTTGGCATCGAAAAGCCTCCCCAGGCCGTAGGTGGGTGTACTAGGTGAGTGGCAAGGAGGAAAAAGCAAGGGGTGTTCGGAAGGGGTTCGGATGGCTGCTGGCCCAAAAGAGAAAAGGCATGACGTGGGGAGTGGGAGAGCATCCGGGCTTTACAACGATACATGGACGATTAAGAGATACATTGTAATGAAAAAGATAATAAACACGTAAATTGGCGTTGGTTTAGCAGGCCGTCAATAGCCTACCTCGAACCGTTCCAAGACCGCAATTAACACCTTTCAATAGGAATTGTTACAGGCTGTCGGGGTTAGGCCAAGGAGATCCCTCGCTCCGGCGTCAAGTCAAAAGCCTCAAACAAGCCCTTTGACAATACGAAAGACGTCCTCAACCTCCACTAAAAGATTGATCTTTGATAAAGCCAATCAATCCATATGGATCAAGGATGTCAATCTTCAAAAAAATAAAAAAATAAAAGTGTCCGAGCTGTCAAGCCCCCCAAAGCGCCATTTCGTCATTCCCAGGCATTCCTCTCGATTGAAACAGCGGAAGCGCTCCTCCCCCATGTCACTAGGGATCGAAAACAACGCCGCCTTTGCGCTTTGAATCGGCCAAAGAATGAGCGTGGCGGCGGGCCCTGATCTACCCTTTGTTTGGGAGGGTTCGAGAGGCGTGTTAGGGCATGTTTGGAGTCTGGGATAGCCCATGCTTGCCAGCCCTGCTCAACTTTGTATGAGGAAGAGCGGCGAGCCCCAGGTCGAGGAGCGAAAAGAATCGGGAGGCTCTTCTTTTTTTTTCAAAGAGTGAGTGAGTGCTTAGTCAAGAGACGCAAGGAAGTGGAATGGTCGATTTTCCCCTCGCAAACCATTTCCGTCACCCGCTCCCATCACACCCGACCCGGTCCAAGACATCACGGGATTCCCGTTCCTGCTTATTGTCCTGGGCGGGATCTCTCCTCACATGCACACCATGCACAACCACTACGAACAGCATGCTCGTCATCTCACCGGACCCTCCCAAGCCTCCCACGGAGAAACAAATAAGCGCGTGGTGAGCCCTCGAAAGAAGGGATGAGCATCGCGTCACCTTGTCACGGCCCACCCTCCCCTTTGCCTCCCCTCCACTACTTCTCTCCCCTCTTACTTCGTTTGGGAACATACTAGGGGAAAGAGGGGAACACGCCCTTTGGGCAACACCCGCGGTGTTTAGCGCGACTATGGGCTAACGTGAAAGAAAGAACAAAAGTTTGTGGCCATATGCAAAGAAGTTGCACACCAACAGTTTAGCATTATGCGTTGAGAGATGCGCGGAGAAAGGGTGGCCAAAAATGCCTTGAGCTTCGCTATTGCGAGCTACTGCTGTTCGATTTTGCGGCCACCCTCCACCGGCTTTCAACTCTCTCTCTTTCTCTTGCTATATATCTATCTAGTCTGCCTTCTCGGGGAAAACAAGGTAGAAACCGGTTGTTCAAAGCATCTCGATCGCGGGGCCATATCCGTCAGCCCTCTTGATAGGGGCAAAAGGTGTAGGTAGGCGGGGGTTAGGGAGGGCATATCAGGGAAATTCGTAAGTAAAACATTGTCAAGAAAGGAAAAAGAAGAAGAAAAAGGCCGTTTAGGGTGAAGTGAAAAGAGGTTGGAAAAGGCTCGACAGTAAAGGGAAATTAAGGAAAGTGATGGAAAAAAGAAGCGAGATAATGGGGCTAGGAATTCGGGGTAGGTAAAGTACATTCCATCGACTAACAGACGACAGCTCTCCTTGTCAAAAACATCATGTCCGTCTTTCTTCCTCCTCCACACTCATATCCCTCGCCGTCGTGCCTCGACCAAGGAAGAAGAGAAAGAAAAGAAAACCGAGACTCTCATGTCTCTAGATCCGAAAAAGAAGATGAAAAAAATGAAAAAGGAAGAAGAAACGGGCCGGCGAGGAAGACAGAAGAGGACCGTTGGCATCATCAAAAGGGGGAGAGAAGTGTGATGAAAGGTCATTGCGTGCGACGGAAATTTGCGAAACCCCAAATATCCTCCAGCAGGCTTTCTTTTTCTTAGCAGATGACAATATTATGCCGTCGCAAAAGCCGCTCATAAACGGCCAGCCTATCACGCAGCTCAGCAATCTTATCGCTCTGCTCGTCGATCGTGAGCCTACGCTCCTCGAGGGCGCGGTCGGCGCACTCGAACCTGTGCTTCCAGTCGCGGACGAGGCGGCGAAGGTACGCGATGGGCTCGAGGTGGCGGTGGTCCTTGAGGAGCTGGCGCACGCGGACGCGGAGGCAATCATTGTCGCGCTCGAGGCGGACGACGTCGTCGCGCAGCTTGGCGTTCTCGCGGCCGCGTTTCTCGGCCTGGCCGAGGGCGGCCTCGAGGTTCTGGCGCAGGGCGGCGTTTTCCTCGGTGAGCTGGCGGAGGCGGCAGGTGAACTTGTCGTCGCCGGCGGCGCGGAGGGCGGCGAGCTCGGCCTCGGCCTTTTGAGGGCGGATTTGAGCTCGCGGGCGCGGCAGCGGAGATCCTGCTCGGATTTGACGAGGTTGTTCCACTCGTCGACGGGGACGTGGAGGCAGTCTTGGTGTTTGTGGCAGGGGAGGGTTCGCCGCCGCAGCGGGCTTGTGGCGGGGTTTGTGCGGCTGGTGATGATGGTGATGGTGTCGGTGGTGGTGGTGCTCGTGGTCGTGGTCAAAGTCGCGATCGCGGTGGTGGTGATGGTGGTGGTGGGAGCGGGAGCGCTTGAGCTTGACGAACTGGGTGCCGCCCCGGGGAGGGTCTCGACGTAGACGCGGGTGGACATGTGGAGAGCTTCGTCGCCAAAGTCCGGGCACGATCGGTGAGGGTGGAGACGGGGTGGGTGCGTGCGCGACGGCTTCTCCTTGTGGCAAGTCTCTTCGCAGATGATCTTGCCGCCGTCGCCCACCTCGATGGTTGAGCCCGCCAGTTTGCCTGGTGTGTTGGGGGTAGGGAGGTTATGGCTGGCTATAGGGCTGGACAGGGGCTTGGTGAGGAAGATGGGAGAAGACAAGCCCTGAGAGAGATTGCTTAAGTGGTGGTTTTGGGTAGGACGTGTTTTCCTACTTGAAGGAGATGAAGAGAGTGAGGCAAAGCTTTGGTCTGGTCAACTCTTTGTCCGGGTCTCTGGCTGGGTCTTGTCTCCTTCTTTTTCTATCTTACTCCCACACTTACTTTTTTGTCTTTTTTTTTTCACTTTCTTAGTTTGACGTCGTGTTGTCCTTGTTCTTCTTTTGGCTAGTTGTGGACTTCTTTATCGAACGCGCATACACAAAGAAGGGTATTCAGATGGAGCTTGGAATTTCTCAAAAATGCGGAAGCGGAGTTTGTTGGAATGCCGGGCAAGACAAGGGGGAGCGGGAGTTTGAGGCACTGGACTAAGAGGGGGATATAAATCTCCTTTGACCAGACGTCTTTTGTACGGCATTCAAAAGGGAGCCTATCTCCAAGGCTGGTGAAAGAGAGACACGCAACGCGAGCCCGCGCCCAGCTGGAAGCGCATATGATCAAAGCAGGAGACATTTGGGGGGCATGCTCTTCCCATGAGATACAAGGCCGGACGGCGAGGGAGGGGCCCTCATGGGAAGTCCATCTGGACTCACTCGTGGGCGGAAACCAGACACCAGGCACAGAATCAGACGGGGACGGATACATGGGTAGGCAAAATCAAAGGAAAGGAACGTCGAGAGTTCAGGCAACACACACCCCTTCTTCTGCGAGAGAGAGAGAGAGAGAGAACGCACACACCCTCCCTCCCTGTCTGCCTCCCCTGGCCCGGTTGCTGCCAGGAGAGAGTATACGGTTACAGGTTACAGTGAACGAAGGCTAGGGTGGAGCGGAGCTAGGGCCCGGGGTATAGTCTCCTGCCCACGAGGACCTTGCATATGGTCTTCCCGAGAGGCCATGGAGAGGGTGTGGGGGAGGGAGAAGTGTAGATTTTGTGGTTTTGTGTGGTTTGCGTGTATGGCGGCCGACCTGGGACGTTGTGGCTCTGCTGGGCTGGGGGCTTTGCTTTGGAGAATAGGGTGTGGATGTGTGGATGTGTGGTGAGAAGAGGGTGTGGTGGGATGGGCTGTCCGCGTTGCGACTCTATTTCTCGTCGCTAGCCTGGTTATACTTGAACGAGCCTGTCATACTTAAAGTCTAGCGTCCAGGAAAAGAAAAAGAATAAGAAAAAAAAAAAAAAGAAAAAAACAAACGAGCTGGGGAGCGTCATCGCGGCATGGCGGCTGGTGGATTTCTGGTGTGGAGGAGGGCCGCCACAAGTGGTCATGTTATGTAGACATGCTCACAAAATAGCAAGGATGAGACTTTGTGGGAGGTTTGACCTTGCATCCTGACCACGAGTGCAGGGTGCATGTCCATGATGTCTCAACGAGGGTGGTGACGTCTATCCGTCGCTCACTTGTGCATTTATTTAATTTTGAAAGGGAACTAAATGGGATTTTTATCATCCGTCATGTTTGTTTCCTAAATACACAAAAATATTTCCATCTTTTGGTTTATTATGAAAGATGTGAGGGAAAAGAGAGAAGAGCTTTGAAGTGTCGTGCTGCCCATAGGTTTTTGGGGGCTAGATTTTGACCAATAACTACATACATCTAGATGGAGTCCTTCGGTGGTGGGGAGCGGGAAGTGACGTTGAAATCGAGATGATGGATGCAGGGACAGTGACTCTGGTGAGTGACTGGCTGGCTCGAGTAAGAATAGGAAAAAAAGACTATGCTTAAAGCAGCATGATACATCTATTTCATCCGTCGCCTCTCATAGCCGCCGTACCATCTTGCGGCGAAGAGGAGGGATAGAGACTTTGGATGCCCTGAATAGATGGATGGGAGGGTCCATCAAAAGGGCTGAATGATCCATGACTTGCAGGATGGGATGAGCCTCTTCGTGGCAAGACAGGGAAGACAGGGAAGACAGGGAACACGGAGGGACGAGGCGAGGCGAGGTATGTTTAGGCGAGAATGACCCGGGGACTTCTCTTGTCACTTTCTCTTTTCTCTTGTAAGCGACGAATCCTGCAGGGAGCCAATCACTCGACGACCGACCAACTGGACTACTTGTTATAAGTATTTCATGCGTAAAACGGCCTTCGGAACACTGCCCAGACCTCGCCTCCCCCAACGGCCCAAAACCCGGGCATCTGTTTTCTTGCTTGGCTTTGCTTGGCTTCTCCAATTTTCAATTTTCATCTACGAAGTGCGTGAGGAGAAAGAGATAAACAACTAATTAGAATCTGTGGGGGCCCGTTTCTGTTCTTGGAGCAAGATATTCCACTTCCTTGTGAAACCAACCGACTTATATGCTTTCCGGCCACAACCCGTAATTTACATAGACCCGAAGTTGGGTTGAAGCGAAAAGACGTGTATTCTACCCCGGAAGGGACTAGAATACCTAGACCCTTTTGGCGAGGTTCTTGGTCACTGTCTATTAGTTAGTTACCATCCAGTCATCAAAGTCCTAGACCTAGGGTCCTCGTCTAAAGGATTTCTCTCAACCCCCTAGCTGTATTTTTCGCCACCGTTCCTTCCATCCGGGCAGCCACCTTTGCCTATTAGCCCTCCTGAACCTGGGATAGTAAAGGTCTCCTTGGGTTGCCTGGCCTACAGGAATCGCAGGTCGCCTTTGTAGCATTCGGCGCGAGAGGGTGCTCTGTACATCTGCCTAACTCTAAAAGGGCCAGGAACTAAACCTTACCCCCACGCTTCCTTTGAGGCTCGGGCAGGTGCTCAAGTATCACGCGGGCCTGCTTCGTCCCTGACCTTGGCTTGCGATGCTGGTGGGGAAGGAGGGGTGGGAAAAGCCTCCTTCCCATGTCACTCTGGCCTGCCCCTCTCTTCATCTAGGGTCGCATATGGCCACCTTATAGGCATGGCAGTTGTCGAAAGGTCCCTCGAGAAGCTCCACCTAAAGCGGGAGGGCCCTCAATCATGTCGAGGTCGTCTTTGCACACATAGTATGATGCGAGAGGGGGCGGGAAGGGAGGGTGGAGTGATCATTTCAGGCAGCCCAAGTGGACAATCCCCGTCACGTCGGTCCGTTTGTATAGTAGAGAACCGTGGCGACGGGACGATTCCTGATAGTCTCCATGGTCCTTACTCACCATACGTTGTTTCTGACGCGCGCCAACAACGCTGGCCAGTGTATTCTCACACACGCGCGCTTCTCCCCACGTCTTCGTGGTACCCTTGTAAGGTCATCTTGCGAACACTCTGACAAGGCACACCACAAGAGACGGGATTTGGGCAAAGTGGACAAACTGGATCTCTCAACGGTAACGTCTCCTTCAAAAAACCAAGTTTTGTCGGCGTTTTGGTACGGGTGGACGGGCCGAATTCTACATCCGGGCTATACACGTTGGTCGTGTAAGTGGTGAATCAACCTTGCCCACACACTCTCTTGTTCTTTGCGTCCTTTACATCGTCTCTTAGATGCGGGTGCTCAGTCATGTGTGTTGAAACTCCTGCCTGCTCAAGAACTCATCTCTGTCAGCTCACAAGAGCACCCTTTACACTTGAGAGTCAAAGATGCCGAGTAAAAGGGGGCGGAGGGGATCTTTTGCACACATAGACAACCAAAAGAAAAAGGAACCGAAATCACGGATCAAATCAACCTCAATCTAGTAGTTTGTAAACCCCTCTATTCTCATAAACGCACACCCAACTTCCCTTCCCATCATTTTCTACTGTATATTTCTCCCCATTACACGTCACCCAATCTCATCAAAAACGTCCCTCAGGCCTCACCCGCTACCTACACCTCGGCAGGTGTATATCCACATTCGCCGACGTATGATTACACGACCGCCTCTCCTCGCTCGCCCGCCTCACCCGCGAACAGCCGCCCCAGCCCGCGCGCTGTTCCTCGCGGCACCGCGCCGCGTGCCCAACGCCCCGCAGCGGCGCAGCACACGCAACTTCCCTCTCCCTCTCCCTCTCCCTCTCCCTCTCCCTCTCCCTCTCCCTCTCCCTCTCCCTCTCCCTCTCCCTCAGCACCTCCCACCCGTCCGGCGAGCACCGGCGCACAGCCACGTAATTCGGCCCCGCCCCCGTCCCCACCGCCGGTCGGAGGCCGTCGAGGTGGTAGCTGTGCGTCGGGCGGTGATCCGGACAATACGTCGAGTTCCCCGCGCGGTCCGGGAACCGGGGACACCCGTCCCGGCGGCAGCGGGTATGGTCGCGGCACCGCTGGGTTTCGGGCTCGGCTCTCTCGGCGCAGGTCGGGTAGCTGCACGCGTGCTGGACGCAGTAAGGCGAGGGCGCAATAACAAGAGCGGCGGATGAGGATGCGGCGGCGGCGGCGCCCATCATGGCTGCGTAGCTGGGCATCAGCGCCGGGTGGTGCGCCGGGAGCACCCACCGCGGCGCGATGCAGTGCGGTAGCGAGCACTTGTGTACCGCGCAGAGGGCGCTCGGCGTGCCCGTGACGGGGTTGGTGCACTCGCGGATGGTGCAGAGGTGCGCCGGGCAGAAGCTGCGGGACGTGACTACTTTTGCTCGCAGCTTCCGAATCCGCAAATGGTGGCCGAGTCTGAGACGGTGGTTCCCGTAAACGTTAGTGTTTTCCTTTCTTGTTTTTCATCTTCTCTTATACTTGTGCATCCCGCCATTTACAAGCCCGTAGGGCAGGCACGAGACATTGTTAAAAACTAGTGAGAAAGATAGCATCACTTACGGTCGTCACACCTCTCGAGAACCGCCTCCCCACCGTCGCCCTATACCGATCGCAATTCGGCACCGTGCACAGCTGATGCCGCTGGCAGTACCCGTTCCGCTCCGCCCCCTTGTCGCAGCTCGGCCTCGAGCACATGTGCTCCGGACACCAGTCGCCCCGACGCTTCTTGAAGAAGCACCCGGCCGCCTTGCACTCGTGGCTCTTGCAAAACGTCGACGCGCCCCCTCGCTCCGCGGCTTGGCGCACCCGGCCTCGGCGCACGTGTGGCCCTTGCACGCTTCCTCGCCGTGCCGCGCCTCGTCGCACCCGGACACCCGGCAGTAGTGCAGCCCGCACCGCTTCGACGCGATGCCGTCCTCGTGGATGTGGCAGAGCCGGTCGCACCCTCGCTCATGCACACCCGGTGCCGGTCGCAGTACCGCTCCCACGAGCCCGGGTCGCCCCCGCCCCGGGCGTACGCTGCGCAGCTGGCGCCCTCGCACGTGTGTCCGGGGCAGAAGACGGCCTTGGGCCCGCTCTCCTTCTTGCACCCGGGGCGGCGCAGCGGTGGTCGGTGCAGTATTTGAGGTCGACGTCGTTGTCGATGGTGCGCGGGTTTTCGCAGTCGTCTTTGCTGCAGCAGTCTTACGGTACAGGTGGTTCGGCCGTAGTGTTAGCGAGAAAAGGGGAGATGATAAAAGAAGAGGGGAGCATCTGGGTTTTTTCTCACGGTATTGCGCGCAGAACTTGTACTTGTTCGCATTCATTCCCTTGACGTAGTTGGTACACCTTGCTCCGCCCGAAGTTGCCGTGCACCGCGTGTCTATGGTAAGACATCAGTATTAGTTTACCGAGATAGAAAGAAGAAGAAAAGAGAACATACGGTTCTGGCAAAACGGAAACCCTCCGGCCGTGGGTACGCCGCAGGGAGCATCCCCCGTTCTTCTTGCACTGGTGAAAACGGCAAAACCTGCACGCCACGCGCGTGTTGTTGATGAGCACGTTGGCCCTCGCGTACTTGCACGTCCACCCGTTGCTGTTCCACCCGCACTGGACTCGCTGGGCGGCTTGCGTCTGCTTCGTCCTCGACCGCGGGGACGGGGACGGCGCGCCGTCGTAGGTAATCCTGCTGCCGAACCACCCCATGGCCCTGGCCTGGTTGAGCGGTGGCGCTGTGTGCTGTCCTCCTTAACTAGCTTCTGTCTCTCTCGTTTACCGATACCGACACCTCTTGAGAGCTAAAGACGCCGCTGTTAGTCTTCAAAAGGAAACGCGGTCTCGTCGTAGGTGAACAAGAGAATGAGAAAATACGACGGTAAAGAGAGAAAAGATCTCGGAGGAACTTGAAGAGCGCATCTCCTTCTTGTATGCTCTCGAATCAAGATGAGCAATCAAACATTCCCTTCTCCGCCACTTTATATATACCCCTACCCTCCCCTCCTCTTCTCTAAACAACTCAGCAATGATCCGTGTTACTCGAAACACCTAGTCCCTCCTTGTACCACACGCCTCTCATTCCATTCCCAAACTCCACCTACAAAATTACAGAGGAACATGAAGCGGAGAAGCGAAAAGAGAAAAGAGAAAAAGGCAAAAAGGTTTTCTATGTGATACCTGCCGTGGTCCCGGTCATCCCACCGTCCACGAATCACACATACCGACTCCTGATGTGGCGACGGCAGCCCGCATCCCGCCGTACGCCTCGACAAGGTCTGCTCCTGTTTCCAACCCCCAACGCTCCATCTCCCTCCTCCAGATGCCTACCTTGGCCCACGAAAAGAAGCAAAAAACAAAAACAGGACTAAATCCTGCCCTCGTCCGCAAACAAACGGAAGAGTCTCCCCTCCTCCAGAATCATAAACGTGACTGACTTGGATCCCGCGAAGAGAAACAACCCCATCACGCTCCCCCAGCTGCCGAGCGGGACCAAGGCCCTCGTGACGCGTGTTTGCTCTCACCGGTGGTCCCTCCCTCCTCTCAAGGTATAGTATACGTAGGTGGAAAAGGTACTGGTGAGAAAAGGAGATGGGTCGGGAGGATCTGGACGATCCCAGTTTGTCCTTGCACCCTGCCACCATCCCGTATGCGTGGCAGACCGCCTTCCAGTGACGATATCCCGGGAATCTGCGCGCCTCCTCTACCCCTAAGCTCCGGTAGTGAGCTCAGAGCACATGCATCTTCTTCTTAGAGGGACAAAGAGCCTATTACCCTTTGACCGGGCAGCATCTCCTCTTCTCGTACCACACACCCAACCTAGCCCTTCAAGAGCCCTACACGAGCAACCTTGGCAGCTATGTTTCGTGGAGAACAAAGGAGAGAAAGTGAATATATAAAAAACACTTCAGTCTCTATCTTCGGTGCGGCATCAAGATATAGACATGCGAGTTGGGACCTGTAGCCATTGATGTCAGTCAGTCAACCTAGTAGACCGTTCAACTCCATCACCACCCCTCACAAAAACGACACGCTCCGCTAGATGATTCAACTTTTGGGTCTCTTGAAATGGAGGACAACCGGGTTCTAGAAAAGAGAATCACCCTCTTTCCCCCAGCGCCCTAAAACATCACTCGTGTGCCGAGGAGTGTTGTTTACTACTCTAAAAAAGGTATCGCTTGCTAGTCCTCGTATCAAAGTAAAAAGCAAGATAGAAAAAAGACCCAAGACAATAGCGATGATGGAAAACCTCCTGCCTGGTTTCTTGTTTCGCCGCGCCCGTGAAACCCTAAAAAGAAAAGGGAAAGCAAAGAAAAAGGCGCCGCCTCCGTAAGGAAAACAAAGTGGCAGGTGGCCCGGTATCCGAAAACGTCCCTTTCCTTTTCCCATCTAAATTATAACAAGTATCAAATATCGCCTCTTCTACACACACGCCGAAAATACAACTCTTGAGCTCGAGGCAAGGGTAGGACACGTCTCTTGTCGTATCGTGCCCTCACGTTTCCTTGCCCTTGGAACCCTTTGACCTCTGTCTCTCAAGCCTCGTCACCGCCACGATTTCCCTCGCCGTTGCCTCGGATGGTTTCGGAAGGATATGCCTCTAGCTCGACCTCGCCTCCTTGGTCATCTCGGCCCGCAGCCTCTCGAGAAGCGCCGCGTTGGTCGCCTCCGCCTCCGTCACTCGCGAGAACAGATTCGCCGGTATCGTCGATGTCGGGAACGACTGCGACAGCGTCACCGGCGGCGTCGAGATGCGCGACGTCGCGAGCGAGTGGAGCGCGTTCTGGTGCGCCGAGGACGTCGAAGGCGGGAAATTCGTCAGGGTCGACGCGGAAAGTGGCAGGTTCGGCATCTTGATGGGTTGCATCATCCCAGGTGTCGAGATTGGTGCCGGGATAGAAGCCATCGCGGTCGCGGCCGTCGTGGCCGACGCAGCAGCCGCTGTTGCCGGCGTAGTCGGCGCGGCCCTCGGCGCGGGAGCCGGGACCTGCGCCGATGCATGCACGGCCGACGCCTGGGCTGGCGTCTGAACCGGCCTCGGGGCGCCGCCTGAGGGTCTGCTCTGCGGCGGCGCCGTTGCCGCCCCTTGCTGGGCTGCTTGGGCCTGGACAGGCAAAGCCGGCGCCGAATGGGCGGGGAAATGCGGAGGAGCCGGCGTTGCAGCAGGGGCCGCTGGCGTGGGAGGCGCCGGGCTCCCCGATGCCGACTTGAGCTGTTGCGCGATGCTCGCGCGGAGGGCCCCGCTTACTTGTGCCGCGGTGGAAGCGGCCGTAGCGTTCTGCATAGCGGCCGCCGGCGTGGTCACCGGCCTAGGGGATGGCGTAACCGTCACCGGCGTAGAGTTTGGCGTCGGCCCATGCGCCGAGGGGGTATTCGAGGTGGCCGGAGACGCCTGTAGGGTCTCTGGGCCGCCGCCGATTGAGCTTGGCCCTGTGCCATAGCCGGCGTCGTGATCTGGGCGGCGAGGGCGGCTTGCGCGGGCGTGACGACCCCGATGGCTGCTGCCGCGCCAAGCTTGCGGCGGTTGCCTGGCCTTGCGCGCCGACTTGGCCGGGGTTGTGCATATTTCCGGAAAGACCCCGAGGAGACCTTGCGCCTTGGCCTGGTCCTCCTCTCTGCTCAACCTCGCCCGCTCCTCCGCCTCCTTGCGGGCGGCTTGATTGGGAGCACGCGTCTTTAGTTCACCTGTAACAGCAGACAGGTAGTATGGCATTTCGGACTGCGTCTTGAGGAAGAACAGTTTCAGGTTTCGCGCCTTGTCCTTGAGCTGGACCTGCGTGCGGTCCTTCAAAACATCGGATATGGTACCGTTGGGACCAAACAAGCTCAAAATTTGACTCCAGTGCGGTCCCTTGACCATGTCCAGGCCAGTCATAAGGGCCTTTTCTTCTTCGGGAGTCCAGGGCCGACGAGTCGAATGTATGCCTTCCCTTCGCGTATGCGCCGTCGACTTGGAAAGCGCTGCTTGCCTTGCCTTGTCGTAGAGTATCGAAGTAGGGCATGTTTGGTTGGGTGGTAGTTCTCCGGGTGCCGCCGTTCCTCGTCCGTGGCCTGGGGCAAGGCCGGGCCCGTGGTTGGGAACCTGAGGGAGGCCGCCGTGTGGTAGCGCGTGCCCTTGGAGGTGGGCCTGGGCATGGCCAGGCATGGGTACCAGAGGAGGTCCGGTGGGAGCTTGCCCAGGAGCGGTGGCCCCTGGGAGTTGGTGAGCAAACGGCGGTTGCTGCGCTTGAGGGAGTTGCGCCGTCTTGAGAAGATAGAGGTTTTGCGCTGTGGCATCGTGGTCTAACTGCATGTTAGTATCTGGAAAAAAAAAGAGACAACAAGCGCTGTCGGTAGGGAGAGCCTCGTTCACATGACTTACGGACTGGCGCCGGTGCCGGAGCAGTTGTGGCAGGCAAGGAAGCTCGAGCAAGTTCGGCCTCTCGGACGGTGATCTTTTGGTTGATGAACTGACGAATGAGCCCAAGTTCCGTGCCGATACCGTTTAGCACCGCCTCGCTCAAGGGCTTCACATCGGCGTTCGGTGCCGAAGCCGCGGCTTCCTGAGGCTGCGGCGTGTTGCCCGCCGTGGATGCCTGCGCCTCCGCGCCTGCTGGAGTGGCTGCAGGAGTAGCCGCCGGAGTAGTGGCAGGAGTGGCGCTCTGGGCTCCGGATGTGGCTTCAACCGTTTTCGTATCGGCCGCCGCGGGTTTCGGGTCTTTGACCTCGGCCAAGAGAGCCTTGACTTGGTCGGCGATGAAACCACTCGTCTTCTGCCAGTAGTCATCATCGTCCTGGAGCGAGACGCTACGATGCGTCACAACCTGCTGCTTTCCGACCGTTCTAGCGCTCACCGCGAGGGTCTGGCAATGATCGGCATGCGCTACGAGCTCGCCGTGAATATAGGATCCCAGCTGCCGTAGTAAAGAATCGGGAGGATATCGGTCCATGAGCACTTGGGCTATACATAAGGGTTATCGACACGTTAGCTTCTGGGGGAAGGGGAAAATCTCATTGTGTGTTGGGGGACATTGCCACACGCACCGTTATTGCCACTCTCCTCATATTCTTGAAGTAAGAGTGACATTCTAATCTCTGCCGAGGTCAACATGGCGTACTCATCGTCGAAACTGTCCAGGTTCCAGCTCCGTTCCTTGAGCTTTGCCTCGAGCCCCTCGACAAAGGCCTCGTGTAATACATCGGTTGGCGTCTTTTCCGTCTTGTTTTCCGTCAAGAGGTACAGCGCTAGCTGGGTCTTGAGTTCCAGCAGTAGGTTGGAATGGTCGATGGTGAACTTTCTCGTGCCATAGACAAACACCTTGAAGAACCGGTCGTGAAGGGTAGGGAGATATGTCTCATCCTCGGAAAACAAGTCGATGCCAAACCGCGTGAGATTTGCCAGCCGCACCGTCTTCCGGTGTTTCTGATCGTCGAGACCGAGCTTTCGCCACTCAAGTAAGTCCTCCTCGGTCTGAGAGAAATTCCTCCACGCCTGCTCAAACTGCGTAACTTTGAAGCTATACGAGGCGTAAAAATCCGAGTCTAGGTCCCGCAGAGCGTCGATGGACTCTTCAAAAGGCTCTTGCGATAGCCACTCGAGAACTTGGACAGCCTGAGGTCGCCACCGACGTCAGCACCAGAAAAGAAAAAAAGGGGACAAAACAAAGGAAAGGGTGGATGCAAAACCCGCGGAGACAAGGTGGAAACGTACCGTTATACCCAAGAGCTGCATGTTCATGCCGCGAAGCGCCTGGGCAGGTGCCTCGAGCATTCTCCTACGTTTCCTCGGGTGTGCCGCAGCCCTGGGCGTGGGTGCTTGCGAGTCTGGGGTTGGTTGTTCTTTGGCTGGCTCTGGGGTGGCAGTCTCCTTGCCCGGCTCAAGCTTCACGGACGGCGACTTTTCGATAGAGGGAAGGGGAGTAGAGGGGGCGGCTGGAAGGGTTTGGGGTACAGAGGGGATGGCTACGGGTGCGGCGACGGGTGAGGCTCCAACTGCAGCCACGGCTGCCGTCATGGTAGGGGCGGCTGATACAGCCGGAGATGGTAAGGAGACGGGGGCGGCGGTGGTAAGCATCGCGTTCGCCTGACTGCTCAGAGGGCTCGGGGAGAGGACGCTTGTTTCGTCTATGGGCTCCGTCTTTATGCGCTTCGGGGCAGGTTCTTCGGGCGCGGGGGATGCGGCTCGTTTTATCGGTGAGGGAGGAACGGGGAGACTAGGCGGCGGCATCGAGTGTTGGGCGGCGGAGTGGGTGGTGGGTAATTGGTCAAGTAGGGAATTGGCGGCAGGCGTCGCGGCGGCCACTGTATTCGCGACACCTTTCGACGCGTCCCCCAAGAGGCCATCTTTCCGGTCCACGTCCAAGTCTGATTCGGGAGCTCGGGGCACAGCCGCTGGAGGGTTCGTAGGGGGTTTGTGCCACGCTAGTCGCGGGACCCTGGGTGGGAGATATTGTTAAAGGAGGCTCAGAGGGCAAAGGATCTATCGATGCGCCGGTAAGTGATTGAAGCAACTGGTCCGCGGCAGCGGTTTCGAAACTGGTCGCGACGAGCGGCTGCACTTCGAGGCCGGCCGACGTTGAGGAGCCTCTGCCTCGGGGATAGGGGTGTTCTGGAGGACATCGGCGGCCGTCGCGGCTGCCGCCACCGCATCCTCAGACATGCTTCTTGCGTCGAGATACGAGGTCTCTGTAATTTTTGTTTTCTCACTGTCTATAATTCGGCGATGGGGTCAAGTTTCTAAAGAAGAGAGAAAGAGAGAGGATCGGCCTAGTTTAAGCCATGGTCTGGGAGGCGCGGATCACGTCGCGGGCCACCGCAGGAAAAAGGTTTTTGCTGTCGGTGCCAGGAAAGGGAGGCAGAAAAGAAAGAGATATTCCAGGCAAGAGGCAGAGGCGGACCTTCCTGGGTGATGCGTGGTGAGGCCGCGGCAATGATAGATGTGCAGGCGCTTTGCGACGACGGATGCGATTCTCTCTTCCTCGGTCGGCGGGGGCGCTTTGTTTGGCGGCGGGATCGATAACAACGATAAGAAAAGTTTGGAAGGCGGTCAAGGCGAAGAAATTTTGCCCTCTCACTCCCAATTCACATGAGGGACTGGACCCATCGACCCATCCCGATTTTTACTAGCAGCTGGGAACGCTTCGTCCAACCGTGGAAGCACGCGTGTGAAAAGCTAGGAGGAGATAAATGGTTTCGCGACAGCCAGAATAACACATAGCACCAGATCAGAAGGAATTTTTATTAACAAATTGCTATTTCTCTTTGTTCAGAATTAGATTAGGAGAGGTTGAGAATATGAACCTCAAATTTTATTGTACTACTATTTTCAAACTATATAAATACTGTTAGTGAACTACTAAAAACAACGCTTATATAATAAGGAGAAAGTCGTATATCCTTAACAACCATGTTTAAGGGTCAGCAAGACTTCTTCCTTCTCATCACATAAGGCATCTATAGATGAAAGCATGCTTGAAAGAGGTGATTGCAGTGAACAGCCATCAAAAGACAATGGGCTTGCTACTGACACAACAGGTCGCCTGGAAGGAGGGGTGGAATGCCGCCATGTTCGTTTGTTTCGAACCGCGTCAAGGTTCAAGCAGATGACACACTCCCTTCCTTCTCTTCAGCGTTTCGTCATGGGGGGCAGTGGCAGCATGCAAGAACCGCCCTTGTTTACATGGCTTGCTTCCCACGGCTTCCCATTGAGAGATCTAAAAGCCGCGGGAGAAAAGGAAAGAAAAAGAAAGTTGCGAGGTTCAAGCTAAGAATCCGGGGAAGCCCCAGGGGTTGAAGTAGAAGAACTTATCTCTACGCTTACCATACGAAGAAGAAACTCAGAATCAGCCGCACGCAATGTCAAAAGTTGGAGAAAGCTGTTGAACATCACCAACCCCAGATCTCCCCGCACCGAGATAAAAGGCAGATCACGGTGGCCCCGGGAATTTCCCCTTTTTCTTCTCCCTCTCCCCGTGTAAGCCGCATGCATGCAGAACGGACGACGGGCACGTCGAGCACCCTGGGAGATCCCTGAGATTATGAAAAAGTCTCTTTTTTTTTTTTTTCTTTTTGGTTTGAACGAGGGGAGGAGTTGGCTGTCAGCCAGGTGCGTCAATGCTGCGGGTCCCCTTGGACGAAAAGGTCAACGTATCATGGTTCGTGCCCGGCGGAGAGGACCAGGCGTGACCTCACTTTCCGAAATCCAGCCTAGTTTAGCTCGACATGTTCGGGGATACGGAAAAATCCCCAACATTGCAAGACTCGCGCAAGGAGATGACAAGATGCAGGTTGCGACGCATGCTACATGGATCGTCCGATGTTAGTTCTAGGGCCATGGCTCAGAGACGCAAAAAAGGGTTAATACGGGAGAGTACAGAGTGAAAGGGGGATGAGGGAGGAACGTTGATAGTCGAGCTAATGAAGAAGGAGGGAAAAAAAGAGGGGAAAGGCAGGTGTGAAGCGACAAAAATATGCAGCACTCGACGGGCTTTTCGATAGACGTGATCCTACGAAGAAGAGTAGGAGGACCAAAACGAGCTCTTCCATTGAATTGACGGGTTGATTCATGTCCGGCCATCTTTCCGCTCTGCAGCGTTTGAACAAGAAAGAAAAAACCGCATGCCCCCTCGAGCAAGGCGACGAACAGGAGATTTCGCTACAGGATTAGCCCGAGCCCCTCCTACCCCCTTCCCCACCCCTGTGCGAAGAGAGAGAAATTGGCGGGGTGGGCGGGGTGAGTCCTTGGGTTTATTGAGACGTGGTTGCCCAAGGGACTGGAGCCTCGGGGCCAGCACAGGCACAAGGGGCGAGCTCTGGAGAAAGGGTTTCAATGTTCAATGGTCACTGCCAAACATTACCAAGCCTATTACCAAGGCACTGTTCACGTTCCTCAAGCCAAGGGTCAGCCAAATCCCCGCCCATATCAAATATTGGCGCTGTCGAGAAAGTTGTTGCCACCAAGCTGGCAAAGCGCAGAGCGACCCGTGGGTCCAGCGCGCCGCCCATTTGGGGTAGCTTTGGCGTCTGTCTAAAAAGAAAGCTGTGCCTCGTGCTGGCTGACCTCGCATGGAGCCAAGGAGCATCATGGACTTTGGATGGGCTCGGCCGGAGCTGGCCCAGTCACGGTACTCGGTACTCGGGGTACTTCGTGGAAAAATGCCGACGCCTGTTGACAGGCAACCGAGATCGCCACTGATCCTCCCGCCAGAGGTATCGGTACCAGGAACGCTAACGTGGGAAGGGTTGGAGGGGTCGGCTGGTTCGGGTTATCAAAACGTTGAAGGACAGGACCTGGTTGACGACGCCATTGAAACATCGAGAAATGCAAATGACAACAACCACCGAGCATCTCAATCTTTTTTCTTTCCATCTTTTTCCTTTTCTTTTCATAGTGCTTCTAGTTTCGCATACAGCAGCCAATGGCATGAGTTCAGCGTTTGAAGCTGTTCTTCCTTTCCGTCCACCCGTACATTGGACCAGTGTCGACCAGGAAGCCCGATCTTGGAGAGTCATCAACGAATTGAGCCCATCATCTGTAAGCTGGACAAAGTGACCAAGTCTCCGAGTGTAATTCCATCCTCTTCTTCTTTCGTGTGCACGCCGTGTGTAAGTTGAGGCTCCCCGAGCGTCGATGCGTACACTCCATTCCAGTAGGGATACTACGAAGTAGATGTCGGGGGTCCGTAGACATCAAGTTTCGATGCTACCCCGCATTTTAGCTCACTCTCCCGGCGCATATCTCGAGCACTTGGAGAGCAAATAGAAGGACTTGGAAGCACTAGGATTTGTGAGCAAGCACTTTAGAAATCGTACTTGTAGTCAGCCCGGACGGAAGCTTCCCAATGGGCGATCTTCACAAGATGGAGGAGGCCCGTTTTAATCAACATTTTTGTGTCTGTGTGTGTTGCCAATCCCGCCATCAAAGTCCGCGATGTACCTGATACACTGGAAATTAATCCTGGCGCTGCTAGCTTTGCACCCGGAGCAGGTAAATGACCCTCTCCCAGCGGCGCTAAGATAGCTGTTTTGTGGAGAGCGCAAGAACATCGAGAACCTCCTCCTCCTCTTCCCCCTTCGACGTCTTGATCTGGCCAAACATGGCCATTGCCAACTCGCGGACTCGCGGGTCAATTTTGGGTGGCGGGGCGACGAAAAACGTTGGAAAAAAACAGTGACGAACCTCAACTGCCACCTGCGGAACGCCACTCCACATGGTCTCCATACTCGCCCCCCTTTCCTTCCCCTTCTGCCCTTCTCTTTCCTTCCTCCGAAGCCCAACCGTATGCGTATGCGCGTGAGTGTGAGGGCGAGGAACAAGGGCGAGCACAAGGGTGAGAGAGACCGTCAGAGAGAGAGAGAGACTGTGTATGTGTGTGTGTGTGTACGTGTAGATGTGTATGTCGAGGAGTTTGGTGATATGTTCGCGCGGTGCACTGCCCGATTGGAGACCTTTTTCGCGGAGCTAAAGCTCATCTTTCCCCACAAAGCCACCGTCGACGTTCGGCCATGGATGGATTGATCCCTTTCTCCGTCCCCCTTCCTCCACACACCAGTATCATGGATCCCCTTTTTTCTTGTTGTTCCCTCCCCCTCTACAGCCATGCTCTCCCTTTCCCCCGCCCCGGAGCCGTGTACAACCCTCCAAAGCGCGCGTAGCCACCGTCCATGATTCCGAAGCACCCACCCCCTGTCCCCCACACCCAGTTCGAGACACCCCGAGTTAGAGCTCCCCCTCTTTAGGACCGATCCCGAATCATTGGTGATCAATCCGCCAAAGAGCCCCGCCTTCACCCGGGTGTACCACGTACGTCAAGGGAAGGTACGACCCTCAGCCCAAGTCGCTACCCCCAGCGTCAGCGAACGAGGCGATTGTCCCCATCGTGTGTCATGGCACTCTGCACTCTGCACGAGTAACGAGTATATAACAGCATGGCTTCCCTCCACACCTCGAGTGCCCTTTGTCTCTTGACCTTCATCCTTCTCCTCACTACTTCCCCATACGAGCTCCTCCCCACCCTTTTTTCTTCCAAATACCCTCCTCGTCTCTCAAACAACCTCTCTTTATACCCACCTGTCTAGCTTTTGTGTTTCTTTCTTGTCTCCCAATACCCAATCGCCACAATGACTCTCACCGTCGATCTCGAGACCCCGTCACGGGCCCCTTCAAGCAGCCCATCGGCCTGTAAGTCCTAGGCTACCGCTGCCTCTCCCCCGCCCCGCGCCCCGGTGGGTCGCAACGCACGAATTCTCGTTGGAGAGGTTTCCCTTTGGCCATGTAACTAACCAGCGCGACCTTTTTTTGCAACGCAACAGCTTCATCAACAACGAGTTTGTCGAGGGTGTCAAGAAGCAAAAGTTTGACGTCATCAACCCCAGCACCGAGGAGGTCATCTGCCAGGTGTGCGAAGGTACTGAGGAGGACGTCGACCTCGCCGTCAAGGCTGCCCGTGCCGCTTTCAACGGCGGCTGGCGCGAGACCACTCCCAACGAGCGCGGCAGGCTTCTCCTCAAGCTCGCCGACATTGCCGAGGCCAACCTCGATCTCCTCGCTGCCGTCGAGTCTCTCGACAACGGCAAGTCTATTACCAACGCTAAGGGCGATGTCGGTGCCGTCGTCGGCACCATCCGATACTATGGTGGTTGGGCGGACAAGATTCACGGCAAGACCATCGATGTCAGCCCCGAAATGCTCAACTACACCCGCCAGGAGCCCGTACGTGTCTTCTCCCCATCTAGTTACCCATATCCAGCCTTCTTTCTTTTCGGAAACATTTACTTACCTCTTTTTCCCCTTCTTTCTAGATCGGTGTCTGCGGTCAGATTATCCCCTGGAACTTCCCTCTGCTCATGTTCGCGTGGAAGATTGGCCCCGCCCTCGCCACCGGTAACACCGTCGTCATGAAGACGGCCGAGCAGACCCCCTCTCTGCTCTCGTCTTCGCCCAGTTCGTCAAGGAGGCCGGCTTCCCCCGGTGTCCTCAACATCGTCTCTGGTTTCGGTAAGACGGCCGGTGCCGCCGTCTCTTCTCACATGGACATCGACAAGGTGGCCTTCACCGGCTCCACCCCCGTTGGCCGTACCATCATGAAGGCCGCTGCCGACTCTAACCTCAAGAAGGTGACGCTCGAGCTCGGCGGCAAGTCGCCCAACATCATCTTTGACGATGCCGACATCGAGCACGCCATCGAGTGGGTCAACTTTGGTATCCTCTACAACCACGGCCAGTGCTGCTGCGCCGGTACCCGTATCTTTGTCCAGGAGACCATCTACGACAAGTTCCTCGCCGCCTTCAAGGAGAGGGCCAACAGGACGACGGTGGGCGACCCCTTCGACGAGGGCGTGTTCCAGGGCCCCCAGGTGTCTCAGCTCCAGTTTGACCGCATCATGGGCTACATTGAGAGCGGTAAGAGCGAGGGCGCCACCGTCGAGACTGGTGGCGAGCGCCTCGGCAACAAGGGCTACTTCATCAAGCCCACCATCTTCTCCAACGTCACTCCCGACATGAAGATTATGAAGGAGGAGATCTTTGGCCCCGTCTGCGCCATTGCCAAGTTCAAGGATGCCGAGGATGTCGTGCACCTTGCCAACGACACCAACTACGGTCTCGCGGCCGCCGTGCACACCAAGAACATCACCACGGCCATCAAGGTGTCCAACGCCATCAAGGCCGGTACCGTCTGGGTCAACTGCTACAACGTCCTCTCGTACCAGGTTCCGTTTGGCGGTTTCAAGGAGTCGGGTATCGGCCGAGAGCTGGGCGAGGCTGCCCTGGCCAACTACACCGAGAGCAAGTCCGTCACCGTGCACCTCGGCAAGCCTTTCCCCCACTAAGCTAGGAATGGTGGGAATGTAATGGTTGGGACACAAAATGATGTTTATGTGGCGCATGAATTCCCAAGGCTGTACTATCTTTATGTTTTTCTCTTTATTTATCTAACTTATATCAATGAATTGAAATGAATATCCGTTGTCCTAAACGCACTATTTGTGAGCTCCATCCTTGACATGCACGTCCTCATACGCCTCAGCAGTAGTTATTTTGGTCGTTCTCGAGGGCCTGATGACAGTGGGGAGGGGGGTATGATGGCCTATTGCCCCCTCTCTCCACATCATTCCAATTTTTTCTACATTACCAGCGCTCCCAAGGGGGCAAAAAGAAGAAGAAAAATTGGAGAAGAGGCGTTCCGCAAGGGACGTTGGAAAACGTACCCACAATGACGAAGAGTGGTGGAGCTCTTTCTACCCACGAGGTGGATGCCAACCACAAACGAAAAAGATAACGGTTGGCGTCGGAGAATACAGCAAGGTAGTTGGTACGCCGTCGCAGGACACGGATACATGGAACGATGCAAGCGCCGCTTGCTTTTGCCTCTTTTTTTTTTTTTTTTTCCCCACAGAAAAGAAACAAACGTTTACGTTCCCTCTCTCCAGAGCTGCGGACCAATTCAAGCGTGCGCTGCCGCCCCAAAAGGAACAGGTTGCTGTGACTAGCCTTCCACGTGTTTTTTCCGCTTGCCCGGGCACGTTGCGTCTTCTAGCTTTCATATTCTTGTGTCCTCGTGCGACCGTTGGCAGTGGGGAACGCTGGGAGAGGCCTCTCGTAACCTTGATAGTCTCAAGGTGAGAAAGAAAAAGAAAAACCAAGATGGAAATAATGCTCTATTTTGGGCCTTTGTAGTCTCTATTTTCTTTTTCTTAATTCTATTTTTATTTCCGGTGGCCTAGAATCTAATCCAGGTCCTTTGCCTCGATGTCATCCTCTCCGTCTTTTGATGCTCTCGACGAAAAGGCAGGCCCGGCGCATCGGAGGCTTCTGGGCAAAACGAGCCACGGGATTCCCGCACCGCAAAAAAGGTGGTGTCATGGATGATCAATTGGTGATTGGTCTTTGGATTCCGGGGTTGTGGGGCCCCGAATCTTCCTGGCGCTCATGCTCTCCGACTATCGCATTCCTTCCGGGGCCACCCTCCATATCAAAACGTCTCTTCATCGCATCTTATCAGATAGGCCATAGAGAGAAAAATGAATGAAATAGGAAAAAAAAAAACAAAGAGCGAGAAACTATCTATGAGAGTGCCTCTGCTTCTTTCCTTCTCATTAGTGCCTCTGCATGCCAGACTAGGAATCCCCCCTTTTCCCTCCTCCCTGCTTACACCTCTAAACTCGTCCCCCTTCCCTTCGGCCGCCCTTCAAGCAAACCCTCCGCTCCCACGAAAAGACCATCCCCATGTCCCACCAAAAGATAATCCTACTAGCCCCGCCCCTCCGAAACCCCCTTCCGGGCAAAGGGAGGAGAATTCCCCGCCTATCCCCTTTCTGCGCTTCTTTCTTTTTTTCTTTATCGTCGCCCAGCCGCGTCTCCGAAAAACAAAGGTCTACACAAACGAACCCGCAAAAGATAAAGAATGCGGAGTCACAGCGGACGCGTGAAGCGGCTGAACTAGTGTGGGGTTTGTCTGTACTTGTGCGTGTACGTGTGTGTGTGAGTGGGTGTGGGGAGAGTCCCCAGTAACAAACGGCCTGGAGAGAACCGGGGGCGGGGAATAACCCGCTTCACCTGGAGGTGCTCCCCTCGCCCTGTTCAAGCAATCAAGGAGTGGCGTTCATATCGGGTTCACCGTTAGCGTTTGCCCAGGAAGGAAGCTTTCGAAAACAGCCCGGATACTCTTTACCTTTTTGTTTTCTATCCTTCCGGATCTGCGCGTAGGTTTAGCGGGGAACGGTGCGAGTCGGTCGTTCGCTCAAGGGTTCCCGCGCTTCAGAGTATGCCAAGCAGGCACGCGTACCTACATCAGTTACCTTCAGCCGCAACCTGGCCCAGGGTCGGAGACATCGATGCCATTCGATATGGATAACAGATGCACCTCGGTATGGATCGCACACTCAAAACTAGCACAGGTACAGTTGTATTTCGGTCCACAATGCACAAAATGCATATATATTCATTCCCTCCCTTATTTTCCAACCAAACCAGCGCTATGTGTGCTTTTGTCTGCTGCTCCATGCTTCAAAATAACAGAAAAAATGATAACCGCCAACACACCCGTTCTGCCGGCCTTGTCCGCCTGGTACGAATAGTGGGCAGAAGGGAGAGAGAAAAAGCAGAGAGAAAGATACAAAACAAGTCCCAGTGTCCGTCTCCATGCCAGAATATAACAATAGCCCGGTTCCTATGATGGGGGTATCCTCCGCGTCTAGCGATAAACGTTGATAAGGGGGTGTTGAGGCCGTGTCGTCAAATATCAATCGGGAGTTGTTCTTCTGAGCTGAGAGGTAGACCACCATATGAAAAAGGTGTCTACTACCGAGGTATAAAGGTGTAAGGTGTAATTTTTGAATGTTGGGGGAAGTAGAGTGGCGTATAACGTGCAGCGGTCCGGTCTATGGTCATTCTGGCATGATAATGCTGCGTGAGGCGACGATGTTAAATCGTTCTTTCCGGCCACGCTCAAGATTGCAAGCAACAAACTGGCGGGACAGATGCAAACCAAACAACACAATAAGAAAAAGAAAAAAAACCAAAAACTAACTATGGGAAATAAGCTATGCTTTTTTTTGGACCATGTTCGCTGTGTCTCGCAGAGGGGGTTAGGGGCAAGGCAGTTGCTATCACCCACAGCCATCCAGCGGCTGCGGCAAAGGGATATGAGGGAGATGTGGAAAATGATTTGCTAACTTGTATGAGAATAAGGGAGGGGGAAAAAGAGGTGAATTTTTCTGGGGTCGTTCGTCATGAATGTCAGATGCTACCGTCTGACCTATCTGATGGCGCAGTTATCGTTACCGCAAGTCAGGGAAGAACGAACCAGATATGCCAATGTTAAGAGGGGAATGAGGAGGCTCGTCAGGGGGAATCGGAAAAACAAAAGGGGGCTTGGGTTTCCCTCGTGACTAGGACCGGAGCAAGCCGCAAAGGAGTCTCGCTTTAATAAACGCTACCTTGGACGCTCTTCTCCTCCCTTTCAAGGCGGGTAAGCTCGTCCTCGTCAAGAGGCGACGCGAGGGGTCGCTGGGCCTTGTGTCCGGCGTCCCCACGTCCGAGCCAACATCACTGTTGTTGTGGCTGTGATCGCCCAACCGGTTAGCCATAGCCCCACGGCCCATACCGCTCTCATCGAGGTACACACGTTGATGCTGGCTAGGCTCGTCGTCGACGTTTTCCACTTCGACGCGGCCGATGCGCACTTTGCTGGCTAGCGAGGTGCTGTGGATGCGTTCCGCAAGACTGTCGAGGCCGCTGCTGCCGGGCCGGCGGCTATCCTCGTCACCAGACACTTCGTCATCGCTGCCGCTGGGAGAGGCATGGCCCGAATAAGTACCACCTCCATCGCGCCCAATGTGAAGATGGGGCGACCTTAGGCTGCGAAGGCGGTCGTCCGCCGAGATGAACGAAGGGGTCGCGTCAGGAGAAGAATCCAGCTCCTCGAGCGCCCTGGTGATGTCGATCTGGGGCCCGCCCGAGAGTACGGTGCTGCCCTCCTGGATTTGAACGTTGCGTTTTGATATGCTGCGCCGGGACTTGATGGTAAGGTTCGTTGACGACGAATTGCCGTTTGTGTTGCCGTTGGCCCCGTTGGACCCGTTGCTACCATTGGCTCCGTTCTGCAGGTCCTTCGCCGCGGCGGCACCACCCGCTCCATGGGAAGCGATGGTGGCTGTAGTCTCGTCCTGTAGCCGGAGGCGTTCGAGGTCCTCCCGGCGCTTATACTCCTTCCTGTGGTTGCAGCCGTTCGGGCATCCTCCCCACCGGCGCAGGGAGACAAAAGTTTTGCTACGGGTAAGCTTCTCAGCGTCCTTGTTGGCCTGGGTTTGGGATTCCGTCTGTTTCTGCTCAAGACGTTCCCTACGTAGCTCGGACCATGTGCGAAGCTGGTTCTCTAGCACATACTTGCCGGATTCCTCATTCTTCCGCATGAGGAGAAACTCGCAGTGGTTGATGTTCCGGAGGTCCTCAAAATGCTCGACGGTGAAATGGTACCATTTCATGAGGAAAACACGCGACATGAGTCCGTGAGTAACTAAAAGGGTGGGGAACTACGTTAGCTTGCATGGCCGGTAGACAAGTGGCGGCATGAAACCCCGTGGGACAGGACAGAGAGAAAAAGAAAAAAGAAAAAAAGACGTCATACCGAGAACGCAGACACTGGCAAAGTCGTCTTCGCCAAACTGACGCCATAGAGACTCGTTGAAACCGCTGACTCGGTCGTAGGCGTCGGCAGCGCTCTCTCCGTTGGGAATGCGGTAAAAGAAGTGGCCGTAGTCGGCCCTCTCCTGCCACATGCGCTCCATCTCGGCACTGCATGGTTGAAAGTTGCCGAAATCCTGCTCGCGGAGGCGGGGCTCCTCGTACACCTTGATATTTTCCCGCTGCCACTGACTAGGGTCCCCGCTGGTCTCGTCGGCGCCCGTCAAGGTCTCGAGGATGCCCTCGGTCGTTTCGCGGGTTCGTCGGTAAGGCGATGTGAAGAAGTGCAGGGTGTCGGTGGGTTTGAGCAGGGCACGCAGCTGGCGGCCGGCTTCGTGCGCTTGCTGCCATCCGAGCGGCGTGAGCTTAACACGATGGTCGGGGATGGTCTGGTGGATATCTCTGTTTTCTGCCGAGGGGAGGGTGGGTTAGTATCCAAAGATTCTCGATGGTGTATAGAGGAGCATGCGCTTGACAAGAAAAAGGCAGCCGTCGGGTGGGATCTGGACCCCGTGAAGGGAAAGGGCGTGACAACGATCGAGGGGAGTGAAAATAGTTCGCTATGGAACCCAACATTCTCGACGTGGGGTACTGGGCGGGGGAGGGGTTGAAAAGGCTGCACATACTATTGCCCTCGGACTGGGCGTGTCGAACGACGATGATAAGACGTGGTTTAGCCATGGTTGCGAATCCGCGACTGTGAAGTGGGTAGGTTAGTGGTGGTTGCGATGGTTGAGTTTGTGTTGAGGTCGTTTCGTTTGGGTGGGAAAAACCGGTGGGCGAAAGCCAAGGTTTTTTTTTTTTTTTTTGTTCCTTGGTAGATGGAGTTGGAGGATCGCTGTTAAAAGATTCCACAAACGGTTGAGGAGCGTCCCAAGGAGTGTCAGGCGCTGGACTGAACAAGTTTAGTGTTGCCCAATGAAACGGAAACGAAGTCTAATCAAAGAGATGGCTCAATGTTGTCTGCTGCGCTGCACTGGTGCGAGGTGTTTGAAGAGAGAAACTCCAAGTCAGTTCTAGAATTGTACTCAAGCTATCTCGTGCGGGAGAATATGATGATGACAGGTCCCAGCTATCTCTCGTTCCTGGAAAAGAATGTGGTTTGGTTTGGTTTGGTTTGGATTAGGGATCTGACAGAACTGACGGCGTTTCCCGGGACTTGGGCCACTGACTCAGGGCGATGACGGGGCGGCAATATAGGGACTCGGCAGACGAAACCTGGGCTGTCCGTGGCAAAAAGTGGACCAATGAGTGTCTTGGCTTCGATGGCGTGACGCAAGTAGCTCGGTTATGGTGTACAGAAGAGAGAAGTTAATAATGCTTAGAAGGTTTGGTTTTTGATCTTGTCGAGGAGTTGGTACGAAGGGGCCGTTGGGTTGTTCAAGCGAAGGGGGGAAAGAGGTTGAGTGAGGTTATATGTAGAGATATGGATCGATCTACTTTGTATGTGGGCGTGCATTTGGCCTGCGTGAATGTGTGTGTGAATGTGTGTGTGAATGTGTGTGGTTTGTGGATGCAAGATCCCAATTCGCTCTTTCCATCCTCTTGGTCATCAGAATGCCCCTGTTCCCTGCACCTCCTGCACGTTGCCCGAGATCCCCCACGACCAGACGGTTTTGTATTATTAAGAGACCCTGCTCATCGCCAGCCCGCCACGCTTGTTGATTAGGGTGCGTTGATAGCCAGGCCATTTCACTCAGCCGAGTACGATGGCAAAGTCATTCGCAAACAAGCCAGTTCACTTCTACAAGTAGTTGCCTGCCTTCACAGCACTTCCTCTCGGGCAGGATAGACGACGTTCGTGTCGTGTGAGCAGCCGTGATTGTCAATCTCGCCCATTCCAGATGACGCCCGCCCTTCCCCCTGGGCCGCCGCCCCATTATAAGACGATAGGCCAGAGGGTGTCCTTTGAGGGCGGGTCCCGGCACCAGGCTGCAACCACCTCCTGCACGATTTATAGGTTTTGCCGTACGATGGCAGAGATTGAACTGATGGAAGGAATTTGGCAGGGATGCCAATCTCTTTGCCCAGGGAAAACATGTTAGATCTACCAAGGTTGTCACCCTCATGGCTGGCATACGAGCCCAAAGGGATGGGAGAATGGACGAGTCAGTGCGCGCAAACGCCTGCAGCCGTTGGGATCCGAGCGCGGTGACAACAAGTTTCCAGCGACCCTACTGACGCCGCCAGTTTCAGAACCTGATGGATGCCGTCATGCAGCCAGATGGGCCGAGGAAGAAGACCCGTCATCCGTCCCTTAGAGAGGTCAGACAGTGACAGGGCATTGGAACGGGTAGAATCTAGCCTAACCTCTGCTCAGCTTGGGCGAACCGTCTCTTTTTCCTATCGAGCGTCGAGTTTCTATCAAATAAAGCAAGGCGATGAAAGAGTGGAGGTGGAGGAAGACGAGCTGGTGGAGGGATGAGGGGGGGGGAGCAACACCTTGATAAGAAGGCAAGTCTGCGTAAAAGGGAAGGGCAAACGCGACAGCGCTTATCGAGATCGCAAAGGACTGCCAGTGTCCACCGACATTGCCCAGTTTGCTGGGCTCCCTGCATGGACATGGACGGTCCTCGCCTGTGCCTCGGGCCTAATCGAACCGAACCGTTCTCTCACACCTTCCTTCCTCCGCCCGGCAAAGCTGGGCATCAAGGTGGTTTTTTAGCTGCCCACCTTGAAAAGATCAATCGAGCAAACGCCAGTTCCTCCCATGATCAATCTATGTTACCTCGAACCAGGTGTGCCCCTCCAGGGCTGCTGCGGTCGAGTGGGGTAAGCTGAACGTTGAATGAGAAGCAAGCAATCCTCCCCTTTGAGTGCTTGCTCGCTCACAAGTGGACGAGGTTCCAATAAAGTAGACTAGAACCTTCTACGGCGCTGTACTCAGCCCCAGTTAGGTGGCAGAGTACCAGCAAGCTACCCAGCAAGAGCGCTCCATTGTCAGACCTCTTCTCCCGAGACTGCACTTGTGCACGTACCTTTGTGTGTGTATGCACTCAATCTATGATTCGAACGACAAACGGTAGGCGACGAAAAAGAACAAGACAGGCCCGAAAAAAAAATTCCCGACCACACGGCACAGCCTTTTTTCGCCATTGCCATTGCCATCGCATGCCAAACTGATCATCCACTCATTGAACGACTCCACTCCAGACAACGCGCCAAATTCTCACCAAACCATTTCTCGCCGCACCCGTGTGGTTCACAACACCTTTTAAAGTTGCAAGCTTGCTCATCATCTCGTGATCAAGCTCAGGCACAAGCCCATCGTATCGCCCAATTGAGCCAATCTACCGAGAGACACCAGAGCCTTTTTTTTTTTTTTTTCGCCCTCTGTTCTTACCAGCTCCGTCCCACAGCCTCGTTTCCATCTTGCGACATCCTCCCGCGCGTCACCCTCTCCTCCCGAACCCACATCCACACCACCGCGACTCCCTACTCGAGGAAGACTCGCCACAACCACCATCCTTCTCGACCAACTCCAACCTCTTCACAAAAAGAACATCCATCAAAAATGTCCGCGGGAGGCCGCGAATCCATCCCCACCTCGCAGGACCGCATCTCCAAGCGCCCCTCCAAAAACGCGCCCTCACCCCCAACTCCGCCCAGGCCGCCACCCTCGAGGCCCTCTTCGCGAAACCCGACCAGGACATCCGCACCGACCGTCCCCAGCCCCGCGCCGCCCCGTTACCCCCGATATCGTCACCAATGTCCAGGGCTCCAGCGCCGGTGCCGGCTCCGGCGAATTCCACGTCTACAAGGCCGCCCGCCGGCGCGAGGCCGACCGCCTCCGGCGCATGGACGAGGAGGCCAGGAACGAGTCCGCCCAGCGCAAGTTTGAGCAGGATAAGGTGGCGCGCGAGACCAAGGACGACGAGAAGACGCGCAAGAATAGGGAAAAGAGGGAAAAGATGAAGGCGAGAAAGGCCAAGGCCCGCCTCGTCCCCAAGACGACGCCTGGCGACGACGACCGTGGCGATGCGGATACGGCGGATGGTCAGGGTGCTACCGTCTTGGAGGATATCAGGGTCGACGCGCCAAAGAATAACGCGACGGCAGTTTCGGCGGGCTCGTCCGGAAAGCCGAATGGCGACGATAATGCCAACGAGGAGGAGGATGCGCCAGGCTTAATTATTCACGATGAAGACTGAGTTGTGATGCGGATGATAACCAATGCGCCTTGAAGTATACGTACGTTTGTTTTGCACCGCATGCCATGCATGGCCCATCACGCCACAAAAAGAGCTAGGGAGCGCAAGGGAACTGAATTGACATTTCTCCGTCTGGACGCCAACAGATTCAGATCTATTCGGACTTTCAGGCTTTCTACTTTTTTGTAACTCTACCCTGCCATCTCTATTTTGGACAACCACCTCACGCGTCGACCGGCACAAGGGGGTATTCGAGCGCAAAAGCATACAATGCAACTTCCTGTCAATTTTTCCGGGTGTCTCTCTCTCTCTCTCCCTTGTCGCTACCCGCTAACCCATCCCGAAGTTGGGTTTTTTATTTTGTTTCAAGTCCTTGTTGAGATCCGTCTCGCGAGCTCCCTCGAATTCCATCGCATATTCTATTAGCTTAGGCTTAGTCGTCGCCACCTCCGCCTGGCGCACCCCCGTGACCCTTCTTGGCACTGCAGATGTCATCAACACGCAGTAAGAGGCAGGCAGCCTGTTCATTTTAATGATTAGTCCAACGCTACGCAAGGGGCCCCGAAACAAGGCGCGAGAAGAAGGAGGAGAGGAAAAATACGAGAGGACGGAGCCAAGAGGGGATGAGAGTGAAGTGCAGTGCAGGTGATTAGGTAGATAGGATAGTAGCATGTAATACATACCTCGATAGCCGTCTTCAAGCTCTGCAACTTGATAGCTTCCGGCTCCCAGACACCATACTCTTGCATATCCGCAATGGTACCAGAGTCGCCGTTGATGCCCCATGAGTGGTGGCCCTCGGCATGCTTAGCCCGGAGATCGGTGAGAACTCGCACCGGGCTTTTGCCGGCGTTCTGGATGAGCGTGCGGGGAATAACCTCAAGGGCCTCTGCTACGGCCCTGTACGGCCACTGCTGGACGCCCTCGATGCCCTTGGCGAGCTCTCGAAGCCTCACAGCGACAGCCATCTCCGTAGCGCCACCGCCAGGGGCGAGGCTAGGGTGGAACATGACGTTCCTGGCGACGCCCATGGCATCGTGGAGGTTACGCTCGATTTCGTTGAGAACATCCTTGGAGGGGCCGCGTAGGAGAATCGTGCACGCCTTGGGGTCCTCGCACTTGGTGAGGAAAGTGAAGTACTCGTCGCCAATCTTCTCAATCTCAAATAGGCCGCATCCGGTACCAACGTCGGATTCCTGGAGATCGTCGACACGGTTGACAATCGTCGCTCCGGTAGCACGGGCGATACGGTTGTTGTCCGTCTTTCGAACACGACGCAGGGCGGTTATGTCGGCCTTGACCAGGTAGTGCTGAGCCAAGTCTACCACGCCATCCATTAGCACGGTTTCTCACGGCAGAAAACTTCCACCACCAGGCCTTGGGATAACTAGACTTACCTGATACACCTTTCTCGGTGATGACAAGGTCGGGCTTCAGCGCAATGATGGCGTCGCACATGGACTTGACCTGTTCCTCCTCAATCTGCAGGATACGGTTCCAGTCTTCTTCCTTGGAGATCTCGATGTTTGTCTGGGACTCGCCCTTCTTGTACTCGAGGGGGCAGTCGAGGAGCACAATCCTGGGGTTTTCTATCCTCCTTCGCATCTTGGGGTGGGTAATGTCCTTGTTGATCATCACTCCGTCGAGCACCCTGCTGTCCTCAATCTCGCCGCCGGGAACCTTTTCTATGCGGGCATATCGCTTGATATCCACCTCCTTCTTCCCGTTGCCTACCTCCCACGTCACAGTCCTCACAGCGGTCAGGGCAAGGCTGCACATGAGCTTGGACCACCTCGAGACGAACTTGGTGCCGATAGAAGAGCTGATGAGGCCGTACATGGCCTTGTCATTGTTGATATCGATGGAGACGGAGATGTCGTCGACGATGTCAAGGGCATCCGCTAGCGCCTTTTGAAGGCCTGGATAATCACGACGGGGTGGATATTCCTCTCTAGCTCGGGAAGAGCCATGGCCAATATCTCTCCAGCTGCGTCAGACAGTTAGCGCACAAAATTCCTAGCACAACACCCGTATCCAAAAAGAAAAAAAAAAGAAAAAATGTGCGCCGCGGCGCTCGTATCGCATACCAAGGATGATAACTGTCGTCGTGCCGTCACCGACCTCCTCGTCTTGGGTTCTGCTAAGCTCGATCATGCTCTTCGCGGCGGGGTGGGACACCTCAATCTCTCGTAGGATGGCGTGGCCGTCGTTGGTCAGAACTATACCGCCCATGGGATCGAGGAGCATCTTCAACATGGCTTTGGGGCCAAGGCAGGAGCGAATGATGTCGGCGACACTATATCGGAGGCGTTGTTAGGCCGTGGGAGAAAAGGAACATGAGGCAGGGAAAGCCAGGGGGAGACGCGTACATTTTCGCTGCCGTGATGTTGGACAGCTGGGCCTTGCGACCAGTCTGCCTCTCGGCCGGGCCGCCGGTGTCTAAGTCGGTAAGTTAGCATGCATGGGTGGTTACGGTTCCGGACAAACCACAAAGCCCACCAGAACACGATGGACGGAGGGGTAGGCTAAGGGGGCCTTGGATGGCTGCGGGGCAGGGACCAACGCACTCATAACCACTACAGGAGCCTGCATATTGGGCGATCCTGTCGGTGACGATAGGTATTAGGGATGGGGCGGGATGGGGTAAGTCGTAGACACGGTTCGTCGGTGTGTAGCGGGGTGCCAGACTGAAATGAAGCTTCACAAGGCAACTGGAATTGTCATCCACCAAAAATTCAACAGAACGAGGGGCACAAGTGCCAAGACCCTCTTTGCTTTGGCTGGTTCCCGAAGCTTTCTCGGCAAAACTATTCTCCGATCCACCACATTCAAGTTGGCCAATCAAACAACTGCTTCCACACCTTTCCACTTGAGCCTCTCAACGTCATCCAAACACAGCTGCGGAAAGTATCATGGCTTCTCGAATTCAATGAGAATGCCTTTATCTTTTCTTGCAGGGCTGAAAGAATTACTGATCACTGTTAGATCCCACCAAACCGTATCTAATGTCAGTCAGTATTTTTCCTAGCGGGGCATGGCTGCACGAGGGGTATTCGAGCTGGCGCCCCGATGCGAAGCAATCGATCTATGCCAATGTCCGCCCAGTGGAAACAGAGCTCGGCAAGTCCAAATCAAATTGTAGACTGATATAGGCTTATTCTTCTATATAAAACGTCTTTCCCGCGACTCGGTCCCATTATCTCCCGTTTATCGTAGCTGCGAGAGTCGAGAGACACCTCCAAGAGGTTGGCTTGCTAAGGCTTCTCCCCACAGAGTAAAAGCTATCAGACTTATTGAAAACCGACTAGAGACAGAGACATAAAGCGATTAAGTTTAAATCTATAGGTGGCATATAATAGTGCACATTCTGCTGATCACTCGTATACCGACGCTCGTAGCATACCTCACTCCGAGGCCGTCGCTGTCATGTTTGGCCGGGTCGTCGAGCAAAAGCACCATTTAAACCCACGCCATCCTGGCCCCAACGTATACCCTCACAAGTAACATCACTTTTAGTCCTCTAGAGAACTCGCTTTGATCACGCGAACCAAAACGTTGAATAGCTTGGACCTTGATCGGAATGTTCGGGAGGCACGCAGGCCGAGTGCTATACGTTCCAACGTGCCTGCTCCCCGCTCTGCTGATTGGTATAACATCTTTACCAAGTGAGAAGACAGACTTAGTTAATGAGTTCAATCTAAGCGCACATGCGTTTCGGGCGGCTGTGCACCTCGTCTTGTCCTAGGTCCATGCGGGCATCTGTAGCCACCTCATCATGAGCCTATCCAGTTCTCCGGGTTGTCTTGATCCCGACGAGATACTAGAACAAAAGGTAGGTTCTCAGCCCGGAACCAGTATCTCCACAACAACCATTCTCTTTCAACTAGGCTTTGAGATGGAAGTGGTGCCTAACTGCCTATCCTATAAGCAAGCCGGGTAGGGCGCATCAAAGACCCGAGCAAGAGCATCTAGACTTGATGATACCGAATTTATGTTCAATTTAAAAGGGTAGAAACCATATCGTGGTCTTCCGGATATCCAATACCATCTATCTAGGAGTCTGCCTACATATTGGAAGTATATATAGGTAGACCGCAGGCCGGTTTCTCCCGCCATCTGGGAAATGCCATGGCTGAAGCAAGGACCTACCCTTCACTCTTCGAGAAGAACCACTCACTAGGGGCCAGATTGGCATGAGCAAGCACAACTACAGCCTCCTTTCAACACATGTTTGGCAATCTCTACCCTTTCTATGAACATCTACAACGAACTCATGCCTTCAAAGGCCCTCCAACCTTGATCTTGGCTCGATGATGCCATCTCCCATGGAACTAAATACTCGAACATCTTCCTCGAAGTAGTAACTGAAATCATTTTCAAAAACAGCCCGAGAGCGAGGCTCGCCGACGATCCTCGCCAGCTGTAGGAAATGGAAGCGAGAGGCCGAATCGTCAAGACCTTCAGATCAGCACCCGGCCAGGAAGAATTTCAAAGAACCGAAGCAAACATTCTCTATGTTCGCACTCTTGTTTTATCAAACTACACCATTTCTTCTTCGTCTACTCCCTCGGAAGACGGGAGCACCCTTATAGAGCCCTCCTCAAGGTTTCTACTGCCTCACTACGATGGTGGCTTTAGCTAATAGGTCATATTCTTGAGTCTCGCGAGCCTACGCAGAGTCGTGGAGCGACGACTGAACCTTACGAAGCTGATCTCATGGATAGAACGATATACAAGGCCATTAGAGGGGAGAGCATCGTCAAACAGGATCTTATAGGCACCACTGCACAAACCTTAGGATGGTCCCTAAGCATCGTGATCTCCTGTGGCAGCCAGGACTACCAAGCTCACGAGTATCCTCACACGCAGCCTTGAGGCCATAGACGGCACCTAGGGCCACTTCCTAGCCGCCGCCGTCTACTAAGACCGGAAAAAGGATGATATGGTCAATGGGGCCACCGTAGCACTGGTTTAGGCTGTCAGAATGCCAGAGTGCTGTCATGTCCCATGCTGGAAGACGTACAGAGGTTGGAAGTGCGCCGCAATATCAACCCCATCGCATTCCGCGAGCCTTGATGTTAGATCGCAGCCCTCTCGCTTTCCCTTGTTCTCCTACAATCACAGCCTCCCGTCTTCTACAGCCAGCATTGCATCCCCCTCGACCCTTCCCTCGACCCTCGACTGTGACCTCCCGTCTAGCCGGCACATATCTTGTGCATCATTGAGTTCAATGTCCACCCAGGCTCCCCGATACTCCACGACAGCTTCACCGCCACATGGTGCCCGCTAGAGTGGAAAGAAGTTCCCCACAATGGTGGGCAGGCTTCGGCCAACAAACCACCCAGACCATTCTTACGTGTCGTGGACGAGGGAGACCCAGCAGCATCCACCTAGTCGAGGTCCATCCAGACAGTGGCGAGCAAAGACAAGCGAGCCACGCCCCCCTATCCCCTCAGCTCGTCCTGCCATGGACGCAAGACCTAACCGATGGAGGGTTTGGGGATCCTCAAGCAAGCACCGTAGTCGGGCTTCTTCTGTGGATAGCTTGGGTCATACCATCGACCCACGCTGGTGCGACTTGCAAAGCAACTGGGGATTAAATCAGACACGGCCACGTCCCCTTCCCCCTCTCTCAATTCATACCCGGCTCCATTACCAAATGCTGCGTTACGAGTTGCCCCTTGCTGTGGACCACCACCTTCTTCTCTTGGCCCTCCCTGCAATCAAGGCTTTCCGTCATCCCAAAATAACAAAAACACATTGATCCACTGTGACCAGCTCTCACGCGACATGCATCAGAGCCTACAAGGCCTGAGGCAGGCAGCTCAGAAAGCGGGATCACAAAAAACATTGGCCGGCAGCATTAATGCCCGCTATTATTGTTGTTATTTCCCCATAAATAACAGCAAAGACTTCCGCGACTTGTACCAATAGCGAGGCTCCAAGTCTCCGCATTTGCTCCTTGGACGAGAATAGAGCACGGCTCCTTGGACGGTGAGCAACTTGAAGTGGCCCAGCATTAATAACCCCCGTTCCGGGGCCAAAACACGCCCCCGCCTTGGGTCCATAGTGCTTGCGTGGAGGATCGGTAGTTGGGCGCGGCGCGCGGTGGGGACTCCGGGCGCCATTTCCTCGCTTCCACCTCACGCCCCCTAAAGCAAAAGTAGAGAGGGCTTCCCTGCTCGACGGCACACGGCCTCTCCTCTGGCACCGACCGAACCAAGTGCGGATGACTCGGCAGCCGCCCGGGGCCCGGGGATGGGCAAATCAGAGAAACCCAAGGAGACAAAAGGAATATCCACCATATCCCCACTCTCGGCACAGCACAACAAGTTTTGCTATTGGGGGGCGAGAGGGGAAGGGGAGACAGGCTTGACAGGGAAAACAGGGAAGCGACGTGTGAGAACCAGAACCTATCAGGACTTCATCTCGACAAATGAGTAAGCCTGTTTCATGAGAGGGAGTCTTGGATTTCGAGCCTGTCCTGTTGGGCCACGTCACAGGCCCTTCCCCCAAGCAGTGACCCCCGCCCTCGATTTGGTGTCCTCTGGCTATTATTTCCTCTCTCACTTCTCATTTGTGCTCACAATCCTGGTGCGTCTTCGACGCTTCGGGAAAGAACTTTTTTTCTGGGTCCCTTGTCGGACCTTGCTTCATGCCGCGCAGTTTCACGTCTTCAGGCACCAGGGGTTTGCCTGTTGGGATTAGGAAATCTTGAAAGCACTAATAGAAACACGGCTTTAGTTTATACTGTGCGTTGTAGTGGCTTCCTTCAATTGATGCCCACATGCAGCACTCATAACATTGCACAGGATTAATTATGGTCATAATGGTCAATGTAGTGAGTGGATGGATCAATGGCAACCACAAGGCAGCCAAGGATGTCCAGCACCTTTGCTCCACCAGGGCCAGCCGCCACTTCTCATGGCCGTTGGAAATGAATGGACAGAAGGGGTTTCAAGATGCACAAGCTCAAGACGTGCGTCCCTATGAGAGGGCTGCTCGGTTCGAAATTGCCGCCCAACAGGGAAGCGTGGCATGGGGAACGAAAACCCTCACTTGGGAAATCGCACCCTTCACACACTCCTTTGCGCCTCCAGCATCTGCTGGGGATGACATGTCCGCACTGCATATCTCGAGAACTTATGCCTCGATTGGGATTGTCTCATACGCTCTTTTTCGCGAATGAATAGGTCGATGCATTACCTTTTAGGGCAAGGTTTCAATCTTTCCTCGTCCTCGCGCCTCAGCCCTTGCAGTGTTCCACGCCTTTGGTGTTTAATGTGCAATGCTTACACACACACCTACGCCCAAGCTAGAACCCCACCGCCCGATTCACCATTGACGGCCGCACACAGGGGAACGACGGTGATGACCGGGCGTGGAAACAAAGAAGAAGAAGAAAATTAACACGAAGGAAGGGGGTTTCTTTCGCTCAGTGGGTAATACATGTGGCAACGTAAACAGCGATCTGGGAAATGACGGCTCACCGCAAATTCCATCCCCTACTCCACAGTGGAATCTTGGAAAAGAAGAGAATGAAGCAGAAGGGACTCACGGAAAATTGGGCAACAAGCCACCCAGCCGAACGA